CCAATCTCTTCCACTCGGCCATTCTGGGGGGGAGGGGGAGTTGCCCCTTTCTCCACGGCAGCTGAATAAAAAAGCAAATTTACAGAGTCGCGATCGGGTAAGGGACCTTTTGAATTTACAAAGCGGCTGTCGCGGGGGGAGGCTAGGCTATCAGCCTAGAATAGGTACGGAGTACTGGAGGCCCCATTGGGCGGGTTCGACTGGGAAACATGGCTTGTTGATCCACATCAACCCGATCTGATTATGCAGCGGCAGGCAACGGAGGGGAGGCCCCGACTCACCGTGGGCCCAGCTTGGCAGATCTGAAGAGGCTGAGTAAGTTGTCTCAGGACACAGAAAAACGAAAGCCCGGGGGTGGGGGGGTGTGAAGACGAAAAGAAATGGTGCAAGCAGTGGCAGCAAGGGTCTCGTTCGAACTCATCTGGGCGTCTATCCACATCGTAACCATAACCGGCAGTATTCGGACTTCGTAGATGACCCTAGACCCCCCACTGTATCATGAGTTGCCTGGGGCCCTTGCGATACTACGCGCGCCGCGACGCAGAGCTTTCTTTTTCGCCGGCCAATGTCCAAGACATCATGACAAGTCCCGCGAGCGTACATCCGTTGTTTCGCCCATAACGTCTGTGTAGAACTACCCTTGTTCGAGACGGAGGTGGAAAAGACAAAGACTCGATGGTGAACAAGTGGACACGGGATAATGGATCGATCGTCTGTGTCAGCTCCCCCGTGGGGCCCGGGTATGCGTCCCTGCTCGTGTTACATTGCTCAAAGGAAGCAGGGTGATCGATTGGGAGAATAAAATAAACACCCCCATCGTTGACAACCTAGGGAGGGAAGAGGCCGACATAACGGTCCACAGCCACTCTCGGAGAAGGGCCGTTGCCTGGACGTTGCTACGAACGTTCGTCAGCCTGCTGTAGGTGTACACGCCGTGGAAGTCGTGGGATATCTCTCGTGACGATGCATCGCGGGGCGGGTCGCCGTTGTGTGACCCGCGATACAGATACCGAGCGGCCGCACAAACTCTCAGCCGGCAAAGCAAGTTTTCGAGAAATGATCTTCAGGGACGGTACCAGGTGGGAATGAGACGACTGGCTGAGTGAACGCCGCAAAAAAGTGTCCGACTGGCTGGGTACCGTCGTACGGGAGATTGGTCGGGAGGCTGGACCAGCGAAGTGAGGATTCGGCCCCGGCGAGCCGGCTTACTCGCCGCGCTATGCCGTCTCTGTGTTGTATTGTGTTGCGTTGCAGTTCACTTTATCCATCGGAGGATTACTTGTCACATTGTCTGGAAATATGCAGCCCATTGTCTCGTTGGCCAAACCCCACCGGCTAGCATTAATTTGTTACCGGGTATGAATGATGACGAGTGAGACAGCCCACCACACCTGGATAAGCAGTCTTCATGAGCGGGGTGCCTTTTGTGGGCTTCATATCCGCTCATGTTTGACTAGCAGGTATCGTAGCAATTGACATGCTGCTGATTAGACCGGGGGAGCTGAAGAAGTGTGATTCTCGTCAGCGACTACTTGTACTTGCTGGGGTGCTTCGCTGACAAGAGACAAGCAAGCCCGGTAGAAAAGACTGTTCGCTAATAGAGTCAAGACCAGAAGCCAGCGAGGCGGCGATGTGAGTAGATGTAAGGTACCAAGGTGCGCTACGCTACTCCTGCACCTTTGACGGTAGTTGGTTTGTGGACTTGGGGCGAGGTCGAGGGATCATGAGGGGGCTAGTTGGCGGTGACCGTGTCGGGAAAGGAACACCGTGCGCTGCATGACGCGGGTCAGCAGGCTCTATTAGGCCATGTTTGGGGAGGGTTACGATGTAGGTGCTAGTTGGATTATGGCGCTAGAATGCACCTTGGAGTTTCTCGACCGTGAGCCGAAGGGGAAACACTACCAGGTGGGAGATGCGCCTGGGGCTCGAACCGGGTCGGGTAGCGCGGTTCCTCGTTCGGAGAGCTGGCCGACAATGGGATGCTTAGCAGGATGATGATGAGGGTGACAACGGTGGTGGTGGTGGTTGTGATAGTGCCCAGGCCCCCGTTTGATGACAGGGAGAGAAGGCATCAGGGGTGATTGCGCTAACGGGTGGATGCAGGTACTTACATCGTACATACTTGCTGGATATGACAGTACCGGTCGGTACACTACTCGGTACCTGAGGTAACTAACAAGGTAGGTAGGTAGGTAGGCTACCAGGTATGGATGGAAGGTCAGGTGAGAGTATTGGCACTCGCGGACATGGAACATGGGGCACCTACAGTGACATGCAATAAGTCTGGGCTCGCCACACAATGTGCCACTCTAAATAGGTGAGCCCAGACTTATTACATGTCACTGTACCTAGGCACCTACACAGTAAGGTGCCTGCCTTGATACACCACCAAGTGCATAGGTGGTGCAGATACCCTCTCCACATCTGTAGCGTTCGCTCGGATCGGAAGCGAGGGAGGCAGGGGCGAGCACATGGTGCTGGTTGGATGGGAAAAGGCGAGAGGGTTCCTCGCCTCATCCAAAGTGCCGTGCCGTCGCGCTACGTGGGGTGTGGTGGGTTGAGCCAGCAGGACGGGATTTAGGCAGGGCGTTGAATGGAATGGCTGGATGGATGGCAATGTCATTGAGACGACGGACAGGAACTAGAGCGAGAGAGTATGATTGATGCTCGAATTCCCCATGTACTTCGGCCAAGTGACAATGGGACGAAGGACGCGCGTGTTTGTGTGCTTACAGGGGGCGCCGGCCACAAGACCGGACGAAGGCAAGACACGGGAAACACTACACAATACAAGCACTGGGCAATTTCTGGGGTTAAAGGTTGGAGGTTGGAGATCAAGCGGGTACGAACAGTTCGTCTCATTGCGCTCCACCGTGCGCATCTCTGGGCAGTTCTAGGCCAGACACTCGAGGGTTAGTTTAATTTCGAGAACGAACCAGGTGGTGCTCTTCTGATTGCCAGCCTCGTGTGCTTGTTTCCGTCAGCTATTGGGGGCCGACGAGGACCCTAGCCTACCCTTGGCCATGTGCTCCAGTGTCCGTACCAAAGAAGCAATTGGTGTTGATTAACCATTCTTGATACTCGGTGCTTTGCACAGAGGAGACGAAATAACATTCTTACAACAAGTCCCTCAGAGACAAGCAAACGAGATAAGAGACAAAGCAACCAAGGATAGCCACAGTCCCCCTTCTCCTTCATCCACCCATCCGTCCATTCCACCTATCACGGCCAAGCCAGGCCACACCAGCTCGGGCGACAGGCGCCCCCTCCTCACCGTCATTGTCCGTGCCCTCTCTGAACCAAGCGGACTGTCGGTACACGGCAGTGCGTTCGCATAGCAACGTGATCCAATGTTGCGTGCTCTCAGGCAAGGGCAGCCATAGTATGGTATATCCGTACCATGATGGGCTTCCCGCATCATTCAGCCGGCCCCAAATATATCGTCGCACAAGTCAGAGATGAGACACATGCACGGGATTCATGACTGGAACCACCCGGGGACGTGGAACGGTTGATCCAGGGTTTGCCGGTAGCGTACGGTAGGTATCCGTACTTCGTACCGACGGGTACTGCTTACCATTAGGTAGGTAAGAATGGTACACACCAGCACCGGCACGCCTTCCTCTCACCTCGATCCCCAGCTCGACCTCCATGCCCCTCCCCTCCCCCCCCCCCAATTCGGAGTGTGCCATTCCTTGCAGTATGCCCAAGGCTTACGCTATACGCAAGGACTACCTGGGCCTTGATGTTTGTGGCCAGGTGCGGTGAGTGTTAAGACGTGGGCTAAAACAATCAAAAGGGTGGAAGAACAACGGGGTTGTAAATCCGGATGACGGCATGGCAGCAAATGGGAGCAAGCTGCCAAAACAGCAAAATAGAGAGCAGATTGCAAAGCGGAATAAAGCAAAGCAACGCAACTGAGCGAGGGCCAGGCCAACACTCGGTGGCTGGTAACTCTTTCTTGTCCATCTTCAACTCTCCCGCCCCCTTTCCCTCTCCCCTTCTCTCTCCCCCTCTCTCTGTCTCTGTCTCTTTCCCTTTGCCTGTAACACCATCCACCAGCCTCATTTCTCGAGCATCTCTAGACCAGTGACATAGACACGAGTGACATAGACCTTCCCATCCTGGGTCTGCCGCGAGTCTATGGAGCCCATCTGTCTCACCGATTACCACGACGGCCATCACATTACGCATCTTTCGGCTTCATAAAGCTTCGTACCACCTACAGGCACCGCAGCAGCGCCGCTGGGCTCTCATTGGCTGCGGTATCTGGTCCGGTAACCTCGCTCGCTTCCTACTTTATACTTCCTACTGCCTTCTCCCTCCTGCCAGGGCGCACCCTCTCGGGATTGATGGATGTACATATGTGTGTGTGTGTGTGTGTGTATGCAGACCACCGTTCGGCTCCTGTCTGTACGTACCGCTTGCCTATCTACCTATCTACCTACCTACCTTACGTTGCAGTCTTGTCTCTTTTTTTTTTCTTTTTTTTTTTTCTTTTTTTGCATTCCCCTGTGCTTCCCTCCGAATGCCTCCTTTTGTCCCTTTGTCTCCACGTTGCAGACCAACCTAAATCCCACGCTGCCTAATTAGCTTCCACCTCGACTATTACCACCGCCACACCATCTGTTTTCTTTCCATCGCCCTATTCTTCCTCTTTTTCTCCTCCCTCGATTTGCAACATCTCAAACCTGCGAGCGGCAGGCAAACCTGCCGATTGTCGCCGTTGCACCCACCCTCCCTCCCTCTTGCGCTGGCTCACCCTCCCAATTCATGCATGCATCTCTTCGCTTGCTTTTGCTGTCCAGAACTCAAGGCTCCCTCCACTGACATTGGATATCTCGCTTGCCAACTAGCCCTGTCCCTAGTCTACGACATCTTCCCTGATCCTCTTGTGGTTCCACAGCCCTTGCGCGCGACGGCCGCCTACCCAACCCCTGCAGCTTGAGACAGCCTTAATATGCATGCCGCGGTAGCACACTGGCCGAACAAGTCGAAGGAAGGACAAGCAGCAACATCCTTGGTGATCGATTCCACCTCGCCGAACACCTATTAATCGCCAATATCATTTTGCTCTCCCGGCACCATCTCCAATCTGGGTCGCTTTAGGATTGCCGACAAGGCGACGAAGGAATAAAAAAATTCAAATAAAAAAGCACCCCCCACCCAAGTGGGAAAAAGCCAAAGAAGGGAAATAATCCCACTCAAGGCCCACCCCAGCCAGCATCGCACTGCATTTACTAACACTGCTCCCCCCCCTCCGCCCTTTGCTAAGCATCCTCGCTTCGCCTCTGCCTGTGCGCTCCGCTCTCGCCTTTCGCCGAAATTCATTTCTTGAGTCCCCTCATCTTTCCCCGCGCCTTTGTCAGTCGGCCTCTCATCGTCGCCGCTGCCGTCGCCGTCGCCGACTCCGCACATCCCGTTGCTGCCGATCTGCTCCAGCCTTCTCGAGACGAACTGCCTATGTTGCAGCCTGTTAACGCCAGACAGTAGCAAACAACGGCTGCACCTTACGTACGAAGCCAACTTGGCCCCCTTCGAACTCGAACGACCGCTCATCGCTGCAACCCTGCATCCCACCTTGGGACCTGTGGATCAACCATCAAATTCCCCGCTCTCGACCTCTCATCCCGCCGCTGATCTATTTCTACGTCGTCTCCCGCTCGCTCTGCCGTTTTCCTTTCGCAAAACAGACCTGGTATAACTTTTGGCCACCACAGCATCGCATCCCGTCCCTAAGCCCGCCCAAAACCCGCCAACCCGCGTCCGGTGCGCACCAGCCTGACTCATCCCAGAGCTTCAGAGTCTACGTTCTGGCAATATCCACCCGTCACTGTCGATCCACTGGCTTTGTGGCTTCACTGCCGTCCCTGAGATTGAATTTGCCATATTCTAGGCTAACATTCGGCAACTATTATGCTTACTGTTGTGTGTGGGCACACCGGTCAATCCCAGGAGCGCCATCAAATCTACCGTCGGCTGACTGTTGGAGAGCTCAAGAGGCGTGCCGGCTAGGTCTTGCGGCAGCAAGACGTGGTGGAACGTCCAGGTTTAACTTTGAGAGAGATCGGCTCGTCCAGGGAACACAGTCACAATCACGAAACTCCAGATGCGGGCGAATCCCAAATGAGGACAAATCATGGAATGAACATGGCACCACCGGGCATGGACGGACGAACCTACCACAACGGTGGTCACAACGCTACGCCGCGCCTCGACTGGCCACATTCCCAGAACCAGACCTTGTCCGCCGACCCGTCATCCCGCAGCATGGAACGAGCTTCGATTACGAACCTGCGCACCTCCCTCCGCTCCAACCAACCTTCGAATCCTACGATACGTGCCGTGACCCCCGAATACCACCACCCCGACCTGTCACCGATTTCGCCTGCAAACACTGCCTTTGACCCGGCCGTGCCTCTGCAGCTGCCCCCCCGCGGGCTCACACCCAGCTCCCCACAGGCCTCACCGAGGTCCATTCCTGGAGACTTCTCGAGGCGACAAGGCATGGTGTTCAACGACACGTACAGCGACTCGTACGACAACTCGACCAGCCCACCTTCCCGGCAAACGAGTAGCTTTCGTCCGAGAACGCACACAATGGACGGTGCCCTGCGGCAGCAATTCATTAGTGCCACCTTGAGAGATGGCCGCCAACGCTTGGGGTCGTTCTCTTCCTCCGGATCCCAGCCGCTGTATGATGATGCTCGCTCCCCGCCTCCGCAAATTGAGTCTCAAGGGTTTCCATCAGTGGTTCCCGCCCGCCATTCCGAGATCCCTCTGGGGGCCTCAACCAGTCTGAGGGAGAAGAAACTCTCGACTAAACGACTGATCAAGCGCCATTCTTCTCGCCCAACTTCTCCGCCGACAGCCTCGACCCCGTCTGTGGACTCGTTGCCTATCCCTGTACCCACCGAAAATGCGAACAACGTCTTGCTCATGATGAAAAATCTATGCGGGCGCATGAGAGGCGAAATCGAGGTCCGGAGCGAGCCTGCAGGAACATGGCGGGTCGGCGTTGCGTATGTTGACGAAGAGAAGGGAAGCCTGATGTTTGATTCGGGCCAGGACGGACCTTTCCACGTCCCACTGGTTTCCGACTTGCGCGGCTGCCGGATAGCACCAGTCGAATTACCCGAAGGCAAAAGATGCCTAGAAGTGTCGTGTCCTACCCAGCCCCCCTTAGACCTACTGCTACATCCTATCCTGGCGGAAGAACGAGACCTCTGGCTTGCAGCTTTGCTATGCTGGCAGCAGCTGAGACCCCCAAAGGTCAGGCTCTCGAGTGGCAATCGGAGCCCGACTCCTACCTCCTTGCGTCCAGTTGTCAGGAGGCGCGGCTCAGAGAACGGGACGAAACCCACCAATGCACTCATCAAAGTCGGCCAAGTGAGGCTTTGGGACAAAGGGCTGGCAAGCTCGCCAAGGGCCATTGTCAAAAGATCCTCCACTCGGGATCTGAGATCGCCAACTACTTCTTGGCGACTCGTTTCGTGTCTCCTGCAAGAGAACGGCGAGATCCGGCTTACCACGAACGACGGCGATGCAGTTATCGCCGTGGTCGAGCTGTCTCAACTGTCCCGGTGTGCCATTCAACAGCTTGACCGGTCAGTCCTTGATGAGGAATACTGCATCGGCATCTTCCCCCACTACTCCCCAATATCCACCCAATTGTCCATCTTCCGTCCAGTGTACATCGCCCTCGAAAACCGGTTGCTGTTCGAGGTTTGGTTCGTCCTCCTACGAGCATTCGCATTGCCCGACATATTCCGCCTAGATCCTCATTTATCGGAAGGTGCGATCGAAGTCACGGACCTAGAATCGGAGCTCCCGGGCGAGATCTTTAGGATCGAGAAGACGATCAGCTTGCGGGTGACGGAAGCCAAATTGAAACCTAGGAATAGCTCGCCCGACGCCGGCTTCGTCGACCGGCAGCCCAAAGACGCGGACCCTCTGGTCGGCAACTACCTGGCCGAGGTTATATTGGATGGTGAGGTGCGCGCCCGATCCTCGGTCAAGGCCGGGACCAAGAACCCTTTCTGGAGAGAAGACTACCAGTTCTCGGATCTTCCACCAGCCATGCCGCTTCTTTCTATCGTACTGAAAAGGTTGGACGGGAACCTCGAATGCCTCAACCACCAACTACAGGCATCTCTCAGTCTATCCAAAACGAGCAGCCTCACGGAGGTGCTCTGCGGGTCAGTTGACATTCCTCTGGACCATGTCGAACCTGGAAAAGACTTTGAGAGATGGCTTGACATATACGATGAACGGCAGCAAGTTATGGGCACAATGCTCGTGAAGCTTCATCATGAAGAGCTCGTCGTCCTCCACTCCAAGGAATACCAGGCACTGTCAACACTCCTTCACAGTTTTCCGTCTGGTGTTACTGCAAAGATCGCCGAAGCGCTTCCTGGCAATCTACGGCGGCTTTCGGAGATTTTTCTCAACATATTTCAAGTTTCTGGTCATGCCAACGAATGGCTCCAGACGCTAGTCGAGGACGAGATTGATGGCATTGGCAGCACCCAGAACCAGCTGAAGAAGTACCGGTTCAGCAATCGTTTGAAGTCTAACGAGTCCATGGAGTCGTCCAGCGACAGAGAGCAGATCCTTCGCGATATGGGCAAGTCCCTTGCTGGGGAGGCCAATTTGTTATTCCGGGGCAACACTTTGTTGACGCAAGCCCTTGAGTTTCACATGAGGCGCTCGGGCAAAGAATACCTCGAGCAGATGTTGCAGGGCAAGATTGCTGAGATCAATGAGACCAATCCCAATTGCGAGGTCGATCCCAGCAAGCTCAAGCCTGGTGAGAATATCCAGGAGCACTGGAATCGGCTCATTCAATTGACCACCGAGGTATGGCAATGCATCTGCAAAGAGCCCGCCAAGTGCCCGCCGGAGCTTCGGTCTATCCTCAAGTATATACGAGCCGTCGCCGAAGACCGCTACGGCGACTGGCTGCGCACTGTCACCTACACGAGCGTGTCGGGCTTCTTGTTTCTCCGCTTCATCTGCCCTGCGATTCTGAGCCCCAAACTCTTTGGTTTGTTAAGAGACCATCCTCGGCCACGTGCGCAGCGGACGCTTACACTCGTTGCCAAGGCGCTCCAGGCACTTGGGAACCTTTCCACCTTTGGCAAGAAGGAAGAATGGATGGAGCCGATGAATAAGTTCCTGAGCTCCAATCGGCAGTCAGTGAAGGATTACATTGACATCATCTGTTCAATCCCTGTCGAGCGCAACAAGGTCGCCCTGGGACCATCCTACTCGACCCCCATCGCGATTCTCGGACGGCTGTCACCGACGGCTCGTGAAGGGTTTCCGGCACTACCTCACCTGATTGATCATGCTTACAATTTTGCTGCGCTCGTCAAGATGTGGACTGAGGCCAACCCTATTGGCAATGGCGAGTTCGCCAAGCCTATGACAGGCGAAGAAGATATTCTGATATTCAACGAAATGTGTCTCGGTTTGCAAGAGCGCGCAGATCTCTGCTACTCTAGGATGGACAGTTCTCTTCATGAGACGGCGTCGCTCCCCACTTCCGAGTACGCTGATGCAATGGAACATAACGCGGCTATGTTGGAATCCATGAGTATTTCAACATGTCACGCCAACAACCCGGCAACAAACTCTGCGAACAATTCGATGGTCTGGACTGAACAAGACCAATACCAACCTCCCGGATCAGCTGGCAGCGACATAACGGTTGACGCTCCTTCGCGCAGAAGCCGTGAGCATCGCCGTGGCCGGGACTTCAGCTCTTTGAGGCAAATGTCTGGACACTCGGAAACTTCGTCCTCGCACTTGGCCACACTGAAGCGTAACGGAAGAGCCACTCGCCAAATTCTGTCCGGCATCATGAAGCCGTTCGCACGGAGCGACTCGCCTGAATCATCGCCATCGACAACGCGCGGCAAGAATGTTGAGCGGTCTTGGAATGCTGGCTTCTAGAGTCATTGCCCATGCGTTTATTTCACTTCATCCTGCGGCGACCTGCCCCTGGGGTCCTCCCACACCCCCCTTTTTCTTTTTTCTTCTTCGTCTTTTATTTGTTCAAACGAGTACGAATTAGGGGCCCAAATGGCTCAACGACAACTACAATTTCTGCATTATCATGACCAGGAGGAGATTTGAACACGCGCACTTGAAGCGTATGGAAAGCGGGTCGGGCGGTCAACTACTTTCTTGCTCCGGGATGGAGGCAAAGTCGGGTCGATTGGGTCGGCAACTTTGGCGTTTCTCTGTTCCTAAAACGGTTATCCAAAGAAGCTCGCCCGAGGTTGTCGGACGGGCAATGCTAGGATGGGCGGCCTCCCTGTGTTTTTCGATTCTAGTCCTCCACGTCCCGCCTTACCTCCCTGTCATCTTTCTTCCTTGCCAGCTTTTTTGGCACGTAAGGCCAGCGAATCGCATCATGGGAGACGACGAATATACCCCCCTTCAGATACATCATGATTAGCGTCGCGCGTCCCGCCCGAGAGGTTCACGAGATCCAGTGCAGGCAAGCATACATGTATATACCAGTAGAATAAAACACCAGATGAGCATTCAGCATATGGATAATATAGTGATGTTAATTTATTCCCAGCCAGAGAGGTATCTACGCGACTCCTTGAATTGGTGGTTATGGGCTTTTGTTCCCTTCTCGATCCCGGTACCTCCGTACGCCCCCAATGTATTCTGATGAATCAAGAACAGTACCTTTTGTGTGTATTTCTTTTGTCGCCCGAAATCATAATAGTCATCATTCCTCCCTCGTGTTGGCTGCCTGCTCCAAGCCGGCACCAAAACTTTTCTTCCTACCTCCCTAGCCCCCAAGTGTACCTTATCTATTGGAAGAACTTCTTGTACGCCGCCTTCTCCTTGGCTGCACGGGCAGCCGCCTTCTGCTTGACGGTGTTGAGCTCGTTGATGATGGCCTTATCATCAGAAACGAGCTTGTGTGCCTCTTCGAGGTCCTTAATAGCGGCCTCCTCGTCCTTGAGGCGGACGTTGGCGAAGCCGCGGCGGTATAGGGCCTTGGCGCGGTCCACATCCTTGATGCCCGGCACCTCGAGGGCGAACGTGGCTGACTTGACGGCGTCCTCCCAAGCCTCGATCTTAAGGCTCAGCAGGGCCGAGTTGTTGTTGAGGGAGAAGCGAAGGGCCTCGAGCTCCGTCTTGGTGGAGGGGGGCTCCTTTTCGAGGTCCGGCTCCTCGTTGAGGTAGCGAAGGCCCTTTTCATACTTCTCAAGGCCGAGATTGAAGTCGCCGGCCTTGAAGGCCTTGTTTCCAAAGTCTTTGCAGGCTGTGGCGATCTTGACGACCTCCTTGGCGTCGGGGGGGCTTGCGCAGTCCTCAGGGAAGTCCTCATAGGTATCGCCCATAGCATCCGGGGCCTTCACGTCGGCTGCGAGGGCAGCATCGCCGGTGAGCTCGCCGCAGTCGGCGATGACAGCCTCCTTCACAGGTTTGTCACCCGTCTCAGTCTGCAGGTTCTCGATGTGGCGCACGACGGACTTGCCGTTGAGGACTTCACCAAAGACGACGTGCTTGTTGTCGAGGTGGGGTGTCGGTACGGTGGTAAGGAAGAACTGGGAGCCGTTGGTGTCTGAGTCGCAATTGTCAATAGCTGCAGTCAAACCGTTGCTTCCAGACACAACAGGGTTACTCACTAGGCCCAGCGTTGGCCATGGACAGGAGGAAAGGGCGGTCGTGCTTAACGGGAAAGGCCTCGTCCTCGAACTTTGCGCCGTAGATGGACTCGCCGCCGGTGCCGTTGCCGGCGGTGAAGTCACCGCCCTGGATCATGAATTGCTTAATGACGCGGTGGAAGGTAGAGCCCTTGTAGTGGAGAGGCTTTCCGGATTTTCCCAGGCCCTTCTCGCCAGTGCAGAGGCAGCGGAAGTTCTCGGCCGTCTTGGGGACGAGATCGCTGTAAAGCTCCATCGTGATACGGCCGACGGGCTTACCGCCGACAGTGATGTCGAAGAAGACGCGGGGGCGTGTCGGCTTGGTCTCGGTACCCTCAGCAGACATTTTGGCGGTTGGGGGCCGTTCTACTGGTCTGAGCTGTGTTGAAGTTGGTTCAGTATGTTGAAAAGACGAGGTTACGAGTCTGAGCTCTATACAGTCAGTGAGAAGAAGTGCGGGGTAGCAGATCAGGTCACCACAGGATAGCTGATGCCGTATGAGATTGAAATCGCAAGAAGCTGTAGCTAGTTGCCAATTGAGACGTAGAGTCGGAGACTTTAGAAGATGGATCGAAGACACGCTCAGGAAAAAAAACCAATGGCTCAGAAATAATGTTGGCGATGGCCGACGATAAATGCTCCAGCACAGAGCTCAGGTGGGGGTTGTCGCTGGAGGTACGATGGAACTCTCTGGAATCCGAGCCTAGTGCGGGGCAGTCAGGGGAGGGAGGAAAAGCATCTCTGCCCTGCATGGTTCGCCGGGAAGGAGCGACAGTTTACTCGGTGTGACCAATTAGAACCTACCTCCCTGCCAATATGATTGAAATCTGAGATCTCGGACCTTTGCATTCGATTGACTGTAGAGGCACGCACATGGAGACAGAGTGGCTTCGAAGCCCTTACAATAATCGAAATCGAGGCGAGAGCCACGTTATTGCTCCGCCATCATCGTGGTGGTCTTGTCTATGTCTGTATAGCTCATCTACCGCATCTCGGGGGAATGGGCCATGCTATTTGCTCTATTTGGTCGTCCCTAGCGTCGAATATCTTGAAATCGTTTAGGAAAGCGAACTTTTTTTGTCACGCGGAATGCTATATCTATGGGTGATACCAGACCCTATCTATACCGACATGGAATCTACAAGTCATCCTAGAGCACCACCAAGCGGTATGTCCGCGACAGAGCAAATCGCATTCTCGTAGTCTGTGGCCACTCAAGGTTTCTGCACTGGCTCTGTGTTTAGCTCAAACGTAACCTAGCATCACTAGAAGTCAGCTCACAGCTCTACAATAAAGTTCGAAGGGGTACAAACCGGGCCGTCGTTAGTCGAAGATACGGCCATCATGGCCTGAAATCGCCCGTCCTTGATCTTGTCCGCCGCGTAATTTTCTTGCACCTTTTGCAGAAAGTAATGATAGAGCGTCTTGGCATCTTCGGCCGGCGCACTGAGACGGAAGTCGGGCTTGTTCTTAATAATCTTGGCGAACAGTGTGAACTGAGATACTGGATTGAATATCAGAAACAGCCTCGGACATGGGGGACGGCACTTTGCGTACCGCAGAGGACTTCTCCGTCAATTTCCTGTACCGTTTTCTTCCACTGAGGCGGGATTAGAGGCAAAGGGGATCAAGGATGGGAAAGATGGCGAACGCACTCTGCCGCCGGCGTCATCATCCCACATCTTGAGCTTCAGCACCTTGTTTGCAAGAATCTCGGCATCTTTCTCAGTGTCGCCTGGAGCGACAGCGGCGAGGACGAGAAGGCCCTTCCCAATTGACGAGATAACCTCGTTGTCCACGGCTACTGAGGCGGACAAAACACGCTGGACGATAGCTGGCAAGGAGGGTGTCAATACATCGGCGATAAGCACATATGTGAGAGAGCCTCACCTTTCATTTTGTTTCTATTGGACCTTCTTCCTCTTCGCGGATAACACAACTAAGTTCCCACAAGAGGCCCTCAAGGTACCGTCCGGATGACAGGAGGTTGGCCGGGTTCAGTTCCAAGCTGGTTCGGGTTCTCACACCTTGATTGATTGTCCGGACCGTAACTCTATCAAACAGACATGCGGACGAGAGCAAGTGTCAAAACACAAACGAAGCAGCTAGCTAGGGTCAGTGTGTCAATGTCGTCCGGAAGCGCTGAGAGGCTGCCACCCGAGCGTGGGAAGCAAGCAATCAAACGGGACAGCAAATTGACACCGGAAAAACAGCGACTTGTCAGTGAGGGCTGTATTACGAGTGTGTTCAAACAGGGGCTGTAAATGACCCAGGTAGGTTGATTGGTCGGTTGGTTCGTTGGTTCGTTGGTAGCAATCAACGATTCATACTATGTACACTGCAAGTGCTCTCCTTCCCTGGTGGACTTGGCTGGTTTAAGTGATAGTGGCCAGTCCAGTCCTCGCATCCCTGGACGCGACAGAGAAGGGCAGCTGGCGAGGCTGGGCGGAGCAGTGACCCGTGTCACCATTGGCCATGACACCAAAGTAGTCGCAACTTTACCTCAGTTAAGACCAAGAATGACATGCACTTTCTGCTCTTGGTTTGGATGTCAACAAAAGCAATGTATGTGACACAAAATATATTTGCAACTCCTAAGGACCATTTCATGACATTTGCAACGCTTCAGAGTCCCAAAGCCCCGATTTAATAGGTGTTCTTTCTGCCAACCCTTTTCTTTTATCTTCACTCACTAGCGTAAAGTGGGTACCCAGAACCTTGTCTTCCACACACACAGCAACTGCCCTCCAGCTCATTCTTCTTCATGCGCAGAACTTCAACCCATCAAACGCCTCACCGTGGACAAGCAAACTTGTATCGCGCAACCAACAAACGAACGCCGGTAAATAAGGCGCAGCAGTTGTCACACCCAAGGACAAATACTGCATATCCTCCTCTTTCATCACGTGCGCTCTTCGATCCTTTCGCCGGCTAGTTGCTACACGAACACAGCTCCGAGTCGAAAACCATTATTCACACATCCGACACACCCAACCCGAGGGTTATCGAGACACATAACTAGGCATAGTCTCTCCATTAACTCCGATACAAAGACTGGCGAAATGGCGGCACGAAAACTGCAACAAGAAGTGGACAAGTGCTTCAAAAAGGTGGCGGAAGGCGTAGCTGAATTCGAAGCCATCTACGAAAAGATTGAACAGTCCAATAATATCTCCCAAAAGGAGAAGCTGGAAGACAACCTCAAGCGCGAAATCAAGAAGCTACAGAGGCTTCGCGATCAGATCAAGACATGGGCAGCAAGCAACGACATCAAGGACAAGGCTCCTTTACTTGAGCACCGCCGACTGATCGAGACGGTTGGTCCACTTCCCCTGGTAGCGAGCCCTTCCCCGGCGGCCCTGCTAACCCTTCTGGCAGCAAATGGAGAAGTTCAAGGCGGTCGAGAAGGCCATGAAGACGAAGGCATACTCCAAGGAAGGGTTGGCCTCTTCAGCGAAGCTCGATCCCCAAGAACAGGCAAAGGCGGAAGCAAGCGATTTCCTCAACAACATGGTCGACGAGCTGGAGCAACAAATCGAGACTCTGGAGGCCGAAGCCGAGGCGATACAGGCGACTATGAAGAAGGGCAAGAGCCAGACTGCCAAGGCGGAACGAATGGCCGAGATTGAACGCATCATCGAGCGGCATAAGTGGCATCAGGGCAAGCTCGAGCTTATTCGAAGGTCTTTGGAGAATGGCGGAGTCGATACCGATCAGGTTACAGACCTTGAGGAGACGATTCGGTACTATGTCTCGGACGGCATGAACGATGACTTCATCGAGGACGAAGAGATGTACGAGGAGCTCAACCTGGACGAGGAGGAGGGCGTGTACGGCGTTCCCCAAGATGGCGACAAGAACTCCTCGCAAGACACCCAGTCTTTGGCGGACGAACCCATACCGGAACCCGATGTTGTGAAGCCTCCTCCGAAGCCAAAGGCGGTGGCGGAAGCATCTGCATCAGGGCGGAGGTCTAGTGCGCAATCCAAGTCCCCTCTACCCGCGCTCGCAACTTTGCATACCCCATTACAGACTATCAGCAGCAATGGCGCTGCAAATGGACCGGCTATGAAGCCGGCCATCGTCCCCGCGAGGCCAGCCGAGGGCCTGAAATACGCGTCGGCAGCGGCGGCTGCGGCGGCATCAGACAAGATCGGCATTTCTCCCTTGCCACCTCCACCAGGCGCTGCACCGATCAATTCAGGAACCCCGGCTACGCAATCCAAGAGCAGCGCTGCAGGCTCTCCAGCGCCCACGCCGGTACATCCTGTTGCGGCGAAGGAACCAGAACCCAAACAGCCTGCAGCGCCCTCAAGCAGCGCAAGCGAAACTCCGGCGACAGTTGCGAAGCCAACACCGGCTCAAACCAAGGCGGAGAAACGTGCGCTCAAGAACCAAGCTGCGGCGGAGGCATCGGCAGCAGTCAAGGGTGAGTCTTTATCCATAGATTGCCAATTGCATGACGTACTAACCTTTTCAGCACCTCAAACAAACGGTGGTGCAAATGGTGTAAGGTCGTCTGTAGAGGAGGAAGAGGAGTCGATATACCACCTTCCCTCTTCCCTGCAAGACCTTGTCGAGTCTTTCGAGGTGTCTCGTAAGCGGCCAGCGCCCTTCTCTTCGCCTTCAACGCAACGCATGCTTCAGGCAAGCCAGGCCATGTGCCCTGACATCATGGACACGGACGTGCCCAGGACCTACCGTCCTGAGCTGCGTCTGAACTCAACCGGCGTGGGCTTTCCCCAGGAGCCGCTCGCACTGTTCGACGACCCGCGATTGTACTCGCGGATCGACCCCGACACACTCTTCTACGTCTTCTACTACAAGCAGGGCACGCCTCAGCAATATCTGGCTGCCAAGGCACTGAAGGACCAGAGTTGGAGGTTCCATAAGCAATACCAGACCTGGTTCCAGCGCCACGAGGAACCCAAGAACATCACCGAGGAGTTCGAGCAGGGCACCTACCGTTTCTTCGACTACGAGAGCACTTGGTAAGTTGTCGTCTGGACTGATTGTATGATGGGAAGTGGCGACTGACAGGATATGCAGGATGAACCGCAGAAAGGCGGACTTCAAGTTCGCGTACAAATTCCTAGAGGACGATGTATGAATAGGCGACGATTGACACAGGGTTTTCATGCCAGGCGTAGCCTCGGATTGCGATGGGGGGGGGGGGGGGGCTCGAACCATGGGTATCGGGCGGAACGGCGTTGCCTCTTTTTTTTTCTTTTTTTTTTGGTTGCGGAAACATACCGCCAAGCCCATCTGGCTTTTGTTTGTTGTCGAAGTACGCTGGCTCTAGAAAGGGAGGCAGAAGGCCACTTCGATTTGGCATTTGCACCTGATGACAGCTCCCTCGCAACCCGTGTGACTATAGGATGAGCATCAGGGGGTGATTGTTAGATGTTATCTGTAATGACAGCCATGTTCCCTCGGGGACCGGGATTTAAGATCGGCCAAATCAAGACTAGGTGAAAGCACCGGGCCCCCCCGTCTGTCGCCCCGTTGTAAATCGGCTCTCTACGCGATAAGAATCACGGCCGCCTGCGGGTCGGCTGACGAACACCCCCGCGATCTACACATACACCATGTGGCTCGCTCGTCCAGGGGCGACGAAGTAGGCTGTGGACGTGCTGGTGCGTCGACGTTCCGAGTGGCTCGAGTGACAATGGAGGCTGAGGCATTGATGACGCGAAGATAGCTCGGGGTGGGTTGCAGCGAAGCTATCCAGCGGGATGCACAAGCGTTGTCATTCTGCAATAAAGCAACTCCGCCACTGCTCACATCATAAGTCGGGCGTCAAGGTGTCAGGTGAAGAGAAGAGGAAACGGAAGGTAGTCGTCAGGGCGGTGAATCTGCAAGTATTCCTGCCCGCCTCGTATTTGTAGGATTATAATATTATGCCTAAGAAGGAGTAACTCGACGACATAGGTAGTAGACGGATAAGTGGCGCCGAGGTAGATGATGTAGTGAGAAGAAGGTGGCGGAGCTCGGAATAAAACGAAACGCAGCAAGCCCATGTCGCCTGGCACTGCATTTGCCTCTTTGGATTAAGCGGTGGAATGTTTCTAGAAGGTTGGAGCCCACCCTGACCCACCGGCCTTCGAGTCTGCCCAAACCGGCACAGTTGCAAAGGTACTTACTTTCGTTGTGGCCACCCACAAGATATCACTTATTGCACTAGTGACAAACTCGTTGGAGCCCACATCTCAACTTTCCCAAGCTACACCTGCACCGGCTCCGACTCCGTGTTCTTTTCTTCCAGAAAATGGCTCGTCCGAACACTACCTATCCCCTAGGTGCAAAATCAAACAACCAATCCTCTGCACGTCTTACTCTCCCTTACATCGCCGCTAACCTTGTTGTTACTGCCTGGGCCAATGCAACCAATCAAGTCCACGTCGGTGCGAATGGGCAATTCGTACCGAGGAATAACGATAGCTGAACTGTTGGCTCCCACTTGGTTAACTTGGGTCTCAGGCGATTCAGGTGGGCAATATGCAGCTCCGCGGCGGATCCAGCGGGCTAGCCTGAACGAACCCCCGATGGGAAAAACACCTTACTGCGTAGACAGTCGATCCTTACGCTGCCACCGCGCTGCGAGTCCCAACACACACACACACAAGCACAACGTGGCGTTTGAGCGTCCGGTCTGCCGCCTATTATGAAAACATCAAACGAGGTACCAGAGTACGCAAGCTTGCTGCCGTCTCCGCGAGGTGCACTATGACTTCACCTGCCTTATTACGAATGAACCAATAACGGCCTCGTACTTTGCCGTACCATTGTTTCTCGGCTGATTCCACTCTGGACCCTGTACGGATACAAGGGCAAGAACTGGGACTGCAAGCGTTCACGCGCTCACTAGTGTGGCAGTGCGGGGCTAGGCAACGAGATATGATATCCCTTCCAGTCAAGCCTTTCCCCTTCCGCGATTCCGATCTTCAGTCTATCTCGACAGCCGCATCACAGTCCTGCCAAGTTTCGCCCCGAGACCTATTTGCAAAACTAATACAAACACTGGCATGCCAGTGAGCGATAATCTGTCGCCGCGCCATGACATACACGGCACCAATACTCGCCCCTGTCGCCGTCCTTCAACCCCTTGCTTTGACCTTGCGTTGGACACGGTACTTCGGGCCCCCAGATCCGGGTTGACTGACCGTGACCTCGACCCTGCCGATGCCGTACTTGTACTTAGACTATAAACACAGTACCGTACCCCGTATGGCGGAGCACCAGAACCCTTTCCGTAATGGCCTTTATCGTGCCCCAGTTTATCTTTTGGGTCTGCTAGGCATGTCTTGGGTCACTCGCGTAACTTTGTCAATAAGGCCCGGAGAAGGTCACTCAGTGCTGACTGCCCAGCCGGAACTGCCCCCATGAGCCATTGAGTCCTCGTCCTTGGGACTCAAGGCCGGTCCGTTTAAACAAACCCCTCTCATACCGTAATCTTATGCAACTCCCCACCAGCCCTGTCAAACGATAGGTTGGGCGCATCGTCGTGGGAGTATCTGGCGGGTCTTGGGCTGACCCGATTCCAAATCTGCCAGTTTGTCGTCTTCTCAACCACAAATAATGCATGCATATCTGCTTGACTCTGTCGATTTGGTGGCTGGCGACTTCTAAGCCCCCTTCTAGAATCATGTCACTCATCGAGGGGTCCAATATTGCCCTCCGTAATTACAAACTGGTGGAGAGACCCCAGCACCCGTAGTTTGTTTCCTCGCTTCACGCCGCCTGGGCACAGGCAACTCTATCCTATCTTCACCCTCCGCGGCAATGGACCGGAGAGGGGCGGGCGCTGAAGTAGCCCTTTTGAGGCTCCCCATGGCCAAGACCGTCTTACGGAGACGAAACCATGTGCTGGTGGGCATCCATGACCCATTCCGCCAGCACCTCGTGTATCTGTGCCGCTCTTATTCCTTCAAGGCGGTGAACTTGGCTTTGCCTCATCCTACTCATACTTTAACCGCCCATTGCCCACTCCAATCCGCGGACTCTCGAGTGACGATCACTTCGGAACTCCACCTGCTTCATCTTTTGGTGTCTTGGTCTGTCGTTTAGAGACTGCCTGCCCAACTTCGCACGAAAGGGCTTTCACTCTTTTGCAAACCTCGATACATAGCAAGATACCGTACCGCCATCCTCCCACCCTTCAACCGCAATCAAGCTTTCTCCATGGGAAGCTGTTTGTGAGCCACCATCTCGTCCGTTCAAAAGTCTGGCACTCGCCGAATTGTGTAAGTTGCTGCATTTTCTTGGCTCCCGACGGCAGTCTCTACTACCGCTTACCTCTGTCAATCCACCTTTGCCGCCCCCATTCTCGTGAAGCCGCCCTTCCATTACTGAACTGCTATCCAGAAGCCGGGATAGAAAACGGTTTAGGTAGCACGGAAGCTTGACTTATTTTTGACGAAACAATGGACAGCCTATACCACCGCGGCACAAATTATTATGTTAACGCAACGTCTCCAGTGTCGCCAGGAGACTACCTCGAGTCTTCCACGTTCCTAGAGGCTCCGGAACTTGCGCGCCAGCTATCCGACATCAGCTCTAGAGGACCTCTTACACCCTCTTCGTACGGCTCTTCACCTGGGATGTCATACTCGTATCCGCACAACATGAGTCATTCTCCGGCAGCCAATTACGCCGACAGCTACGACGAGAGCTACGGAGATAGCTATGCGGCATACTACGGTGACGATTATACGAACGGCGCATCTTCGTCAACACAGCAAACGTCGGAGCCTTACCGCGGAAGCATCGACTGGTCCCAGTATGACTATGTCCCTACCGAGGACGGAGGTTACTGGCAGATGAAACCGCGATATGTTCCTGCAGGACAGTTTCCAGCAGTGATACCCCACCAAGGGTACGTGACAGTCGGGGCCTCTCACGCAACCATGAAAAGCGATGCTAACGATGCTGCGTGCAGGGGTCAAGAGCAGCAAGAAGCAGTGGACTACAAGTTCCCCTGTCTGGAGGCGGGGTGCACAGCGAACCCGTTCAAGCGCAAAGCCGATCTCGAGAGGCATTACAGACAAGTCCACCAGGACCCGTCCAAGAAAGAAGCTCACAAGTGCGACTACCCAAAGTGTTCACGGAAAAACGAGCCGTTTGGACGACGAGACCATTTCCGGGACCATCTGCGAGATTACCACAACGAGGACATCTTCAAGCGAGGTACGCACGTCGAAGACGGCTGGCTCAAAGGACGCAACCTCTCGTCGCGGTGGTGGCGGTGCTCGAAATGCTTGATCCGAGTCGACGTCAACTCGTACCCCGACCACGTCTGCCCAAAGTGCAAGAATCCATGCGAAGACAAGCGCAAGCGTGCGAGAGGTTGGCACTGAGGGTCGTCGAGGGCACTGCCCCCATGAATTTTCACCTGGCGGTAAAAAAGCTGATGCCTAGAGATGAAGATGACACCCACGCGCGCGCGCGCGCGCGCATACACACAAACACACACGCACACACCTCTGCAACTGGACGACTGCTTCCCCACATGGAAGGTAGTGATGGATGTTTCGCGACGTAACGCAAGCCACATTCGGAATCCAGGAGTCGGGGCAATTACCCGACACCGACACGACATGACAACCTGGCAAGGAACCTCGTTTTTCTTGTTTGGTTCGGTAAGAGCGCGGCTGATGCAGCACAAGCTCATGACGCTGGCGGCATAGCAGGGCCAATCATGTCGGAGCGCCTTGGCCACCCTGCAGCTCCCTTTCTCTTTCGGAACTGGGCGGCCGGCGCAGTCCCATGCCAGGCTTTCCGTACCGTACCGGGACCAAAAAGGCCGTGAGGTTACCCTTTGCGCCTTCATTGCGATTGGGCGTGGTCAGCATGATCCCAGGCATCCGTGTGGACCGGGAGGGTTGTGAGGGTGTCGTTTGACGTCCGGCTATGCCCAAGCGGGAAGGCTTCGAGAAGGGTTCCGTGCCGGCTGCGTGGCTTTGGCCTCTCCACGTCCGACACTGACGGTGGTTGTGATACCTTGGAAATGATTTCAGCCAGTTGCTGTACTTGATTCATACGAGGGGTGGAACGCTCAAGCATGCATAGATAGGCTGACAGCAAGGCAGTTGCCTTAGCGTAGCTGGGGTGTGTGTGTGTGTATGTGTGTGGGTGTGTGTGTGTGTGTGTGTGTGTGTGTGTGTGGTGATTGACAACGATAACTCCTAGTTAGAGGGCTTGTTGTGTATTGTTTCTCTGCATGGCAGCGGGGGGGGCAAGGATTGTGTCTTTCTTTACTCCTTTCCTGTCTGGTTTTGGTTTGGTTGTCTTTGGAACTGGGGGTGTGAAAGGGGTGTGAGAGTGGAAGAGACGGACGGATTGATACGACGGACGACGATTGGAGCACCTTGCAGATGTGGCGCAAGGCATATTCGGGATGATGAGAGGCGGTTTTTAATGGTTGATGTGGGTCGATTTATCGGTCTTCTCGTACTCGAGGCATTGCATTCAAGGGTCTTTGACTGGGCTGATCGGACAACGGATGGTCATGCATACGGGACGGCGACGGCTTACCGTTTTCCGGAAGCGGGACACCTCTGATTTTCTTCCCTTTTTTTTCTTCTTCCTTTTTCTTTACTTCTTTAGCAACCATGGCTGCTGCCACGACATCAAACGACGGACGGTAAACGACCTAGGCTGTTGGAGGGATCAACAGCGTAAGGGACAAGACAGAGATAGAAGGGAGGGAGTCGGGGGGAGGAGGGACAGAGTAACGAAGACAAAGATACCCTATTTGGATAACACATCCGCTTCTAATTGATCGCATCGTACACGGCTGACGGGAGCGGCAGGCTGAGCCCATGAGATGAGCTCACCCTACCGATGTCTCTCGCTTGGGAGGGAGGGCCGGAGTGAAACAGGTAAACAGAGAGGCCTTGGGTCAGGTAAGCTTAGTGGAAGAAAGGTGGTTGGCGGAATAGGGCCGCGGTGGTGGAATTGGTTTGATGGCGGATGGATGGAAGTGAAACCGGCCCACTCGGTTACGTTGGGACAGGAATGGTCCGCCAAAACAGAAACAGCCTTGTGGGAATGTCTGACGATGGCACGATAGGGACAGAGCATGTTTTGTCTCGGGTCCTCTTTGGGTCGTACTCCGAGGATAGGTATTGGGATTGAGAGAGAGAGCGTGTGTGAGTGGGTGTGTGTATGTATGTGTGTGTAAGGTACTGGGTTGAGCAGTTGGGAAAACGCCAAGCCTAGCATGCCCTGCAGGGTGCGGGGAGACGGGTGGTGGTGGCTTAGAATCGATAGGCTTAGCGTACATACGCTGATGATGGCGCAAGGGCGAACTGGGACTTTGGTGCTGGAGGTGGGCGATGTATCATACATAAAGAACATACTGACATTACACTCCATGCATGCCATGGTTTCTGTTGATCGCCTGCTGCGGAGCCCTCCAGCCAAGAAGGGGCGGTGGTGATCTCTACGAGAGCTAGTGTACTCCGTAAGCAGTGTGGCATTCTGTCTTGTCAGTTTACGAACACGACACGGATATGAAATGATGAGCCCGCCCTGTTTCTCCATGGGGACATTTGCAAGCAACATGGCATGCAAGCAGGCACGAGCACGTTCTCGGCGACGATTCCGATAAGTATGATTTGCCGGCGAATTGCTGCTGCTGCTGCTGCTAATGCGGCAGATATGTCAAAGAAGCTGACGAGACTGGGTGTCCAGAGGATGACGGACTGGGACGCGGGAGAGATACAGGGTATCCTCACCTCAGTCATTCTCTCCCTTAAGAGAGAGATGGAGACAGAGAGGCTGCGCAGCGGTGTACGTGTACGGCGTAGAAATAAGGAATCTTGGCGGGGGTGCATGGGTACAGCGTTTATGCTTATTGGAGTGTGTGTGTGTGTGTGTGTGTGTGTGTGTGTGTGTGTGTGTGCGTGAGAAACTGGGCTGTGATGGATGCTCTTATTTGCCAGTGTATGGAATCACTCGTACATTCAGTGCGCGCGCACACGAACACACACCACACCTGCACCGTAGTGAGGCCAGCCAGGCGAGCCCTGCCTGCCTGTCTTTCCTCGGCCTGGAGGATACAGCAATAGTGCCAATAGTTCAAACGAAACCTTGCTTTGGGTCGTAGGAGCCGGCTGGGATTAGAGTCGGGTTTAGCGCCCATCGCGGCGCGGCGTCGTCACGGCCACCGTCGTCACGGCCACTGTCGTGGCCCAACGAAAACAACAACGGGGATATCGCTAGGAGTTGGCAAAACGGCACCCTCTGCAGGTTGTGTCAATGGATGTGGTGCGCTCTGGGGAGACAACGCCAGCAAAGATGCCCTCCCTCGGATGGGGCACAGCGGCGGAGAGAACATCAATTGATTAGAACCACACTCGACCTGATCGACTACCCATTGACTGCAACCAAATGTCGTAAATTTGTAGATCCGTAGGGATAAGAGAAACCGGCTTGTATACGTACCTTGGTAAAGAGAAAGGGATAGGGCTGAGCCGTTTCTGGATGGTCGAGGGGAGGGAGTGAGACATTGGCATGTTCGTCTAGATTGGCGGTGTTCAGATATCCAGGATATTAGGCATCACCAAGGTACACCACACCATTCGGACTCTTGGCCGTTAGATAGCCTGCACAAGGAATCCCTCTCATCTGAGATAAACAGACCTGCCGAATGCAAAGGATATGCGCAAGGCTATCACCGCTGAGAGGGCAGTGTACGTAGGCGCCCGTGGAAAAGGGAACACGAGACATGAGACTGGCGCGAGGGACACCGATATCTGACAGGCAGGTTTGGCTGCAGGCTGCAAGAGTTGCATCGCATACCGAGGTTACGTTTGACGTGATCCTTTCGTGGTTGTGTGTGTGTGTGTGTGTGTGTGTGTGTGTGCGTGCGTGCGTATGACTCGGCTGTGTGCTTTTTCCAGTCTTGTTGTTAGCATGGATTGCGTAGGGAACGTTGTAGATCGGTCGGTCGGTCACATATGCACAAGACTCCGCGGACTGCGCAGGAGCCGGTGCAGCATTCACAATCGGGCGACGGAGGTTCGGAGGGAGCCGCACGTGACGTCTGCCGGGATTATGCTTATCAGATAAGTGGCCTTGCTCAAGGATAGAGGTATGTAAGTTCCCCTACCAGCCTGTGCTTACCTAAGGCAGGACAAGAACCTCGGTGTTCAGAGCTCGGTGCTTCGGTGGTCGTTGCGACGGGGAGGTCTAGCGTCGCCGAGATCGGAGCGACCCAGCGAATTTTTTTAATCTCTTTTTTTAATTTTTTTTAATTTTTTTGGGGGGGAAACCCCCCGCCTTTTTTTTTTTTTTTTCTCTTTGGAAAGCTCTAGGGCTTTATCGATGAGTTTCTGGGTCGATACCAGTGTTAGTGCTGAGTGCTTGTTGCTGATCCTACCAAGATGCGGAGTCCCTACACGACTCCGGCAAAGAGGTAGCAATGTGCCGGCGCATTTTAACTCCGGCATCATCGCAAGACGAACGCCTGTACCCCTCAACCTTGCCTAGATATCAACCAGAATTTACGTCCGGCGGGCAATGAACCACATAGGCCGAGCAATGTCTAGAACCAACAAACGAAACAGTTATTACGATGCGCAGCACCCTCGTCCGTTGGAGGCTTCAAGCAACAACATTGAATGCTGTTTCGCCCTGTTTGCTTTCCCCGCACGAAGCTCTCTGGCAGCATGTGGGGAAGAGGCGCAGAGAGGTCCTTTCTTTAGCCCTTCCAATCAGACTCCTTCCGTGCAGTGTTCCCGTTCCTTCTACCCATTCCGTTCACGTATTAGTTGCTCCGCAAACAGCAGAATGGGGGGTCGAGGGTTGGGTCACAGGCGCTCTTCTGAGACAAGAAGAGGTGATGCCTGCAGGACGAAACTTTTTCGCTGCAGAAGATTTTCGTGTCGATTGAGCACGGCTCGACAACGACAGTCGAAGGATAAATGGTACTTAGCTCAAGGTTTTGTTCAAGGCTGCATGCCAATATAGGATCACGAAAAGGACTCATCCAACCTCAGAAGCCAAGGACCGACCGAGTAGTGGTCGGTCCGAGGTAGGTAGGGGGAGGGATCCCTTGCCCTGACTGGGGCCGATGTTATCCATCCACGGAATTGGTCGTTCTACTTCTAATACCTCGCAAGCTCTGCGGCCAGCGGCCGGTCAGTGGACACTATAGAAAATACCTGCAAAAATAGAGCTGCGTGGTATCTCTACTTCAATATCTACGTAGCTTCGTCTGACCCGCCCACATCGGTCCCCGGGGAGGGTAAAAAAAAAAAAACACACCTGTGACGATCTCGGCTCTCGGCTGTCCTCCCGCCTTGCTGTTGCGGTTCCGTGCTGTTTGACTCTTGCTCAGCTCCTGCTTGACTCTTGCCCCGTACGAGTTTGATTGCAACCGGTCGCATCCCTCCCACCTCTTCCTCTACAAAGCGGTTTGCCATTATTAGCCTTTGCAAGCTTCCCCTCACCATCATCTTCCTCCCCGAACCGGACCTACTCGAGATCGCAGCTTCGCAACCGTCATCAACTAGTCGTGGCTTGGCTCTTGCACATCCGCTACGTACGTCCTTCTCCTGCACTTGGCGGAAACCTGCAGCAAGCCAACACAGGCCCCGGAAGCCAGTTCAGTTGCCGGCTCATACACTACTCGGGAATCGCTGTCATCTTCCTGTCTCCCCCGCCCGCCGGTCAACGACCGAGAAGCCGAAAATACCCTTCATATTCGCGCGCAACCGCCGCCACTACCCAATTTCCACCGCCATCATGAACGCAGCCCGTTTCCTCCGCCGACCCGCAACCTTTGCCCTCCGCCCATCCTTCTTCGTTCCCCCCTCCAGCTTCTCCCCCGCCCCCGCGTCATTCATCGCCGTCCGCACAATGGCGTCCGCCGTTCAGAAGATCAAGGTCAAGAACCCCGTCGTCGAGCTCGACGGCGACGAGATGACCCGCATCATCTGGCAGACCATCAAGGACAAGTTTATCCACCCCTACCTCGACATAGACCTCAAGTACTACGACCTCGGCCTGCCCTACCGCGACGAGACCAACGATCAGGTCACCCTTGACGCCGCCGAGGCCATCAAGAAGTACTCGGTCGGTGTCAAATGCGCCACCATCACACCCGATGAGGCCCGCGTTGAGGAGTTCAAGCTCAAGAAGAGTAAGTTTGCTTTTTCTTCGCCCACTTGGGACTTCCGCTATGTGTTGGGGTTCCCTCAATCCCTCTTTTTGTCTCATTCTGCACGTCCTCCGCATTTCGGGAGGCGCCGTCGGAAGCCTGCATATAGTTCCCCCCTCGGGGGCTCTGCATAGGTCCCGTCATCACCTCTCGGACCTCTCCCCCACTAGAGTTACAACCAATAGAGACAAGAAATAAGCTAACTAAATGGCTTCCTTCCCTTACGACAGTGTGGCTCTCCCCCAACGGTACCATCCGCAACCACCTTGGCGGCACTGTCTTCCGCGAGCCCATCGTCATCCCCCGCATCCCGCGACTGGTGCCCGGCTGGAAGAAGCCTATCATCATCGGCCGCCACGCGTTCGGCGACCAATACCGCGCCAAGGACGCCGTCCTCCCCGGCCCGGGCACCCTCAAGATGGTCTACACACCCGAAGGTGGTGAACCCCAGGAGATTGAGGTCTTCAAGTTCAAGCAGGGTGGTGGTGTCGCCCAGACCCAGTACAACACGGACGAGTCCATTACCGGCTTCGCCCACGCCTCCTTCAAGCTTGCCCTCGACAAGAAGCTACCCCTGTACATGAGCACCAAGAACACCATCCTCAAGAAGTACGATGGCCGCTTCAAGGACATCTTCCAAGAACTCTACGACACTCAGTACAAGGCCGACTTCGAAGCGGCCGGCATCTGGTACGAGCACCGCCTCATTGACGACATGGTCGCCCAGATGATCAAGAGCTCCGGTGGCTACATCATGGCCCTCAAGAGTGAGTCCCCCGTCCCGTTTTCAAAACATCTCGATTCTTGGAGAATAAGGAGTGACACAATCACTGACGCGACGACCAGACTACGATGGTGACGTCCAGTCCGACATTGTCGCCCAGGGCTTCGGCTCCCTCGGCCTCATGACCTCGGTCCTCATCACTCCCGACGGCAAAACCTTCGAGTCTGAGGCGGCCCATGGCACTGTGACGCGCCACTTCCGCGAGCACCAGAAAGGCAAGGAGACGTCGACCAACCCCATCGCCTCTATCTTCGCCTGGACCCGCGGTCTCATCCAGCGCGGCAAGCTCGACGACACCCCCGAGGTCGTCGCCTTCGCCGAGTCCCTCGAGAAAGCCTGCATCGACACTGTCGACGTCGATGGCATCATGACCAAGGACCTCGCGCTCGCCTGCGGCAAGTCCGCCCGCGAGGACTATGCCACCACCAACGAGTACCTCGACGCCGTCGAGCGCCGCATGAAGGCTATCCTCAAGGAGAAGCTGTAAACCGTCGGTTTGCCCTTGCTAAAAGCGGCCGGGAGGCATGCCACGATCACATTTTTCTCAAAGGCAAAAGCAGGAAGCTTGCTGCGAGACGATACCCATGAAATATAAGAAACAGTTGGGCGGCAGAGTCCGGGAGGGTTTGCTCCCTTTTTCAAGAACACTACTATATCTATGGGCCTGCGATCTTACTTTTTGCCTTTTTTTTTCTTTTTTTTTTTTCGCATTTGAACGTCAATATCGACGGCGGCGGCGGCGGCAGCAGCAGCAGCAGCATGGCCATATATCTCTTTGTATTTTCGGTTTCGTCTCTTCCGAATCTTCTTGTGAGCTACTTCATATCACGCCCGTCTCGACATTAATCAGCGAAAGACGGACACTGCGAGAGAGGAAGAGACTGGGTGAGGGAGGCCGTTCGTAGATAGGAGAAGCCAGCTCCGTGGTGAATATCGACAGCCATTTATCACATTGGAAAAAAAGATGTCGTCTGTTGTGTTGCCGTCAAGCGAGCACGCCAAAGATGGCGGTGAAATAATGAAAAGAAAACAATTGTGCCATTGCCAGTCCTTGATAAGTTTTGTCCTTCCCCCCTTCGAATCTGGGTCTGGTGGAGGATACCCCCGTTACGCCGTCCCTTTGATTTCTGTTCCTCTACTTCACTTGCCCCACGCGCATGCTCGTAAGCCTTGAACCTCCCCCCGGCGATCGAAGAAGATGCGAAACCGCCATCATTCTGTGATGTACTGTACAATTCTAAAAAGGAAATGAGGGTGGAAAAGAAAGGAAAAAAGTGTCCGCGCAGGGTTTTTTTTTCCCCAGCCCGTGTATACATGCCGGGTTTGGTTAAGCCGCCCTCCCCATACTGGCCTGTGTGTGCCGTTGGTGGGCAGCTACGCCAGAAGAGTCCGAATGCTCAGTTGTGAAACCCCCTTGATGTGAAGTAGACCCTGCTCGAGTTTCTGCAACGATTCCCATGCAATGGCTTAAACAGTTTAATGTCAATTCCTGTATTAACAGGCAGACTGCCGCAAACCGCCGGTGGCCGTTGGGCATTTGGTCCAACCCCCAGACACGTTCGCATCCGTCAGCCATCAATACGGGCAAGCCACTAGTCGTCCCTGTCGCGCGCGGCCTCGCTCTTGCGGCCCCGCTTTGTCACCGTAGGGGTCCCGATGTCAGCGCCCTCGCTCTTACGCTTCTTCTTGGTAGGTCGGCTGCTCGAGCCTCGGGGCCGGTACCCCTCGTCCTCGTCTCTGCCGGCGCGCTTTCTCTTGCCGCGACCCGTGGCCGGGGTCGCGAAGCTGGGGCCGTCCGAGTCCGCCTCGTCATCCATGCTCTGGTCGTAGCTGTCGGCGTCCCGCCGCAGAGCGGCTGCCCGTTCGGCAGCCGCCGCCGCCTTCTCAGCGGCCCTCTGCGCGGCTTTCTCGGCCCGCACGGCTGCGAGGGAGGCACGCTTACCGCCTCGGGACCGGCCGCCACGAGTCGATTCACCCCTATGTGCGCCGCCGCGTCGCTTACGGCCGTCGGTCGGGGGGGCCTCGACAGTCTCGTCGTCAGCGGCGGTAGCGGCATTTTCGGCATCTTGCAGGAACGTCTTGGGCGCGTGCTTGCGCAGCCAGTTGTACACGCTTGTAGGGTTCTTCATAGCGATGCTCTGGGAGAGCGCGTGGGGGTTGGTCTCCGGAAGGGGGGCGTTCGTGCGGGCGGCGGGCGCCAGCGTCGGAAGAAGGTTGTCAGGGTCGACACGTCTGTCGACATCGTGCATATAGTCATCGATGTCGTCAGGCGTCAGGAAAGACGGAGGATGGAGCTCGCCGGAGAAAGGCTCCATGTCGGCAACCACGGTGGGATATTGCTCCTTTGCCTGGGAGTAGGTATAGTGCGGCACCTCGTTGAGGAGCGTCTTCAACGACTTTGTCGGTCCATCGGAACTCGGCTCTTTATCGACGTCAAGAGGGAGGAATGGGGAATCTTCGGGGGTTTCCTGTGCAAGGTCGAAGCGTTTGTCGTAGGGTATTTGAGCCGAGGCATTCATGTCCAGCAGCAGGTCGAGTATGCGACTGTTGAGAAAAGAAAAGTGTTAAAGCACCGCACAACTTTACCTAGGGGGCCTGTCCAATGATGGATTCTGTGCACTCACTCGTTCTCGATGGCGATACGTTTGGCAGTAGCGAGCGCGTGAGACTCCTGACGATGCAGCTCCTCGCAGTCGTGCATCTTCTGGTCAAATGTGATGCGCATCTTGCGGTACTTCTTCTTCCACGACTTATACGTCGTCTTTCCCTCTCCTGTTCTGCCGTCGTCGGAGTCGTGGCCCTCGGCCTTGACTTCGCGGCTCGTGCTGGTGCCGTTGGCGTCGCTCATGGCGGACGGCATGGGGCGCAGACAACGGGGAGGGTTTTCCGGTAATTGTCGGGATGGGGGCAATCAATCGCGAATCGGAGATGGCATCGATTGACTGAAAGAGGGGGTTTTAACGATGAAGGGCGAATTACAGGTATCTCCTACCATTGACGGGTGAGGGAATTTGTTGATGCTGTTGATGACATTAAGAGCTGGCTGACTGTGGGATTGGGAGACCGCGACGTTGCGTACGGAGTTTCCACTGGCGCGCGGATGCAGGGCGACGAGGCTGCGATGCACGTTCCTGACCACTTCTCTCCAGTGAGAGCTTGGGGAAAGCGTCAACAATACAACTACGCGGGGGGTCTACATAAGCAAGCTTACGCTCGAGAGGAGGGTGTGGGCTGAGCAAGGAAATATGGGGTGTGGCTATCATATCTCAAACTCTCCAAATCTTCGCTCTCACTTTTGGAGTGAAAGGTCACAAAATCGACTGAGTTACAGCTACCACAACCCGGCTTTTACTACACGTCCAACCCCCTTCCCGCGTCCGCGATTGCATGTTCCGCTTCTCCAGAGCTTTCCGAATGGCCGAAAACGCAGCAAAGAGACTCAAGATGTCGCCCGTTACCATCGGCACCCACAATGGCCACTTCCACGCCGACGAGGCCCTGGCCGTGCACATGCTGCGCAAGTTGCCCACCTACCACGACTCCCAGCTGATCCGCACCCGCGACCCCAAGCTTCTCGAGACCTGCCACACCGTCGTCGACGTCGGCGGCGAGTACGACGACGGCAAGAAGCGCTACGACCACCACCAGCGCGGCTTCGCCACCACCTTCCCCGGCAAGAACACTAAGCTGTCGAGTGCCGGCCTTGTCTTCATGCACTTTGGTAAGGCCATTATCGCCCAGAAGCTCAGCGAGGGCGCCGAGAAGCCCGTCACCGAGGACAGCCCCGAGGTCGAGCTGTTGTACAACAAGCTGTACGAGAGCTTCGTCGAGGCCCTCGACGCCCACGACAACGGCATCTCCGTCTACGACCCCAAGGCCGTCGCCGCCGCGGGCCTCGAGAAGCGCTTCAGCGAGGGCGCCTTCACCCTCGGCTCCGTCGTTGGCCGCCTGAACCCTAACTGGAACGACCCGGTTCCGTCGGACCCGGCCGAGGCTCAGAAGCTCGAAGACGAGCGCTTCGTCAAGGCGAGCCGCCGCATCGGCGAGGAGTTTGACGCCGACCTCGACTACTACGCCAAGGCGTGGTTGCCTGCCCGCGCCGTCGTGCAGGCCGCCTTCGAGAAGCGCACGCAATACGACCCCGAGGGCCGCGTGCTGGTGCTCGAGGGCCAGAGCGCCCCCTGGAAGGATCACCTGTACTCCCTCGAAGAAGGCAAGCCCTCTGTCGTCTACGTCTTGTACCCCGAGAAGCCCGCGCCCGATGCCAAGTGGCGCGTGCAGGCGGTGCCCGTCACCAAGGACTCGTTCGAGAGCCGCAAGCCGCTGCCTGAGGCGTGGCGCGGATTCAGAGACGAGGAGCTGGACGGCATCTCCGGCATCCCCGGCTGCGTCTTCGTTCACGCGGCTGGCTTTATCGGCGGAAATAAGACCTTCGATGGCGCCAAGGACATGGCGATCAAGGCATTGGCTCTGTAGAAGGTGGGCGCCCGAAGAGTCTGGTCACTGGGAGGAAGGTCATTGGAACATGGGACGGCGTATGGCATCAAAGAAAAAAGTGTCTTAATGCTCATCAATACATTGGTTTCCCCATCACGCCTACGGGTTGTCCAGAAATTCCTTATCGTGTCATAATGGTGAAGGCGCCAAAACGGCCCCCCCTCCCCCCCTCAGACTCCCCTCTCTCCCTATATGCATACCTGTCAAAATAAAATCGGAATGACCCAGATCTGGTTACGCTCTTGATGTTATCGGGATAGGGAGGGAAGTCCACATGCATCTAGGAAAGCCACCTCACCCCATCGCAGAGTCACATACGGAAGCCGTCAGCAGTGCGCTAACGCCGCTATAAGTGATCGACGGCGTAGAATGGGGTACAATTAGTGGCACGAGGGTATGCACATGTGGTTTAGACGAAGGGAGTTTCGATTTCGGTTATTACCATCTGTCGTTTCCTTTCCTCCCCCTTCGGTCCAGAATCCATGTACGGGGAAAAGTTCAGTCTTCAATACTAGTGCCGCGCATCGTGGGAACATGTCTGGGGATGCGTCGTCGATAGAGCGCCGCAGATCGCAATTCCATCCACAACAGAGAAGCCGACAGATATCGAGTCTCGTTTCCATTTCAACAACCGTTTGTGTTTGGTTCCCACCCGATTCCAACGCCTAAGAGTTCCATGAAAAAAGATTCGACACAGCATCATAACATCATAGTAGAAATCCGGCACCAACAAGCACCCAATTTGCCACCGGGGAGTCCCAACAGTACTCATACGAAGCCTGAGGGAGGAAGAAGCGAGTTGACCAAGTAGACGCAAAGGTCGCTTAAGGCATGTCTCATCTTCGGATAGGAATGCTCTCCATCTTGGCGGTTTCGTCGACCGGCAAGTTATTCTCCTTGTCTTTGTGCTCAACCTCCTCGGCACTGGTCTCCTGGTTGAGGAAGCTTGCCTCCTTCACGGGGCTGCCGGCGTGTGCGCCACTGGGGATGCTGCCGTGGTGCTTGTTGCCGTTGAGGGAGGACGAGGAATTGTTGACGGGGCTCGAGAGGTGAGGGATATTCTCAGGAACGGGGTGTTGGGAGCCGACGGCGCCCGTGTCGACGCTGTCGCCCTTGCCAGCCTTGGACATGGCATAGTCCCCTGAGTCGAAGTACTTGCGGTCCTTCAGGTGCTTGGCGAAGTGGTCCGAACGAGAGGGAAGTTTTCCGTAGAGGCGAAAAAGACGCTGCTCCTCAGGCGAGAGGGACTGGGAGGGTATCAGGTCAGCGGAAGGCACGTTGGTTGTGGCGATGAAGGGCGGATTGAGTTGCAAGTCGCGATGCTACTGCCGGCTTCACTGCCAGGGTGGGGGGGCATTGGGTAGCAAGAGTTTGGTGTTCACTTACCGAGACGTCGATCTTATTCTTCTGAAGGGGGTTCATCTTGTCGGCAGGTGTCGAACTCGAAATTGGCGTTGAACGGTTGGTTGGTATACAAGAGTTCGCTCAAGGTTCGCAGCCAGAAGGGGGGAAGAAGGCGGGAGAGGAGGGACGTTGAAGGTGAAGTAGACGGAGTGGGATGCAGTGCGAGTGACGGAAGTTTGAGGTGCTGGTTGTAAGGCGGCGGGTGCGTCTTAGTGGTTTTTAGCGGGGCCCCTTTCTTTTAGGGGAGAGGGGAACGGGATAGTGAAGTTAGGCCGGGTCCAGAGGCAGAAGGGGGGCAGCAACTCAAGGGTGGGACAAGAGTGAGTGGACGGCAAGGGGTACGTACCTACTGCCCAGATGTACCGCTATATCGTGTGTCGAGTTTGGAGGAGTATCTACCTAGATAGATACCAGGTGGTAGGTACCTCATGCACAGGTGTCAGTTGAAGGAGGTAGTACCTAACTATGTATGCTCGGTTGAGCTCGGAGACAGGCCAGACGAACCACAACAAGGACGCAAGGCACAGGGAGCCTGGCAAAGCCGAGAGCGACTGATTTTAGGTGAATTCAAAGATGAGGTTCGGTTCCAGGGGGGTGGATATGATTTGACTCACAACTAACCGACCGGGCCAGCCATAAACCCTGGATATGGAGTCAGTGGACGGGCAAAAAAATTGGTTTCATCTGGTTTCCATGGTCATGACGAAGCACAAAGTATGAGCAAGGACAATACATAATTAGCAAAAGGAAGGGTCCGGGTCTGTTGTCGAGGACTTTGGCTTGGAGAGTGGCCGCATGAATGTTTACTATCCATGTTATTGCTGGGCTGCCCCATTGCCAATCACCATTCGCTGGTGCCATTAGTTTCGTTCTGCAGTCCAATGGCCTCGATGTCTGGCAGACTGGCCCGGTCCCCGATGACACACAAAGAACGGGGCAACGACTTCTATCCATGGAACAACGGCGCGACGGAGAAGATGCGGCATTATGTGAAGAAATGATGGTAACCTACCTCTGTTGAGGCTACGGGAGGGGCCACCTTCTGCTGTACGCTATGGTTCATCTTGCGAGCCCCATTACCCTCTGGCTGTTTGTCCTTTCGTCCGTCTAGATAATATATATATATAGTTATATAGTTATATATGTATATATACATATATATCCTATAGTGTTCATTGCTCCATGGAAATTTTCGAATCTAGCAAGCTCTTGCTTGACGTGTTTGTCACAGCCATCCCCTGTCGCCCGTGGCATTATCTATCTGGACGGCAGCCCGACCTAGTTATTCGTCTGCTCCTCTTCCGACAAATGCAGCATCCCGGCACCAGCCTAACGCCTCCACCGCGGACTGCGTAACCGTTGCCGATGGCAGAGCGTGCCGCCCTACCGGAAAGCATCCAGCTGTTCACTTGACCTCTTGGCCCCCCGTCCCCATACGGAAAGGATGAGCCACCTACAATTGTACCCCTGGGACCACAGCGAATCACTGCGGGATTCATTCTTTCTAGCCCGGTAAACGACATAACTACCGGTACTACACTACACTGCATATCTAGCATGTAGGTATGTGCTGCAATGCACTCCCAACACTGCCACCCGGAGGATGCAACCCAATTCCTGGACCGGCTCATCGCTGACCCCACCGAGACACAGGATTCCAAGAACAATCGGCTGATTGCCCTGGATTTCCTTGGCGACCCTCAGAGTCTCGATTGACCGTACGGCCATCGGATCGATCTGTCAATACTCAGTCGCCGTGATCGCCTCTTGTGCCGTCTGTGGTACCTGCGGCCGTCCCGCGGCTCGCATACCCGGGAGGCGAGCTCCAACTCTACCCGTTGTGCCGTCGCAGCTCCCGATGCCTTATCAGCCTTTCTGACCGACGAATGGTAATCAGCTACGACGCTCGGTCGAAGAAGATGATCCCCAATGATACATGTGACATGGTGCACACTACCTAGCACTCGGAGAGACAGAGGTGACGTAAAGCTTCTATCCCTGCGATGCCGTATTGGAGAAGGAGTGGAGGAACGAGTTCAGCACAGGCCAGACTGCGAGCCAGTATCGAGACCATCTCTGGTCTCGATAGTTCGAAGCTGTCTGGTCTGGCCACTCTCCCCGCATTCCCGCCTCCAACGTGGTTTCGACTGAGGGCATGTCATGATTTGCTCGGGACAAAGTGCCGTTTGACTAGTGCTGTGACCAAGCAAGGATCAACTAGCATGGTGGACCATTCTGCGGCTGTTTTCTGCCCCCTTCTTCATACCACCCGATCCCACGAGCCAGACTACCAGATATCGTGGGAAGTCAATGGGTGGCTTCTGCAACCCGCCCTTCCACCAGTGTGGCTCCACGCACCGCGGCACAACTCTACCCCATCATACGATCACGCCTGTTTGGAGGCAGCACGGTTAATGGCAGCCGTAAGCTCTCCTCATGTCGAGCGCACTGGGCACATGCCAAAGGTCACTAGCCGCTGATAGAGTTTGACGCTCTGTTCCCCCAGGGTTTGCCTGCATGCTGCCATCCTACTGAATGGGCCGTTCCCGTCTCGTCTCGTCTTGCCTCAAATGAGGAAAGGATGGGGTTACGGATGCTTTCGGACTCTTTTGTTTCTCGGCGTCGAAATGCGTGCTGATTGCCGGCCACGACTCCAGCTCTCCCCGGCCCATACCCCGCTTATCTGCCTTTGGTGCCGTCCACCTTTACGCAGTAATAATCGTCAAACACGACTCGGTCTTGGCCATCGTGACCTCGTGGTGGTTGTTCGCATCAAGGAAACCTTGGTTTGTCACAGCAATTGACTTTCAGTGTTCATCAAGTATTCGGAACACTAAACATTACTAGGCCTACGCCGCCGAGGAAGAGAATCTCGATTGTGGGAAGGAAGCATAATGCCCTCTCCAACGATTGTTTTTACCATGCTAGGGAGCACATCGGTATCTCCTCCTCTTTCTACAGCTGCCCAACAAACTCGACGAGGTCGTCGGGTTTGTCTGTCGATCTGATTGTTCATTCCGCCTGACGGCCTTGTTAGCCGGGTTGTGGGTGTGTGTATAAGACAGAGGGCACTCACCAAGAATCGGATCCCCCTTGCCATTAGCGTCAATAGGCTGGCCAGCGTTGAACCGAGCGTCTCTCATAACGTTATGGGGCACAGTAGTTGTGCTGATGACGAAAAGAAAAAGGTCGAGGGTGGAAGCTTGAAGGGGTTTCCATGGTTGCAGAGATGGGCACTAAGTATGCGTGGCACAGAAGGCCGCAGAGAGACAGCAGAGATGACGAGAAATCCCAATTTATTAGCAAAGGACTTCATTCTTCTCTAGCTGGGCACACACTCGAGGCTCTACACATACATTTGCCACAAGCTTGTCATCCTCCCTGGCCACGATGAAGTGTCTTGCAGAGTCGCCCACGAAACGATAAGCAGCACAGTCGACGTTGCATCTGCAGAACCATCGATTCGTGATGATAATATGGGCTGTTGGGCGGCACTCTTACCATCTGGCCATTCTATCGACCTCGAGGCCAATCGACATAGCTCACCGGCCAGTTCGAGCCCGCAGCTCGCGTCTGAAGCGGTCGACCGTTATTGGCTTTGAGCAGGGCTCACCGGTACCCTCCACCCAGGCCATTCAACATATGCCCGAAATAACGACATCATGGGGGATAGCCCAGGGTGGGAGGAGCAGAGGTCGGGAGGGTTGCCGATCCCACCTCACTAGCCTATCAGATTCAAGCGTACTTTGACAAGATGGGCTTCCGCAGCTTTTCTTGCTCCTCCTGACTTTGAGGACTTTTCCTCCGCGACGCTGGGGATGATGATGTGTTTGTTACCTGATAAGCCATCGCCAGATGTGTTTCTACGGAATATCGACCTGGATTGTTCTCCGCTCACGGCTCAGGCTCGGATTCTATACACCCTTGTATGTGTTCTTCATCTTACACGAGCATCCTGAGCCACCATGTTTAAGCAAACTAGACTACGAATAAATATGAACATAGACTAACGGCACTACTGCTGATCTCCGCATGTTTCGAGGCTACCTTACTACTGATGCCATTGGCGCGGAACTGTATGGAAATTCCTTTCCTTTTCCTAGACGTTTGTAAGGACTGTGCTTCTTTTAGATCAAACTACTCTCACGGTGTACTCAACCTTCAGCGATAAGTAGGATGACGATATTGAATTGTTAGCTTTTGGGATTTACCCACGGGTCTGTGGGGTCCATAATTGGTCATGGAAATTTCTTGAATGTCTTGGCAGAGAAATATTCGACCATATACCGCTGTCAGTTTTGAGAAGCATGTGAAAATAGCACGTCTCGAAGAGCACCATCATCTTACAGGGTCTTATTCTTCGTCGATAGCGTATATGTGGAGCTTTAGTAGCTTGACTATGTGATTTCTCATGATATGGCGGAAAATCGAGGAAGGCTTTGAAGGAGAAGGCTACGCTATGCTGCCACAACGACAAAGTATAAGGCTGAGTCTGTTACGACGAGTCACTTCTTGGGAGCGTCCTTGAAACATCCAGTTCTCTCCTGTTTCATTCAGCCCTCGTGAGCCATCTATTCAAGTTCATCATGCTCCCCAGAATTTACTGCGTGGCTCTCGTGGGCATCCTGCTTTCTTCCGCAGCAGCGATGCTGGTAAACACCAACGATCACACAAGAGAACCTCCCCCCGGGGGGATTCCCTCCATCCCAAGTATAACAGAGCCTTTAGCCTTCAACGCCCCATCCTTCAACACCTCTGGACAGCCCTTATTTCTACGGCGCCAATATCCGGCCCAAGAAGACTGATTACTTCTGAACTGGCACTGGAGATAACATACGCAAGGACTTTGATAACCTCGAGTCTCCACGACGTAAGACATATCCCCCTATACCCTCACTTGTTTGCCTCTTTCATTTATGTCAGAACCCAAGATTATTCTCTTGAGTATGTATACTGTCGGAAAATGGGGTACCAGTACATTCTCAGCTGAATCATTACTCTCACTGATGTGCATACAAGCGAGGATTTTCCTGATCATCTAGGTGCTCCCTTTATAGTAAGACGGCTCATTAGCGGCAATCTCTTGTCCCTCCTTACGACCCAGGATACCGTCTTTTACTTCGACATCTCAAATCCCTGTGGGCCCAAGTTTAGGAAGTCCAGCTGCACTCTGCCAAGTTCCGTTGTTGACGAGATTGGAACTAAGCCAGAGTGGTTTATATTCTTCCTTCCAAACTCTTTCAAGCTTAGACCCTTCTTTTGGGGCTACTTTTCATAACAGAAGCCGTGCTGACACCCCGGCCCGACCAGTAAATTCCATCATCCACATGGAGAGTGTTGTAGTTACATTGCCTGGTCACCTCGTCGAGACCAACACCGAGGCCGACATTATCTACGAGTGGCCCAAGGACATTGCCGGGAACCTTAACATTGTAGGTCAGCAGTTCAGCCCGTACGGCCTTACCGTCGCATTGTCCCAACTTTAGTCTTTGTCGTGCCTCTGACCATTCTGAAGCTGATGACAGGAATCCAGAAAGCGAATACTCTGCTTCCATGGAACTTGTCTGACAGGATCATCATTCAAACCGTCATTATTCTCGATGTAAGTCACTATACTCACTGGGGGGTTTATTCGAGATATACGGATGCGAGATATACGGATGACTTGCATGATTCTCCAGGGATCGGGTATTCGGAATCTCAAATCCATCCCCGGTAAACCTGAGAGCGCCGTCATCGCCATGTAAGTCTCCTGCTACCTTCATCGACGAGCACTGCAGAGCTGTCGGGCCGGGCCAAGTCTGGATCATCTATTCCTTGAGCCAGTACTCCTGGCAAGCAAGGCATTGTCGAGCTGCTGTACGACTTGGGGGCAAAGGCTAAGCACTCACGGCCATTCCCTCGGAAATTACAGACGACGGAAAATTTGCCTACTTCACTATCACATCAGGCAATTACGTCGCGGCGATCGACATCTTGGACCTGGACAACGTCAAGTGGCCCGGTGAACCCAACGAAACGCAGCCTATTGTCGGTCTTCGCTACGTCAAGATCAGGCCCAGCAAAAGAAGAAGCTACTAGTTACCGGGTACCTCGTGCAGGCTGGTGGTGTGAGTTCCCTCCGTTCTCTTCGTCGTGAACATGCCGGGCGACTACAACAGCCACCGGATCGACATCCTCGCTGAAGGAAGTCTGAGCTTCAACAGGTCCATCGATTTTCAGAGCATCCTCACCCGCGACCGTGGCAGCGCGCGACTTCACTCATCCGTCATGTTCGACCTGGCCGACTCCGAGGACTCAAAATACTACTAGACCATAGCTTAGAGGGAACGAACGGATTACAGGTCACATCTCCGCTTGAAGCTCGATGAGTGGAGATGGAAGAAGCCTAAGGGGCGTGATTCGATGAGGAGAGGGGGGGTTCGTTCGATAGGCTATTCGTATACTTCCTCGTAATAGTTCCTGTCTGCTGTTGTTATTTTGCATTGTAATACCAGAATCTACCCACCTACCTAGATATGTTGCGCACCGGTAAATGGGGCCGTGCGCCAACAAGTTTCTGGACATGCGTCATCTGCCCGCCCCTCCCCTGGAGAGAACCACCCGGTTCTTCCGCGTCACAGCTGCCTCCCTGGATATGGCGTAACACTAATAAACCAACTACCGTGTGCCGTGTGCCGTGACACCTTCATTTTTTGTGCACTTCAATTCTCTTCCATGTCTTCTTAAAACCCCAAGTTCTCACAGGCATCAACAGCATGCCATCTGGACGGAGTGCAGAGAAAACCCCCCCGTCGGCGGCGGCGGCGGCGGTTCAAACGGTTACCCCACCAAGCTCCCGGAGAGCTCTCGTTTGCGTAGTAGGCTTCGTTTTGTCTCTTATAGTTGTTTACGGACTTTACACACCGGGCGGGCGTTTCCGTGATACTGGAAAGTGGTTTCCCGGGATCCTCGACAACGTCGCCGACAGCGACATCGACAGTTACGTGGACAATGACTTGTACCTCATCGGCGCCGGCCGCGCCGACATCACGGGCCCGGTTGTAGAGATCAATATGATGGGTTACGCAGACCCCAAACAGCTCGGCACCGGCCTCCGGCAGAGACTGTACGCCCGCGCTTTCATCGTCGGAAGTGTGACAAGGCGCGATGACAGATTCATTTATGTTGTGCTGGACACCCAGTCGGGAGACACAGCTGTTCGGTATGGCGTCCTTCACGGCCTCGCCGAGCTAGGGTTCGAATACTCCATGTACGGTCATCACAACCTGGCCCTAACCGGAACGCATTCTCATTCCGGCCCGGGCGCTTGGCTGAACTATCTGCTACCTCAAATCACAAGCAAAGGCTTCGATAAGCAAAGCTATCAGGCCATTGTGGATGGCACGCTGCTGGCAATACGTCGTGCTCATGAGGGGCTGGAGCCAGGACACATTAGTGTCGGATCTACCAAAGTCACTGGCGCCAGCATCAACCGCAGCCTGTATGCGTATATGGCCAACCCGGAAGAAGAACGTGCCAAGTACAACACCAGCGCCGAGGAGGACGGGTCTGTTGAAAAAGACATGACCCTTCTGAAGTTCCAACGAGCTTCAGACGGCAAAAGTATCGGTGTGCTGACATGGTTTCCAACCCACGGCACCTCCATGCTCGGAAACAACACGCTCATCTCGGGAGATAACAAAGGCGTGGCAGCCTGGCTTTTTGAGAAGAGCGTGCGAGATAACCCCTATACCACCAAAAGCTTCGTTGCTGGCTTCTCCCAGGCAAACATGGGAGATGTTAGCCCCAATGTGCTGGGCGCTTTCTGCGAGGATGGCTCCGACGACCCATGCGACTTCAAGACGAGCACATGCAGCGACGGAAAAAGCCAGAAGTGCCATGCCAGAGGCCCGTTCTTCCGAAAGAAGGACAACGGAGCCGCGTCCTGTTTTGAGATTGGTAAGAGGCAGTACACCGCTGCCAAGAAGCTATTCGACGACATGGGATCCAGCGCCCAGCGTGTCCGCGGCTCGTGGGTCAGATCATTTCACACCTTCCATAACATGTCTGAGTTTCGGTTCGAGCTGCCCAACGGGACAGAAGTGAGAACCTGTCCTGCGGCATTGGGATACTCTTTCGCAGCGGGGACATCTGACGGCCCTGGTGCATTCGACTTTACCCAGCATGACTCGAATTCGTCAAATACATCGCCTTTGTGGGCGGTCGTTGGCGGTTTACTAAAGGCGCCAACGGACGATCAAATCGCCTGTCAGTCGCCCAAACCAATCCTGTTGGATGTGGGCGAGGTCTTCAACCCCTACCAGTGGACACCCAACATTGTGGATATCCAGACATTCCGGGTTGGGCAACTCATCATCATCGTTAGCCCGGGAGAGGCCTCTACCATGGCAGGACGTCGGTGGAAAGATGCCGTCAGGCACAAGGCCGAGTCCTTGTTTGCCAACGAGGCTGGTGTCGAACCTGTGGTTGTCATTGGAGGGCCGGCAAATAGCTATACGCACTACATTACGACGCAAGAGGAATACGGGTAAGCATTTCGATGGGCAACTTGCCGTACTTTACTGACTCACATGGGCAGAATACAACGATACGAGGGTGCCTCAACACTATATGGACCCTATACGCTCGATGCATACATCAACCGAACCCTCGAGTACCTGCCAACTCTGAGCGGTTCGTTCACAAACGGGCCTCCCTCTCATGCTGGAGGCCCATACCCCCCCGACAACAGCAATAGATCTTTGAGTTTTATCACTGGTGTAGTGCGAGACGGGCCGCCTGTGTTCCGCAGCTTTGGCGACGTGAAGACCGACGTGCAAAAGAGCTATACCATCGGAGACGTTGTGCGAGCTACTTTTGTCGGAGCCAACCCTCGAAACAATTTGCGCCTGGAGCAAAACTACGCTGTCGTAGAGAAACTGGTCATCGACAGGGGTGGCATCAAGAAATGGGACATTGTGCGGGACGACAATGACTGGAGTTTGATTTTCAACTGGAAGAGGACGAGCGACATACTCGCCACGAGCGAGGTCGAGATTGTATGGGAGACAGAGGACGATGGAGAGCCGGGGACATACCGGTTTCGCTACTACGGAGACTCCAAGTCGCTGGGGGGCAAAATCACGAGTTTCGAGGGAGTCAGTGGGCAGTTCAAGTTGCATTAAGCTTGGGCTGGTTGGACGCCAGGCCATGGTTTAGGTTTAGGTGTTTATGAAAACCACATTATGTCGAATGGTGTCTCAAGATAAAGACTGCTGGTGATGAGGATGGAATTCATCGAGTGAAGATGCTGACCAGGATGGGTTGTTTGCAAGCTTATGTTGGGGTATAGTGAACTAGGCTGCAGCGGGCGGCTCAAGTATATACAGGATAAGGTAAAACTTGGCAGCGGGTATCCAGGAAAAACCCTCGTCGACTTTCAAGGAAAACCACAACATGACGGTAGGGACTTTCGCGCGACCTCGCGCGGCAAGAAACCGCTTCTCCCGATTGCAAGAAACATTGGTCCCACTGCGCTCCCCCATCCAGCGGCGGTGCCTCCAATGAGAGACATTCTTGGCCTCGTACCTGAACGTGCATGTATGTTGGCTTGTCACTGAGTCCCACGTCGCATGTTTCACAGTAGAACGGCCGGTTTGTTTTTTGTTCGCCCGTTGTTATTTCTTTTTCTTTTTTTCTTTTCTACCTGCCCTTCGCTAACCCATCGTGGCATGTAGCAGGAAGCATAGGGAGCCACCATCGGCTGTTGGCAGCCCTTATGCAGTAGATACATAACCTTGCTTGCTTATTTTCCTTTAGTCTTGGTGGGCGGCAATTGATTGAATACCGGTACCGTCATTGGCAGCGGAGGTTTACAGCGCCCCCCCACCTCCCCCCTTCCCCCCCGGCACCTCGGCGGCGGTACCTTACCCCGGCAAGCTGGGTCCGATGTATCTGCCGTGCGGCGAACCAACATACGGGCCCCTGTATCGAGGCCCCCTGCTGCAGCTGCAGCTGCAGCTACAGCTGTTTATCGTCCAAGTATCCGTAGTGTGCACAACATACGAGCTGGATGGTCTTAGGATCATCAATAGGCCTCTCATGTTTTCTGCTTGTGGTACCTGGGAGTGAACTGCATCTCTCGGAGACTGGGATCCCATTTAATCCAAGGGCAGCGCGGTCTGCCATGTTTTGAGCCTTGAGCGCTGGAGCAGGTATCCGTAGGTAGCTAGTAGTGCATACAGGGCAAGCTTCCTTGCCGACCACTAGCAGCGTCAGCAAATCAAACGTTGCCCATGGTATTGCAAGGTAAAGAAGAAGGGTCCGGCCGATGCTGTGGAGTAATTACGCTATCAGTTGAAAATGGAGACGGGGTGGAAAATAGGGGGGGTTTCTAAACCGCTAGGTAGGTAGTATAGTTTCGGGTCGCGCTGGATCCGAAACCAGACAGCTGCGATCCCTGTGCCCGGCCCTGCCGCCTCCCACATGGCCCTGTCCTCAGTTAAGTCCCGCTCTCAGACACAATCGACGTTTGCATCCATTCTATTGTTTCTTCCATGAGTTCTGCAACTTCTTCCTTTCCTCTCTTCTTTCTAGGCTTGGAATCTGTGTTATCCACCCCCTCATTTCTCGTGTGTATAAGTAATTATTGCCATTGCAGGCGATATCGAACGGCATCAAGCCCCTCCACGGTATCAGGTTGAACCTGAACCTCGATCTGTCCCGCAACAAAGCCTACCCCGCTGCCGCAGCCCTATATCTTCTGAAGACAACGTTTGGCATCGCGCCTAGCCATCCCCTTGCCTACCGAACAACGTCCACGACCCTACTGCTACCTGGTGGTCCGCATCGCCATGGTATCGTCAATCGTCATCCTCATTGGCGCTGTGGTCGCATACAGCGTCTACGCTAACGTCACCGGCCTCCGGCGCAACATAGTCGAGGCCAAGAAGGTCGGGCTGCCATACGTCATAACTCGTATGTGGGAACAAGTAGCTTCCAATTCCACCCAGCAGCGCATAGACTGACTGCCCGAGTGAAGCTGCGTCGCCCTTCGCGATAGTATGGCAGCTCACCCATAAGTTCTGGGTCCCCATCATCAAGACCTTTCCCAGATCTTGGTGGGAAAACTGGCTCGAGTCAGTACCCCCTATCCCCGTCTGGTCTGTCCATCACACGCATGCTAATCAGAATTGTTTGCCAATAGGCTCCTCATAGCGGACTGGGCCTACCAAAAACGACACGGCCCCTTTGAGCGCATCGGCGAGACGTTCATGATCGTATCGCCCTTTCAGATCCTCATCGTGACAAGCAGCGCCGAAGCTATCCACCAGATCACGCAGCAGCGCGAGAAATTCCCCAAGCTGGTCCAGACATACGCGATCTTGAAACAGTTTGGTGATAATGTCCTGACCACCGAGGGTGCCGTGTGGCGTATGCACCGAAAGGTCACGTCCGCTACATTCAACGAGAAGAACGCCGCTCTCGTCTTCGTCGAATCTATCAACCAGGCGCAGGGCATGGTGCAAAAGTGGCTCGGTCCGGACGGGAAGAGTAGGCAGACGGTCAAGACGCTGGATCACGATACAATGCGCCTCGCGCTCAACATCATCGGCTACGTCGGATTCGGCATGCGCTTGGTTTGGCCGGGACAGGCGCTGCCTGAAGGCACGGATCCGAAACTACAGAAGTACAGCTCGCTCGAGGCCGCGCCCGGCCACACGATGAGCTTTGTCGACGCCATTGCCGAGATGTTGGAACACATACTGGTTCTGTTGCTGGTGCCACACAAGCTCCTGAAAATGCTGCCCTTTGACTACACAAAGAAGGCGATAAAGTCGCACGATAATTACGTGCAATACATTGACGAGTTGATGCAGGACAAGATCGATGACCTGCAGAACGGCGGAGAGGGAGACGCCGGCATGGACCTCATGGGCCAGCTCGTCAAGTCCAAGTACGGCAATGAGGCGACCGACGGCGGTGTCAGCAGGGCTGTGTTCAAGGACAAGGAATCCAAGATACCGCAGCTGTCCAAGTCGGAGATCGCGGGCAATGCTTTCATCATGCTCGTCGCTGGACATGAGACGACAGCGAATGCGATGCACTTTGGGCTAATTGAGATCGCCTGCAATCCGGCTGTGCAGAGGCAGCTGCAGAAGGACATTGACGGGATATTTGGCGATAGCGACCCGAGTACGTGGAATTACGATAGCACGGTGAACCCGATGCTTGCGTCGATGCTGGGGGCCTGTATGAACGAGACGCTTCGATTGACGCCGGCCGTGGTCGAAATTCCCAAGGAAGTGCACCCCGAAGGCGACGGCATCATCTCGCTAGAAGGCGAGAAGTACGCCCTGCCCAAGGGGGCGCACATCTCCATCGTGGGCGTGGCGGCGCACCACAACCCGCGTAATTGGCCGTCAAAGCCGAGCAAGATCACAGGCGCGGAACACGACCTCGACGACTACGTGCCGGAGCGGTGGTACCGCGCCAGCATCAAGGCGGCGCAGACCGAGGACAAGGATGGCGACACGGAGGACTACGGCGGGTACAAGGGCTCGGATACGAGCGAGAAGATGTTCCGGCCGGTGCGGGGCTCGTACGTCCCCTTCTCGGATGGCCCGCGGTCGTGCCTCGGGCGGCGCATCGCTCAGGTCGAGATCATCGCCGCGCTGGCGGTCATTTTCCAGCGGTACAGCCTCGAGCTGGCAGTGGACGAGTGGTCGTCGGATGCCGAGGTTGATGCCATGAGCCGGGAGGAAAAGCAGAAGCTGTACAAGAAGGCACAGGACAGGTGTCGGGAGACGCTTAAGAAGGCAACCACAGTGCTGACGCTGAAGCTGCCGCAAGGGATGAGCGTTCCGGTTCGGATTGTCCCAAGGGGCGAGGAAAGGTTCGTCAACTTTGTTGACTCTGCTTAGACTGTTGTATTGGTCGGTCAGAGTTGGGTTGGCGCGATGCTTCAAGTGTACAAGTAGTATGAAGGTAGGGTGGATATATGGGAATAATCAGCCTGAAGAGGGTGGTCTGACGGGCTTTAGTATTTTCCTTCACAGGACTGAATATAGAACAGTCATCAAGATGAAGGCCTAATTAACCATAGTCGAGACAAGTCGGTGCAATCACGTGACGGCACAGTTGACCAGACGGTCGACCGTGTGTTTTGGTTGTCCCAACAGCTGGATGTGTTGATTGCAAATGGGAAGCATGCTGACGGGCGTCGCGTTGGACAGACTCGGTTTCCGAGATTGATGATGAACATACCGCGTGCTCGCATCGTCCCAGCACCCAACCAACCCCTTCCCAGATGGCCTCGATAGTGACATTGAACTACATTTGCCTCTGTTGCGGGAGATCGCCAGACAGTTCGCGCGTAGCAGCGACTCAAAACGTTTGTTTACATGTCTTGCCACATTCGGACAGCTCAAGTGGGTCTCCGTCGTCCCCCGTCATCATTTCTGACCAATGCTATTCTCTCCTTCGCTGCTCCCGGGGGAGACGGCGCTAAATCCGTCGCAACATTCCCCTCCCCTAGACCAGTGCAGTGCATAATCACTACGTAGCCTTATAGCGTACTTGCCGCTGTAGTAATACTGGTCACAGGTGAGGTAAGTACCAATCTACCCCCCATTTCCCGTCCCCCAATCCGCTGCGTCACTTCCCCCCCATTAACCATAACACCTGGATAGAGTGAGAAAAACATAAACAACGCTTCGACCGTCTCACCTTGTCGCCCTCTTACAACCTAGCTCCGTCCAGCTTATCAACACCAATCTGCCCCTCCCACCATCACCATCGCCATCAAGTATCTACCAAACCAAAGCATAATCTGCCCTGCATCTGTTGCGATTCCTCTTCGAGAGACTCCCTCGCATTGAAAAATTAAAGTCGTCATCTTTGCGCGATTCGTCTGATACCCATTTCAATCAACTTTGCCCCCGTTTGAACGACGAAACAATGTCGGGCGCAAACGTGTGGTTGACGAGGCAGCGCAAGAGCGACCTCGTCGAGCTCGCCGAGCTGACTGGACTCACTGGGTATGCCCTCTCTTTCGCCTGCCCCTGATATCTCGGTCCCTGGTGCGAGCTTGGTGCTGTTGCGCAAATCGCATCAGAGCTCAAGCTGTGTAGTCATTCGTGTTTGCTGCGACACTCGCCAGGCACGCCCGAGTCGCGTCGAGGTGTCGTAGAGAACCCCGCGACTCACCTCAAGCCACGCGCGATGCTAACAACGCGCCCCTTTTCAGATACGAGAACCAGAAGAAGTCCGACCTAGAGGTCACTCTCGATGAGTACCTCGCTGAGAACGCGACGCAGTTCTCCCACAACCCCAAGCTCGCGCCCTACTACAACAGCCGCGCCAAGGCAGCCGGCTCACCCATCAAGAGAGAAGCGCCTTTGACCGATCTCATTAAGTCGACAACGCGCCGCAGGGCGGCGAGAGTTATCGAGGAGTTGCAGCCCGAGCCCGAGCCTGAGTGAGCAGCCTCTTTCCATACCCCCGTGGTGCATTGCCGAGTCACCACTTCGTCGCGACTAACACGCGTCACAGAGCCGAATCATCGTCACCGAGCCCGGAGCCTGCTGAGCCTGCACTCTCCACCGCCCTGGCGACGCGTACCCCCGCGCGCAACCTGTCTCTTGCGAGCCGCATCCCCCTGCCCGCGACACCCGCTGATGTCGCCGAGGCCGTCGACCGCCATACCGTCGCGGTCCGCGAGCGCGTCACGGAGCTCTACGACCAGTCGGGAATCCAGGAGGGCACCCATGCCGTGCGCTCGTCTTTGTCGACGGTCACCTCGGTGCTCTTCACCGTTGCCGCGTTCGAGGCATGGAACCTGAGGGCCGAGGTCCTGCCTCTTCGCTACGCCTTCACTATCCCTGCAATTCCTGCCCTGGGCACCAACTTCTACCCCGTGTACGTGCCTGACGCGTTCCTGTTTGTGACTTCGTCCTTCTGGTCGCCCGTCGCACTGTGGACGCTCACCTCGGTTCTTATTCCCTCCTTCTTCGGTTACTTCTATAACCTGAGCGCCGCGAGCCATCCCCAGCCTCGAGGCCGCAAGTCCTCGACGGTTGAGTACAATGTCGACCCCCTGGTGTTCAGCATCGTCAAGGCCCTGGTCTCCTTCGTCATCTACGGCCAGAAGGCTACTTTTGGCGGATTGATCAACGAGAACTCCATAGACCGCATCAACGGCGCTCTGTATGGCGAGTGGAAGGGCATCCTGACAGGTGCCGCCATCACCGGCCTGGTGAGCCTGTACGACGCTATCTTGAAGAAGTAGGAGCACTCTTCAGATTTTACAATTGTCACTCGGGGACTGGAAAATCCTCCCCAGGGCCGACCGGTGCAGATTCCACGGGAACCTGGACGGCGGAAGCCATTTCCCCGCTAGGATGTCCCGAACGCGCAGGGTCGTTGGCACGTGTTTTTTCTTTTCTTTTTTTCTTTTTCCTTCACTCGAGGGCGGCGTTCTGGGCGTTATATTGGCGTCACGCGTGGCTCTTCGACTGATACCTCTTCACTTCGTGGTTGGGAGTTTGTGATGGTACCACCCCTAGTGCTCGAGGACAGACCTTTCAGCCGGACTGGTTGTCTTTCCGGCCGTGCTGGTGACGGCTATTGTTTATGCAACGTAGAGCAGTCCTTTCTTCTGATGGGTTCTGTACCTGGTGCTTGTTTCATGGTTTCGGTTCGTTCTAGTTTTTCCTATCAGTGGTGCAGTTCTGTTATAGGATTGTTGGTATTGGTGCGGGTGGGCGGGCGGATGCCAGAAGTCCATTGCAGCGGGAACCCTTGGGTATGTAGGTGGGTTTCTCGACCTGATTTTGAGAAGGAGGCCGCCAACTGAGTCTGAAGATCAATTCCGCTAGAAGTCATGGCAGATGACAATCAGAATTATATTGTGTCTGAAGCTCTGCTCCAGAGTGGCCCAAGCTGAAAATGAAAACACTCGGTGTGGTCGGAGCTTTCAACTCGAGTTGCGTATGTGCATGAATGGTGGCCCGTAGACAACCTGTCGAAGCCGGGAACTAGGTCGGCCAACATCGGAACGTAGCTGGACGTCATCGCTGCGGAGAGATGCTCATACGCCCAGAAATGTTGGAATACAAGCCAACCAAATACTCTGTGCGATTCGTCTCCCATTCAGTGCAGACTACTATAAACCAGGTTCAGTCTTGAGCTACGTGAGGTGGGAGATTGTGCCCCCCGCCCTTCCCTCCTCTTTTTGGCATCCGGTCCGCACGTATTACCCCATGAATACACACAGAGAAGTGTGGGACAGAGAGCTTGGTGTTTTGACGTTTGCGAGGTCTCTAGGAGGAAAGGGGCAGGCATAGTGGTCTTAACCACAATGTTTGACGCATGACAGCTGCAACAGCAACCACAACAACGCAGTGTGGTGCAATAGCTGCGAGTATCCTGCCGGCTGGATCCAGACTTGCCGGCTGGATCCAGACTTGCGACCTCCCCTTCTTTTATAGGGAAGTCTGGTGGCCTGGTATGCGCGATGGGCTGGGGGGGGCTTAGGGGGGCCTTTTGGGCATATGCCAGCGAGCCTCCCACCCCCAAAAGCAACGGCAATAGCCCGAGCAGACGAACAGATGCGACAGATACCCCCTTGGCCTGCTCGCTTGCACATCATCCATCGTCAAGTACAGGTTCAGAGAAGGGAACAGACCGGCCTCGCGCATGCGGAGGACAAGGCGCGCTCACGGCATAGAGCCCCCCCCCCCCTTCTGATAGTTGTGGGGTGAAGTCGGAAAAAGGACGGTGGCCAGCGACCAGATGTTTGCACAGGCAGGTGAGGAGGACGCGAGGGTGGGATGCGATTTCGTCGTGATGGCTCAGGGCGGCTTGAAGACGATGTAAGCCACGTTGAAGATCATAGGGCTATTATAACGGGGACTACATTGGTATCTCAGTCTCCGTTATACCACGCCTCGGCGGAAGGATTACGATGACCTACTTGCCCCCCTCATACTCGACTCGCGCATCCCGGCATCTGCCCGAATCCCACATCATGGGCCATAGCTAAGGGATATATCGATCATGCAACCCACTATACTGACCCCAAGGCGTATCACCTCACAGAATGGGTCCCCGACAACTGGTACAGGAGGTAGTTCCTCGGGTTCCACAACCTACCCGCATCCCACATTACGTCATTGCCGTGGACTTCAAACCGACTGCTTCGGAGTAGTGTGGAGTAGAGATGCAGAAACTGCAGTATTACTAGGGCAGGAATAGGCAAGATAATAATAATAATAACATGAATTTTGATAATTGTTTGATCTGGCTATAATCTAAACCGCAGCTGGCAATCAACGTTGTAGCTTCCGAGGATATGCCGTTCTCTATTCTGTCCGTGCTCGCCTTCGGCTGCCGCTCTGGAAATCCGTAATCTCATGATCTTCAGCCTCCAGCTCTTGGCGCCTCCTCCGAGGTATCATGTGTCCAGTTAAACGCCGTTCCGTGTTATGATACATATCTCCCTTCCTTATCACTCTCTTCCTTTCTTGACTCCCTGCCGCGCGATCGAAGCAGCCTGTATGCACCGTCGTGTCGTATCGTACAAAGTTGTCGGTCGTAGTGCTCAGAACAAGCAAAAATGCGAATCAAGTCAGATCGCTCTACTCCTGGCTGCGCAGCTTGACAGGCTTGACGGCGTGTCGAGCGCAGCGATTCGGGTGCTTCGGGGACTTGATATAACAAGTGTCGGCAGCTTCCTCGGCAGGCTTAGGACCGTACTTCTGGGTGATGGGGCAGTACTCGAGTTTGGACCCCATCCACTCGCGGATGTGACGGTGAAGCTCGCAGCGAGAGATCCCGCACTTGCGACAGTAGACCTGGCCCTTGACGCGCATGCGCTCGAGGGCGCTATCCTGGAAGGCTTCGGCGGGAGGAGCAGTGGACCCGTTGTAGATGAGGGGACCAGCGAACCGCCAGGCCCACTCGAGATCATTGGGTCCGCTGCGACGTGACGACAACGGCACAGAGCCGTGCATGCGGCGGTGGATGTTGTAGAAATGGCTGTTTGTCAAACCGAAGCAGGTGCTGTCAATGGGGTCGAGGTGGTCGAAAATGGCGTAGTGCAGCTCGGCGGGAAGGTCGAAGATGTCCATGCGAGCCGATGGTCTGTGAATGCGAGCCGGCGGCTCATAGTCCGTAACAGAGTAAGAACGACGCGGGGGCGGGAGAGGCGGCCGGCGGGCCACAGGTGCATGAGGAAGTTGCTTCATCTCTCCGATTGCGAGTTCGGACTGCTCAGGCACAGAAGCAATTGCGTGTCTCTCGATAGCTTCGTGCTGAGTCGCGAGGGGAGGTGCGGGATAAGGGGTATTGGCATTGGGGGCCGGGCTACCCTGGGCGGAAGTCATGACGGGAGAGTCAGTGATAGACCAGCCTCGACGGGGAGTGCGCCACCCTGCGCGCTTCTTGCTCAACTCATCGATCATGACCTGGCGTTCCTCGCGAGTCATCATCTTATTCTCCTGACGAGACGCGAGATTGGTCGCGAGGAGCAGACGAGCAACCGAGGCTACGTGGTCGGCTGAGTCCTGGGACTGCTGGACGTGCCCGTTCTGAGGGAGACCCGAAGAGAGTAGTTCAACCATCGTGAAAGGGGTAAGGGAGGAGTTTCCTGTGCAAGGGCGTTTGGTGTTTTGTCGGGTCGTTGAAGGCCCGAGCTGGACTATTATCCAACGATGCGTGTGTGAATTTGAGCGGGGTTGGAAGTCAGCCAACCACGTAGAGAACACAAGACGGTCTCGTGAGATGAGGAAGGGACAGCTCGTTCCCTAGGCGGATGGAATCACCAGCGTGTGCGGCTGGTGAGGGGGGAGGGGGACGATGCTACTGAGGTGGATGGTAGTTGTTTTGTTGTACAGAGAAGGGAACGACGTTCTCGATCCCGGCTTTGCGGATCACGATATATCGTTTCAAGTGACGTCGATGGTGCTGGTGGAAGGACCAATGTCGGATGCTAGTCTTCGTCTTTGAGGGTGGGCAAGCCTCAATAACAAGTTCATGAGGCGAGGAACAGCTCTTGGAGATGGGGCCAGGAGAGGTTCGTTGGGATATATAAGAGTACGTCAAAAGGCGAAGAAACAGTCTAAAGTGATGAGGGTCGATGAGGTAGTCTTAAGTGTCGATCGCGTGTGTTCTTTTCGAAGGAGGAGAAGAGACGGGAAGGCAGGGAAGAAGAAAAATCGGTGTGTGTTGGTGGTGTGATGGAGCCTGCGGGAAAGGCGATGTTCGGCCGTCCCCATCAAGTCACAGGTACAAGTTTTTGAGATGAGGTGGCAGGCCAGATTAGCGGTCTCACCACACGTAAAGGAGGGGGGTATGCTGCATGCCCACTGGGCCAAAAAGCCATGTCTACTACCTACGCCATAGTTGCCAAGCTGGGCCGTCTACACTACGGTTATTCCTTCCAGGTGCCTCCCCTGATAAGCTAACGGAGATGGGGCGAGGCACGAACGCTAGGTATCCCCGGCCTGAAGCGGCACTGCCTACGTAGAGGCGACTTTGGTGCATATGTAGGAAGGGTTACACCTTGTACAGTGCGTGTCATTGGGTTTGGTCCCTTGGTCTCTTGGTTTTTTCTTCCTTCATGTCATCGTTTCTCTCCCGTTGCTCCTTGCCCCCCCTCTACGTGTATTGGCGCCGAGGGACCTTGGCAAGAACAAATATGGAGAATTCGGTCATTTCGCATCCTCGCGCGAATCATGAAGCATGAACATCGCCAATAACATATCCGGAGACAATCGCAAGCAACAGGGGAACACTGGGGAAAGATGGAGATTGCTGACGATTCCTTGCCTCTTCTGTAACCCGCCTGGACGGAAGAAGGGGACCTAGGGACCAAGTTCCCGACTACCAACGAACTTTTCCTCGTATGAAAGGGTTCCTTCGTCCCTCCACTACCTACATCGTAGTGTACTCTGTACCTGAGACCAGTTGCTTTCGTCATGAGGCAAAGGGTAGCGTGGTCCTGGGCGCAGCGAACAGGGGCCAAGGCGAGCCACTGACAGAGGAGAGGAGCCCGAGCGGAGATTCTGTAATCGTTAGATTCCGAAGACACAACGCTCGGCGGCTCGGAAAAGCGAGCGAGACTCACCTCACCGCCCCTATGCCATTCCATTCCATACAATATCATCCTTCGCGGGGAAGTCGTCGAAACCCGAAGTACAAACACCCAACGATGAAAAGCCACGAAACCTCTCCTGGCGAACCGAACCTTTTGCTCCGGATCATGACCCCTCCCATCCACCCCTCGTCCCCCCTCCCCCGCTTGGCGCTGTATGTCTCGTTTCTTTTTGGATTGACCAACCAGCGGCCTCGTGTATGAAGCGCAACTTGTGAATATGGGGAACCGTTGGGCCGCATTGATCGGTCGTGATAGGTTGTGTGCCATTCCTCGTGCTTCTGGAACTGGCCAGACATTTGATGACATGCAACGTCGCGCATAGAAGCACACGAGCAACACCAACTAGCAATGCCAACTATCTGCCACACACAACTCGGTGGTCGACGGGCAGCACTCCGCATGTCCGATCACCACCAGGACCCCAGCTACAACGCAGCATGGAAGCCGTTATCCTCGGGCTGAGCTAGCTTCTCTCTTCATCCTATACATAGTAACTTCTCTGCAACTTGGCAGCCGCAGGCAGTACACTGTCAGTCACGCCGTAACCTGGTATCGACTGATACGCCAGTTATCGCACAAACACCAGTCGAAAACGGTAAACACCATGAACCGGCATCCCGTGATCATGAACCGGGCCAAGGTCCAGGGCACTTTCTTCGCACGTCTGCTTGGCAACCGCTGTAACACACCGGCAGGCCTCGCTGGGAGAAGTGGTCCCATGACCGCGGAGAACCGGCCCATCGAGGCTGTCGTCGTTGCACGGCAGTCATGGTGATCGGATCAGGATCATGAACACCACACGCTTGCTGCCGACTCTGGCCTGCTTCCTAAACCGCCTTCCTGCAGCGACCTTTTTGGCACCGAGAGCTTCAGTTCTGGCGGCAGTGAACGGGAAGCCAGACCGCCACCAGAAGCAGGGCAGCGATCGACGTCGTCATGGTGCTGTTCCTCCCGCAGATGCCACCCAAGATTTTGTGGGGCAGCGATCTAAGCTAAAGGGCGGTGGCGAACCTCTTCTCGATAATTCGAGCGAAATCTTACAGCGTCTCTGTACGTCTCGTTGAGTGTGCGTGTGTGCCTGTATCTCGTTCATGGGATAGTCTGCTTCCCTGCCCCAATAGCCGCCGGGGAAACTCCAATATCAGGAGGGGTTTTCTTAATTAGGTATCCCGAGGCAAATCAGATTACCACTTCTAAAAAGTACCTTGCTCTACGGATACGCTAGCTACTACGTACAAGTGTAGCATCATGATACTCCAAGGCGAGCGAGCCTTGGGGGGAAAACGTATGAATCGAATCGCGCAAGGACTACTCGTGCCAGGCGACCAAAGAGTCGAAACACCACCCGGTTCGCCGACCTGATCTGGCGTACCCCTCGTGGCACATCCCACGCACCATCCAGCCGCCTCGGCGCACGCCGGCTGGACGGTATGGAGTGTTGTGATGTGTGCGTAAGACGCGTACTCTCATGGTCCCTTTCTCGTCTTGCTCCTACGAGGATTCCGGCAAAGCTCAGCATCATCCTACCCTCAGCGATGCCGCACTCCGATACGAAAGTCAAAGAGACACGGAACCCCTTCCAACGGAGAGGCCCGTCACAGTCCCCATGGGAAGGGGAGAGCCATATGGACTGATTTGAAAGATTACGGCCGATTACAAACTTTGTCCCTTCTCCGAACAACGTTCACACAGTACACTCCCGAAAGCTTCCCACGTCGGCAAACCCTTCCCCCACCCCCATTTCCAGTCAGCCGCCGACACGTCGTCTTCGCCGAAGAGGGTGTATGACTCTGCATTCTATGAGGCCCGTCCGTCCCAGCGTTGGCATTGTGTCCCTTTCAGATGCCATCTTACCGAATCTAGCGTAGGAATCTGATTGCGAAGGCTTTGTTTCCCCCTTCACGTACGGCATCCCTTGCATCCATCCATCCATTCTTATCGTTTGACTCGTGTTGTTCCTTGGATTGGCTTCTCGTGCGACAATGGGTTCTCCCACCACTCGCACGTCAACGAGGGGCTCTCTGGTCGGCAAACGTCAAGCCACCAGATGCAAGTTTATCGCACAAGAGATCATCAGGGTCCACCGCCTATCTGGGATGGCCACCGCGAATGTCGCCACCGTTTATGTCATCAAATGGGGTGAGTGGGCGGGCAGAACGGCCCTGGTGGATGGCAAAAAAGAAAAAAAAAAAGGAAAGAAAACAGCTGTTCGTGGGGTCCGAGTGCTGGGCTTGATGTCGGTCTGCAGCGGAAAAGCCGCTTTTGATGCGGGGTGACGCTGAATTCAATTTACCTAGTGCTGGAAGCTTTAACATCCGACGTAAACGCAGCATGATACTGCAGTGGGTCGCCTCTAATAGAACGATTAGGGGGTTTAGCTGAAGACGCCTGATGATGGCATCTCCCTCGTCGCAGGGATATCGTTTCGAGCGGCGCAATGCGTTCTGGGTCACCCGACAACGGCTCGGCAACAAATAAACAATTCCTGCGGAAAAATAGGATTATTTGGACGACCTCGTGATATGACATTGTGGCTATCAAAACTCCGGCTATTTTGGTTTGAAGACAATGCAACTCAAACGCAAACAATAGACCTTAACACAATCATTTCGCCGTATGTACCTAGCCCCAAAAATTCACGATAGAGACAAGCCCCCCACCTTTTTGGTTTTGGCATGCCGCCGTCTCCCGGGTGCACACCTTCCCCCTGTATCATGGCTGCAAGGTCTGCTCCATTATACCCATTGCTGGGCGTTCCTCACGCCAACCCATTTGCCGTAGTGGTTTGGTACTTCGGCATGGGATGGGCGGTTGATAGCCGGCCGTTGGAGGAGAGCTGAGGGGGGCAGACTGCATACCTCCGCCTGCTAGTTTGATGGTCTGCTCGTTCGGTCTGTGACGAGTGTAGCTCGCTTCATCGACTCTTAAATGGCGACCCAGATGAGCATGATGACAACGTCCATGCCCTTGCCCTCGCCGCCGTCGTATTTGTAAGACCACATGCCGTCCTTCTTCTCGTCCCAGTAGGCTCCGGTGGCGGAGTGCATGCCACGGCGGCCGACGTGGGGCTTGCCGTCGGTGGCAGTCGCGGGGTCAGCGCTCGTGGAGACGGAGGGCTCCTCCGTAGAGGCGGCGGTTCCCTTGGACTTGTTGAGGGAAGAGGTAGGGACCAGGTGCTGGACGATGGTTGAGTTGCAAGCGAACTTGTAGGCGGGGGCAGAGCCGCCCTGGGGTGTGGACTCAGAGATGACCGCCTTCAGGACAGAGGACTGTTTGTGCGCCGCGGTCATTAGCTCTGGTGACTTATGCGGCCGATGTGACATAGAAACGTACGATGATCTGCGAGTTCCATCCCTCGGTCTTAGCGTGGTCGTAGAACTCGGCGGAACCGATTGCTGATTGGCAAGCCTGGTGGAGGGTGCCGAGTTAGTCATCGTTGCCTACTGAGGGTATTGCTGCGACCTCGTTCGCAGAGTCGCATGGTCAGGAGCTTACGTCGGTAGCAATCTGCTTGAGGCGGTTGAAGGCCACGGGCTAGGAAACAAGAGTCAGCAAGTGCAAGACAGAGATGAGGCAATGTGACGGGGAGGTGCGCGACATACGGGAGTAGCCGTCGTGGGAGCAGCGGCAGACATTGTGATTGTTGGATGTTTTTGTTTATGGGGGAGGGGGTAAACAGTCAGATGCTTGCGAAACCGAGATGCCGATAACTGAAGTTTGCTTTTCGTAAGTTCGTAGATATCGTGTGAGAAAAGACAGTGTGGAGGCGTGAAATGTGCTTGTGGGATGATCTTGGTGGTATGTCTACTGGAGAGAACTGAATGTGGTGTTGACAGTTTGGGACAAGACGAAGCTCTGTTGTGATGCCAGCCCCATTCGGCCGACTGGCGTCGCACCACGGGCCATGCTCAAGCCAGGTGCGCGGGGCAACGGGATCACGTGCCCTTGAAAAACAGTCTTCAGCGATAGCCACAGATTAGTCATCTTGCTTTCGCCCCTTATGGGGCATGTGTCTTTCAGAACGTGGCTTATCCAATTACCTCAAGGCCCGATGGCACGTGTGGTTTTTGGGAGCGGCTCGCGAGGAAGCGGCATGGGTTTCGAGTTGTGGCTGGTGGGGGGAGCTCCAGCCTTGCAGATTTAGCGTCACAAGTTTCTCTGATGAGCTTTACGCTGCAGGCTTTTGAGGGGCGGGCGGCCGCATCGGTAACGTACCAAACAAGCTTTGAAGCGGGTTCTCTCGGTTACAGTCTTGGAGCCTTTCCTCCACGTTCTTTTCTCACTGCCTGCATTCTTTTCAGCCATCCATCTTGATAGGCTCTCTGGTTTTTTATTTAAGCAGTTTCAGACGGCAGCTCTGCAACGAGAAGCAATTGACTTCGTTAACTCGTCATCCGTCCCCCTTGTGCAATAACCGTTGCGGTCCAACGCCCTGCCCTACACGAGTCCGAGCTTTGGAACGACGCTAGACAGCCTCCCCGTTCCATCGTTAACCTCGACCGACTTGGTTTCTACTGGCTTGCTGTTGGAAGCCCGCGATCAGATTTTACTTCCATAACCAACAGCCTAACAGCCCAACCGCTGTGTTTACCAATTTCACAGCCGAGTCTTGTTTTGGCTGCTAGTGACGCAATTGTTGCCATAAACAACAAGGACTTACGCTGCGACAACCCCGACGCGCGAGAAAGGAAAACATCTTCTGCCGGCAACCGAAACACGATAACTATACACACAGCGGTACAGAAGAAAGCAAACAGCTCGCCAAAATGTCTAGCCAGCCTCTCCTCCAGACCGCTCCCGGTATGATCACATCTCGATTGACTCCTCACTTGCCATACCTTCATACAAAACCTCACACTCCTCCCACAATCCCTCCCCCCCAACGAGGAGTGCGCAGACGCTGACTCTACCCGAACCCGACAGGCAAGCGCATCGCCCTGCCCACGCGCGTCGAGCCCAAGGTCTTCTTCGCCAACGAGCGCACCTTCCTTTCATGGCTCAACTTCACCGTCATCCTTGGCGCTCTCGCCATCGGCATGCTCAACTTTGGTGACCGCCCGGCGTTCATCAGCGCTTTCCTCTTCACCGGCGTCGCCATGCTCACCATGATATACGCCCTCGCAACGTACCACTGGCGTGCCAAATCCATTCGCGTCCGCGGCCAGGCCGGCTTCGACGACCGCTTCGGCCCTACCTTCCTGGCCATCATCCTGCTGTTGGCCGTTGTCGTCAACTTCGTTCTGCGCATAACATACTCGTCCAAGGAGGGCAAGCACTAAAGCGCCCAGCGTTATGGATACAGGCCGGTCTAGGTGACGACGAGGAGGGCGAGAGCGATGGCGGATCGGGAACGGCCGTCTACGCACTCACTCGTGCGAGATGATGCTGCCGGAGCCTCACCATCTGGATAAGCTGAAAAGGGAGGGGGACGTTGGAAAAGCGACACTTGTATGGTAACGAAATGGCGTGTCTGATTTGGAGTTACCCATGTTTTGTACGAGCGGATGTGACCAAGGAGGAGGATGTTGGATTGTGTACCAGGACGGTTAGGTAAAACGCATGCATGCATTGTGCTCATGGAGACTCATTCGGCCCCTGGGAGGATTGCATCAGTCCGAACACCAAGGCTGCCTAATTGTACAGCGAAAATCGATTCTTCTTATGGCATATGGGCTATTTCCGTCCGCCCTGATGGGTATCAACCTTGAAAACCTTTTCTTGTCCCAAACGCCTCTGACGCAGCCTGTTCAAAGTACCACCCAAACACGGGAACCAAGATGACCTCGAAGCCGAACGTCCCCCTTGCCTCGTTTTGCTAGACCCTGTCTTGGACTTGCCTGCAGCCTTCTCGCTCAGTACCGGGCCTCCGCTGTCTCTTACGATGTGGCGGAGCTCGTCGGGGCACCCTGGAGTTCGTTCGTCTGGGTGGTGACGCCGTCCTTGGCCCTCAACTCGGGAATGGGCGCGAGCGATAGGAAGACGCTCAGTGACTTGGCCGCGCGGCTGGCCGGCGGAGGCAGGACCGCCCTCTCGAACCGGCTCTCCATGACCTCGAAGTCGTCGTCGTCGTTGTCGTCGTCAGAGCCCCCCGCGACCTTGGCGGGGCCGCCGCCCAGCATGGTCTCCTCCACAACGTCGACTTTCGGCGGGAGCTCGCACATCTGGTTGTACTGGTACCACCGCCCGCCCTCGTCCTCCGCGACGATGCGCTTCACGAGCTCCGCTATGGTGATCATCTTGACGACGTCGCCCGGCCGCGCGTAGAGGAGCACGGCGCGCTTCCTCGGGTCGCCGTCGTCCTTGCGCAGGTGCCGCAGGAGCCAGTTCACCCGCTTCTGGATCTTTGTCGAGGAGATTGTGAAGGCGAGCAGGACGTCGTACTTGGGCCTCAGGCTGGCGAGGAGGGCGTCGTGCGCGGGCAGCGGTGTCGTGGGGCCGCTCGAGGACGCTCTGCTCTTTTTCGGTCCGGCGGACTCGGCTGTCGTCGAGGGTTTTCTCTTCTTGTTGCCCTGGGGCTGCTTGATTGGGGGTGGTTCAGCCATGGCCTGCGTCGCAGAGGCCTAGAACCATGGCAGGGCCGTTGCTGCTCGATGGCTTCGAGGGGGGGGGGGGGGGGGGGGGGGGGTGCAATGTGATGCGCGGGGCTGAATTGGAGCCGAGGTGGGAGATGCAAGACTGGCAAAGGTTTCTGTCGATGAAAATGTGCGGCGTGAATCTGGATCTCTCCGAAATCTTATCGGATAAGGAGCTCGGACCACCGCCGGATCTTCGGAGCCGGCATTTGGCCATCAACGGAGCGCAGATTTGATTGTCTTGATCCCGCATCGATCATGGATCGGATGATTCCTTCAATATCTAGTGCTATTTTATTGTTTGCATCATTGTTACCAGAAGTTTCACCGATGGAAAGGTCATAGAGTAAGTTACGGTCAGGCTTTCACTGTATGCCAACCCGTTCTGAGCCATCTCGACATCCAGCTCGTGACCAACCACGTGATGCTTAAAGCGGCAAGGCCTTTACTGGGGGTGAATCTGGCTTCGGGGAATCGCACACGAGCCAGCGTGCTCGCAACGCCGGACCTGGGGCTAGCTTCCCGCGGAAGCTGGAAAGGACCCACCAGACAGGCCGCCCATGCACCGAAGGGTCGTGGCTTTTCGACTTCACATGTTTAGCGTGGCCTGTGCGGCGGTCCGTCCGACTCATCCTCTGCTCCAGAAACGCCATTTTGTCTGAATCGCGGTACGTTTGATGCACGCACTGCTGTTTGCAGATTCACACCCGACATGGAGAAGGTCAAAACGGACCAGTCCTCCGCGATGTGCGTTTGTTCGCTTCCTGGAAGCGGGCGGAGGGCGAAAAGGCTGTCTTGGCGGGAAGGTGCAGCCAGAAAGGGCTGGTCGAGTATCCGTACAGGTAGACACTGAATCATGGTCAAAGTAGACATACCGTCGTCATACCACAGCTTCAGAGAGGGCCCGCGGTGGGGTTCCCCAAGATTTCCCATGTTAGGTAGTTGGGCTACAAGACCTGTGCACTACACTAGTCGCAGCAGTCCGTTTCGCCCAGAAAGTGCCATCCGGCTCCCGGGATGAGGCCCGGAGGAACGTCGACAGTGCCGCTCAGGGCAGGGATTGGCAACTTGGCTGTCATCGGGTGACCTTGGCTGTTGAGTCGGGGTTAGAGGGGTATTTCGATATTGGTCCGCTGAGCTTCGCAAGCACGGCAGCGGCGGGAAGGGGGATCGGTTTTCATCGCAGACTCGAGCGCAGAACTGCAGATGGGAAATCGACAAGCTATGGCACCTTGCTAGCAGCGCTCAGGTCTGAAACCAGAAAGGACTAAAGGCTGGCTTGGTATGTCGGGGTGGCGTGGCGCATCTCAAGCGGCCCATCCATGTCCTTCTGCATGGCGCACCCACCTCATCCTCGCGCGAGGCCGGCCTGCCTTTGAGGCCGCACAGCTCTTGAAGGCGCTCAAGTTACGAGGCCTCGGACCCTCTCTCTCAGCAAACTAAAAAGAAATGTTCGTTGTGATGCACCAAGGGTTCAGCTGTGAGGTGAAGAGGAGGGCGGAAGCCCGAGAAGGAAACAGTACAGAAGCAGAAGAGAGCATAATGGCACATGGCCTTTCCCTGCTTATCAGGGTCCAGCTTCCATGTCATCCCAGGTCTTGTCGCGCACTCGCTCGTCGGCGTCAGGTTTGGGGCTAGGGACGGCTTAGCCCTCCGCCATGGCTACCTAGTAGTACTCAGCAGGTATTGAGATGCCGACGAAGTCAGGTCTTTCGTGGAGAATGGGCGCGGTTTTCGAGCTCGGCCGGAATGACGAGTCATCGATCCAGACGGATGAGATGGGGGGGAGGCTACGGCAAGGTACGTGGAGAAGACAGACGAAATTTGTTGTTGCATGTTTTGCATTTGTCGCCAGAGGCGTGGCCTCCCAGTGCTGTTGTTGGTCAATAAACATTGAGAGACGGCTGGAGCAGTCGGGAATCTCCAGGAAGCATTATCATGCGTGTGTTGCCCAGACGGCGATGGCAGGAACATTAATCATGCACGACGGGAGGGGGGAGAGGAGGTATGGAAGGCATCCGAAGGCCGGCAATGCGCTGGAGATGTCAGCGTTCCATACCCGTTCCCCGACTCAGCGGAACGAGGGGGGACATTCTTTCCCACGCCTCTAGGTACCTTTTAGCTCGTGCAGCACACGCCCCAAGGTACCTACTGAGGTAGCTTGGTCAAGCATCTACCAAGGTAGGTACCTGTTTATCTCAACAACTTCCCCGACTTCTGCTCCTGCACACTAAAGATAGGCGTGGGTTGTCATCGGTAGGCCGGTCCCAAGAACAAGCAAGATACATTAAACGAAGCTCTTGCAAACAAAAACACACAACAGTCAGTCATGTTAGAGCGGCGCAAACATGTCGTTCGTTCGTTGCAGGACAGAAAATGCGGTTCTTCTTTTCCCCTTCTTTCTTTTTGCAACGAAATCTCCCGTCTCCCCTCCCGTCTTTCCCGTTTCCTTTCTTTCTGGTCCATCATCCTTGCGCTCTCCTCCTATCTCAGCCTCCACGATCACCACGCAATAGGGGGTTCCCTTTTATTTTCAATTTTTATTTAAATTTTAAACAAGCATCCACAGCAGCTTTGCCGCTGCCTTGGTCTTCGGGCGCACCCACTGCAAGGGCTCTCTATACTGCATATCAGACCCGTTCTATTTTCGGGCCGGCGATTAAACACACAGTGCAGCGTCGCTCGCAGAGCCCCCCCGTCCGTCTCATTGTCCCATCCGATACGACAGGATACGGTAAAACCGTACGCGCAAGACTCTGAGTTCTAGAAGACGGAGCCAAACACGGACACACAAACAGACAAGGGAAACAGTTGGAAGGAACAGGCGTCCCATCTCCAGAGAGAGTTCCCTCTCACAGTGGAAAACGCACCGCAGCGCACCGCCGCACCCGCACACACATAGTCCTCGACCACCCGTCTCACGCAGGGCAAGTTCAGTGCGCTGCCGCTGTCTGCCAGTCTTCCCTCCACAATTACACTACGACCCACCAAACAGTGCTACTTTATCACAGACTCACAAACTTGTCAGTGTGCCGACCCACGGGTGTGCCCCAGTCCCCAGCCCTCAGTCCTCAGTCCTCAGTCCTGACTCTCTCAGCATCCCCCTTTTTTGACGACCGACCCGTCCGGGTGTCATTGATGGTTAGCCGTGTTGTTACACTGCCATAGCTACCTACGTTACCTATCTACCTAGCCTAGCACGCAGTCGTAGTGCTATGTAGCAGTAGTTGTGGTGGTGGTGTTGGACTAGCCTATCGCGTCGTATTGCCCATCACAGCATCCCTGCACACGCCTCCCTTCCTTGGGTTCGCTTGCCTTCTTTTGTTCCCTGGCAGCCGGTGTCTGTCGCCTGGCTCAGACCAAACAGGCGCATTACCTCCTTCTCCCATCTCGTCAGCCAATCAACGACGCGTTTCGGTGCACAATCCTTACCCACACCACACCCCCCAGACCGTACGCCCCCCTCCCCGTTTTATGCTCCCCCCTTGCATCCAATACTTGTCCACGCAAAATTGCCTTTTCCTAGTCAGTCGAGTCGGTCCCTCTCACATCATTGCCAGCCAGCAGCCAAAGTCCCATCCATCCATCCAAGGCAGCTCGCTCTCCTATTTGCTCTCCTGCCTCTGCCTCTGCCTCTGCCTCTACCTCCCTGCCTGCGCCGCCCGTCAACGCGTGTGCCGCATCTGCTGCACCATCAACAATAACAACAATCAGCAACGGGAAACAGGACCACTCGCACCAGCCGAAACCTGGCACACACGCCGCTACATCGCCCAGTCCCCAGTCTCAGTCCACACACCCCCCGGTCTTGATCCTGTCTTCCCTCTCCCCGTGTCTGGCCGCTGGCTGCTTTTGCTTGCTAGCTAGCTAGCTACCTACCTACCTACCTACCTACCTTTCATCGACTCTGGGCCCTTCCCCCTTCCAAGCATCTTACTTAGGCCCACCCGCACTCGCAATCACCACCCCAGAGGCCAATTTCCCCCCAAAGTCGCGCACGTCGCCCGTCAGGAGGAGGAAGCTTCCCGACAAGCTTGCCGGTTTATTCTCACTCTTCCGCTGTCATTCCCATCTCCAAGAATTCATCCTCCTCACAAACAACCTCCTCCTCTCCCCCCAAACCGCACCAAAATCACTCGTCCACACGACTTGGAGGGCAATCCACGGCGTCGCTCCATCTCACTTTGCTCGCCCAACTCTCTTCGCGCATTCATTTTATCTCCCTTTTCTTGCGCCAAATCGAGGCTTTTGTTAGTTCTCGGTTCTTCTGCGTCGTTGTCCTCGCTGCGCGACCCGGCGCAATCCTATCCCTTTGGTCGCCCACTCGCCTTCCAAGGCCTCTCTTCCTCTCTCGTCTCGCTCTCACTCTTGCTGCCTTTTGGCCTTTGCTGAGGCGGACGCCCGGCCACATCATCGTGCGCACTCGCCCCCTGCCACCCCTTTTCCGGCCCCGTCGCTCGCCCCAATACCAACCAACGCACTGCTCACCGCACACCCGCCGCCTCGTACTCGTCCACCCACGCCCGCAGCAGCCACACCGCAGGCTCACACCCGACCCGACCTGTCTGGGCAATCCACTCTTCACGTTAGCCCCCCCTCGTCGCACCTTTCGTCGGCGCATTCCCATTGCACCTCAGCATTTCCGCCTCCTCCCGGCTCCCACGTATTACGTCGCAGCAGCTGCCTGGCCCGTCCGCCACTGCCACACCTTGCATCCTCGTCAGCCTACCCGTCTGTCGTTGCCTTGCGCCTCTTGTCGCCACGCCTCACCCCAACGTCGCATAAAGTCGCTGGGCCACCCGTCTCGCGACTTTTCATCTCATCGCCTCCACTCACATCGCGCTCATGTTCCGCTTCTGGGGCTCAGAGCGGGGAAGCGAAACGACTCTCAGTCTCACCCAACCAATGCCGTCATTCGCCCAAAAACACCAGTTCATTTTGCCGCACCCACCTGCACCGACGACGCCGCTGTCATCTCAGGCTACCCCTCAAAAAAGGCGTCTGTCCGGCGTCGACGGTTCATCTTCGCCAGATGTTGCGCTTACCGCCGCCGGTGAACAGCCTCTGAAGCGCGCTAGGCTGGAGAGCAGTAGTCCCTCCGTTGCTGACGCGCCTTCTTGCGATGCCGCTGCACCGCCGCCCGTAGCTGCGCCTGCTGCTGCTGCTGCTGCTGCTTCTCCCGCAGTCACTAACGACATTGAAGACGCCCGTGACGCGATTCAGTACCAGTTTGGTCTGGAGATCTTGCTCAAGCATAATGAGCTGAGGCTAATCAATCAAGAGCTGGCCAAATGCCAGGTCGCTCTTGAGCAACTGCGCCGCTGCCATCTGATTCCGTATCCCACCGCCTTCCCCACCCCGGCGCAGATGCTCGATATCAGCAATGGTAAAGGTCCTACTCTGCAAACCCGTCCGGGAGAGCCTGTCCCCCAATGGGCTCCGCCCTTTGGAGTTGTCGACGGCCCTTACGCCCGACACTATGCCAAGTGGCTCATTCCCGATCCCAAGTTTGACGGCATGCAGCCGGAGTGGTACCCCGTACACGAGACTGCCCGTAGCAGAGGCTCGGCGGAGGGACGGACGACGAGAAACAGCATGTCTGACCTCGCCAGCACAAATAAGAACCGCACGGCGCGGGGTCTGGGCGGCCCGAAGCTGCAGTCTCTTTCTAGCGGCTATCCTCAGCCCAAGGAAAAGGCTGGGCCTTGTGTTCTCAAGCGCTCCGACGGCCAGACTGTCAAGCTTGTTTGCCTGGACTGCAACCGAGAGAACTTCAGTAGCACGCAGGGTTTCATCAACCATTGCCGAATCGCCCACAGGCGAGACTTCAAGAGCCACGAAGAGGCCGCTGTTCATTGCGGCCATCCCATCGAGGTGAACGAAGGTGGCGGTGTCGTTGGTGAGGAAAAGGCGCCTGCCCCGTCGACCGCTATCGCTTCTGGCTTGGTTCACCCACTCGCTCAGTCCGATATGTCCACCCAGCAGGCCTACGTTGCTTTGCGTTCTAGGATCGCAGATTCCCTCAAGATGTACCGTGAAGGCAAGCTGCCTGGCGTTACAAGCATTCCCAGCGGATCCTCGGAGGCTGCGCCAGCGAAATCCACTGCGCAGAAGACTAACACCTTCACTCCGTCAGCCGACACCCCGTTCCTCTCGCGACTCATGCAGAGCAGGAACTTCAACGGCAATCTCAATGACATTGTCAGCGATGCCAAGGAGAAGATGTCCATGGAAGACGTTGCGACGCCAGGAGAGGATTCGGAGGAGACCGAGATTGGCCCCGGCAGCCCTCAGAGCACCGCTGCGCCCGCCGCTCGTGTTCCCGCTACCGCTATGCGCATGCCTGCAAGAGCGCCTGTGCCGCCCGTTGTTCTGACATCGTCTACGAGACCCGCAAGCAGCAAGGGCAGGTCGCCTCATACAGGCTTCGCCTCACCGCCCATGAGCAGTCCTGACAAGGATGATGGTCATAGAATGATGATGCTTCGTGACGACGACGTCGAGATGGATGTTGACCTCAGCCCGAACACCTTGGTTAGCAACAACGCGCCCTCGCTAGTGAGCGATGATGGCGAGTACGACGATTCAGACGACGGGTCGTCCGAGTCTGAAGTCAGCGATCGGATGGACGCCGAGTCGGTGTCTGATGTTGCCGAGATCACTCTCGATGAGGATCACGATGGACGACCTCTCGCCCATCACCGGGAGCCTAGCAGCGTCGGCTCCGGCGCCGCCATGCGCCTCAAGAAGGACGAGAACAAGCATGTCACCTTCGTTAGCCCTGTACACGACAGCGCGAAGCGATCCCGGAAAGTTTAGCGTGTCTGCGATTCTTTCCCAAGTCCCACGATGCTATGCTTCTGTACGGAAGACCTTTTCGAGGCAACCCCTCAAACTTGCCGCCATACCCCTTTGGATTCACTGCTTTCTCCGGCGAGCAAGGTTGTTTTTTCTTCTTTTTTTTTGCGCACACATACTCCCTTTAGTCGACGAAGCTTCTCTTCTCTCCTATTATCTTTTATTACTCGACCCTGCGCAACCAGGGGTCAATTGGGACAGGCAAAAAAGCAGGCTGCGGTGATGGTTGTGGCCGGAGATGATAACGTCACTTGTTAGAGATATGAACCGGGCGTCACGGTTGTTGGGAAGCGTCTGCCTTTTTGCGTACTTTTTCTTGTCTTTTTTTTGGCCTGTAGACTTTATACTGTTACAACTTGACTCCCCTTGGGCCGATACCCTCCCCGAGGTGTGAGATGGGTTCGGGAGAAACCCGAGACGAGGGAGATGGTGTCCCAGAGAGGCATACAACGCTTACGAGCCGGCTGTAGGATTCAGGGACCATCCGTGTTGTATCATAGCGATTGGAGACGAAGGCTTGATGACCGCAAACAAACAAAAAATATGATACGAACGAGGTCACGTTGAGCGACCACTGCCTACTATTGCCCGCCTCCCCGTATGAGTTGCTTGTGAATGACTTGGATACGACGTGCCTTAATCTCTGAAGAGCGCGCGCCCACTCCTTGGTGCCGACTCTTTGAGGCCATGGTCGACGATCCTCGAGGGGTGTACGCGCCGCGGCTTGATGATGATCACCGGCCGGATGGCGCGCTCCCCACCGACGTCAAACGGACAATACTCCCCTCCCCGCTCTCATTACACCGAGAGTCAGTCGGTAAATCGTGGTCGGCACACTTTTCCGCGCGCGCAGGTTTAGAGTTTATGAGCGGCGGGGGGTAATGGACGAGCAGCCCAACACCCTACTCTGCTACAGCTACTGTGCTACAGCTGCTGCTACTACCGCCGCCGCCGCCGCCGCCGCCGCCGCCGCCTTACCCACGTGAGTTGTTTAAGGGCACGGCTTGGAACCAATCTATCCCCAACAGCAATGATTCAGGCCAAACGAAGCGGCGAGAGAGACCTTTATTCGTTATTCTTGTTTCATGCTGTTTCGTTTCTTTTCTCCTCTTTTCTTTTCTTCCTGGGATTTGTTCGAGAGGGGGGGCAGGGGAGGGGTAGGGGTACAGTGTACTACCTATGTAGGTACGCATGAGCTCGACGCGGCCGCTTTTATATGCATGCAATGGCAATTTGACGTAGTAGTAGAGCTGCTGAATGTTTCACGCGCAGGAAGGCGACAAGGGGGGGGGGGGGGGGGACGATGATTCGGATGGATGGATCAACGTTGCCGAGTCAACTCCCACCCGTCTTCCCTTCCCTTTCTCCAATATTTGTTTCGTTTTCTGCCCTTTTTTACTCCCGACGTTGGGGCGTACCCTACTGCTCGGGATGAACCAGGTTCGTAGCGACGCAGGTTTCAATTTGTCTCGTTGGCAACCACCACCTCCCCCCCATGTCCTCTTCGATGGTAAGCCTGCGCAGGAAGAAGCAGGCCCCTTCCGGGGGACATGTATTATGAAGTCCGGAGATGTCCCGGAACAATATCAGTCACTGAGGAGGCGCACCGCGTCAAACGATTGGATTGGCTCGTAGACCTTGTTCTGCTTTGTTTCCTCTCTTCTTTCCCTTTCATCTCATGGGGGAGGGGAGGCTTTGTCCATGAAAGTCATGAAAGGGTGGAATTAGGTAATTACAAAAGGTTAAACCCCATTAAACATCCTGCGGGTTTCTTTCTTTTCCCTTGGTGTCGGCTTGACTTGCCGCTTGCTTTGTCCCCGCCAAAAGTATGCATTGGAAACCAATCCCCTTTTTCCTTTTTGGAAATCCCAAATCTCCTTAGCACCGTGGCACCATAACATTAACCCGCTGGAGTGACATGAATATTTTCAGGCATCCTTCGTTGACGGAAAAAACCGCTCCGCTTCACCCGCCTTGCTCGTCTTCTTCGTCATCTTGAAGGGGGAGGGATCACGCCCTCTCTCTTTCTCTCTTCGTCCGTTTACAGGACAGCGGCGACGACGCCAGCGACGGCGAGGAGGACGCCGCCGGTGTTGCGAGCGAGCTGGCCGACGCCCATGTTGGGGGTGCTGGAGGCGGTGGCGGAGGTCGAGGTGGAGGCGGCGTCCTCGCCGGCGGTCCTCGTCGGGGTGGCAGAGGCCGAGACGGAGGCAACACCGGAGCCGGTGGCGGTAGCGGCGGCAGCGGCTTCGGTCTTGCTGCGCAGAGCGGCGGAGCCGTAGAGGGAGGCCTGCTGGCAGTAGATGGTTACCTGGCCCTGGGCGGGCGAGGCGCGGGGGTCCTTGGGGCAGTTGTTGTAGCAGGTGGCCACGGCCTGGTAGCCGGCGCACAGGCAGTCGTAGTCAGCGGGGCCGCAGGAATTGACCTAGAGTGGTGGGAGCCGTGTAAGCAAAACGTGGTCATGGGGATGAGGGGAGAGAGTAGAAGCCATCCCAGCCATGACCTCGAGACAGAGGACGGAAGGTGGATGGATGGAGCATACCTTGGCGTTCTCGCTAGTCAGGCAGGCCTCGACGATGGGGGCGGCATCACAGCTGTCGTCCTGGGCAGCGGCGACGGCGGCGAGGGCCAGGGCGAGAGGGTAAAAGAACTGCATTGTGGAATGTTGTGGATGACGGGTTCAGTCGATTATTACGGGTCTTGTTTTTTTTTTTATCGAGAGCGACGGTTTGGATATACAGCGAATCCAACGAGCGAAGTGATCCTGGGACTTGTAGCGAATGGAATTGACGAAGCGAGAGGGAGATTAGGCCTGTCGAGGACGGAATCTGCTGCTGGTGGGCAGTGGATTGGCGGAGGTTTATTAACGGGATGGAGAGAAAGGGAAGGGGGAAGAAGGGTCAGGAACGAGGCACAGTGGACGGGGCGGGAATATTAAATAAGGAACATGGCATTATTAGTGACGGCGCAATTTTATCACTGTAGTTGTATCCATACGATCTTGGGGGTGGGCGCCCATCTGCAGGCCGGGATGTTGGGGGGTGGGTGGGAAGGCTAGGACGAAGGAGGGAATCGAGGAGCCAGAGGGCGCCGCCTCCCCTTCCTCTCTGCCCCCCGGACTAAGCCGAGGCGGGCCCTTCCCCCAAAAAAGAAAACAGTGGCGCACTGCCGCTAGTGAATTGAATTTATGATAGGCAAGGCCTTCTTCTCTTCCCTTTTCTTCTCTGGTTTCCTTTCCGGGTCAAGGAGCCAACAAAGTGGAGGAGGAAGGAGGAGGAGGAGGAGGTGTGACCACCAGTGGGTTGTTTTGAGGCTTGATGCTCGACTTTTACGGAGATTGATGAAGCTTGCCCCCTCCTGTTCTACCAAGTACAGAGGAATAGGCGCGGTAGGCACTATGGGCGAGATATTCCATGTGCAGCGCAGAAAGGCGGAAGAGACAAGTGCAACGGCCGCACGGTATCCCGCACAACCGCAACAGGGGAGAGAGCGTGTGAAGTATTGGGGACGGGGACACCGGAACATGGTGATGGGGTCAAGCCCCTGCTGGAAGGACGACCGAGGAGGAAAGTCTCCGCGACTTCGTTGTCTATGCCAATCCCCCGCCTGAATTCCGCTCCCGTCTTTTGCTTCCAGAGCAGTGGAGAGGAGGATGGACGGGCAACCATTTGTGCGCATCTGGTGTGTAGTGCGCATAATGCGCGTTAAATGTCTGGGTTTCTCTATCCTTACAGTTCTCTAGCCCCAGACTGCGAGGATGTCTGGGGAACGGGGCCTCGTTGACGATTGGGGAATGCCTCGAGATTGTTGGCAGAAGACCGAACGACCAGGGCTGAAGACTACCTACTACCATCTTATGGTAGTAGACTCGGCCCAGGTCTTCGACATGGGGGCCCTCAAGTGAAGCCCGGACGATTTTTCTTGGCAGGTGAGCGTCCTTATCTGTTGTGCTCCCTCCTGTTTATGCCTCTGCTGCCGCCCGGCTCTGCCAATATATTGTGCAGTTGCAGCGGTGCGACTTGGGTGAGCATAGGACGGAGGAATACCATGGAAACGAGCTTCCAACGACATGGAGCCCGGCCGTCGAGATGAAGTCTAATCTCGTTCCGGCTGGAGGGCCAGGGGGTGGAGGCTCGATTCGAGATGACGGGCCGCTCATTGGTCAACCATGCTGGCTGTGCTTCCTCCGGTCCCTCCCTGGCTCCTCATAGAGCAAGGGACAGGGGACAGGGGGCAGGAGACAGGGGGCTTCGAAGAAGGAGGAGGCGTCTGTGCCCGCAACGGATGAGTTGCAGCGACGATACAAGCGCCGGTATTTCTGGCATGCTCGCTCTTTTGCAAGTCACGCTCCGGAGATCCGTGATGGAGAAGTGAGAAAGAAATAGAGAGAGCCGGCGAACGTTCGCCCCGGCACGATTTTCTCGCCGGGTCAAGCTTTGCAGTGTAGAACGGCGTCTGATCTGGAGACGGACGGCGCAGCTGTCGTCCGTTGACGTCGGGAGGCTTTGACCTCCCTCCACTTCCTGCACCAGGCCAGCAGTGGGAACGGGCGTGTGAGGTTGGAACGAGCTTTTGACTGGCTGCCCTCTTTGTTTTTGCCTCAAATCCTCTCTACCATGGTCCATGGTCCATGGGCCTGCCCTTCTCGGAGCCTGTTGTTAAAGACATGCTCATTCGCCCTGGCTTTTGAGTGTAAGCAGGATACTCCATGTTTTCTCACACACACACATACACACACACTCCCACCCTCTATATACCCTGTATATCTGTAGACTGTTTACAAATATGAATTTCTGAAGTTGGAGGTGACTGAAAACCTACATTTCCCCTCCTTTCGTATCCAGCGCCGTCGCCCGTATGTACAATACTCACGCATTTACCTTATGCTGCTCCCCTCGTTTATACTGGTCATCCGATAACGCGCTTCCGTCGCCTAGCCAGTACTGAGGGACGGCCGAGGTGAGGGGTGGGGGCGATGCCGAAAAGTTGTCTCCTACCCCAATCAGTGCCTCGCTACATAGCATCTGCAAGCAAGAGCAGCAATACGAGGTGCAGCAGCAGTGCAGGCGGCTGGTATTGCATCGTATACAGAACCTTACCAGCGACGTATCACCCCGCCAAAGCTGCCACCCGACCTCCGGCCGTGACCCCCAAATCTCATGATCGAACACCGAATATTCAGCCAGTCCTGTCTATCGATTTGCAGCTCGTCATAGAGCTGGAGACAACACCACTGGCCCGTTTGGTATGCTCAATGTCATCACAGATCAAAGAGGGCTGAGGCCTCCCCGCAACGGCATTTGCATCCCCTTCGCATCGAAAGCGCTTGAAGCACGTTCCGCAAGGTGGGTTCATGGGAACGCAATAGCTGCGTATCTCGGTAAAAGCAGTGTTTCATTCATTCGCACGACGCTGCCGATCTCAAGCAAAAAGCCACAACGCCCAAACCATATAAAAAGCTGCCCATTGTGCCGGAACGTTTCTTCGTCATTAGTGCAATCCCTGGCAGATATCAATCGCCACACGGAGCGCGCCACCACACAATATCATTAACAGTCCCGGGCTATCGCATCGCCAGTTGCCTCTTCAGTTCCCCGTTCTCTCGCTTGAGGGTCGCCAACAGCTCCTCGAGACCCTCCGTCCTCTCCACTGCGCCCATGCTCATCTCCTCAACCAGTTTGACAAACCGAAACAAACGGAAGACAATGACGAGTGACGCAATCTCCTCCACGATGCCATGCGAGAGCACATCGACGGTGAAGCTCGCCACGATGACTAGGCCGTCGAGCACGTGAAACCAATCGTGAAAGTACCTAGAACGAAGGAGTCAGATATGTTGAGCGAGAGACGTCAGTGTCCATCCATCTCACCTCCACCCAAACGCCGTTACGCAGAGAATCAGCTCTGCCAAGAACACACAGCTGAACACAAGACCGGCGAGGGTGAGGCCTTGGCGCGTGCTCTTGACCCACGGTTCGTCGTCCCGCTTCATATCACAGGCGACGAGTTCCACAAATATGTTGGCCATGAGCGTCGCGACGTCCAGGGACACCAGGGCGAGGATGACGTAGTGTTTCCTCCGAGACGCGAGCATGTCCTGAAGACTGGTCCGCGACTGACTGAGTTGTCGACTGAGGGGCGTCGGCCGTCTGTTTTCGCGGAACCCGGAGAAAGACCAAAGCAGGGGCCTGCTCGGTTCCTCGTCGGATGCCATAGCTGCTAAGGCGGCGATCACAGATGGGGGTACGGGATAGCAAGGCTATGTAGTAGTCCGAGATACGTGGTCCGCTGAATGCAGTGCCCTCAAGTGCGGAACGAGCGATCGCAGCCTGTCCGGGCGAGACCTTCTCGCGCGCGCGCAGTGAGCGGACGCAGGAAGGGAGGGAGATACAAAATCTGAGGCCGAGAGGATAGCCGGCAACCCGGCGATGCGGTGCTGACGCGGTGCACCTTCAGCAACGTCGCACGTGGACTCTGACGAACAACTGGCGCACAAGGCGGCTCAGGTCCCGAAATCCTGCAGAACTGCTGACTAATGCTTAATGCCACCTCCTTAGCGGTCGGCTTTCAACAAACGCTCCAACCCGGAAGCCGTAGACGGACTCGGGACGTGGCCGGACTCGTGATCAAATGTCGGAAGCCCGACGTCGTCCAGCCGGTCGAGCGGCTTGGCCGGTAATTTTCGCTCGTCCACTGTCGGAGGTACGGGCCTTGGTGGATCACTGAAACGGAAAAAGATCGAGCGACGCGGAAGCTGGGCCGGAGGGATTCGGTCTGCGGGTTTTTACACGGTCGCGATCGACTTTGGTAGATTAGAGCAGGGAACTTGCTATGGTTCCGCCGCTCGACGCTCAATAAACACAAGCTCCCCCGCTATGACATAGCACGTGTGGAAATTCGCAATGCGACGTCGGGCAGGGTTGGCGCATGACGAAGCTTTCGGATGTTGAACCTAAGAGATGGTTGTCGATGTCGGCGATCGAGAAGAAACCGAACTCCGGTATAGCAGAGTGAGGGGGAGGAGAAAATCCGCAGAAACTGATGATGGGCTTACAGGGAAATAGTCGCGGAGAGCAGATCCCGATCTGTCCAGCTAGGCCTTGATCGGCCTCTTCTCACCAACGTGAATGACCATCTCTATTGTCGATCCAAAAGAGCCATAAGCTAGCTAGTTGCCGCCAGATACACTTGGAACCTTGACAGGGTTAGGTACTTGCGCAACAAAGCCCCAAAGGTGGAAGACGGGCACGAAACCCAACTGCCTGTCCAGCCGATGAAAATGGGCACTCGTTTTTTTGAAACAAACATCGCATATCCTTTTCTAGTAGCACTCATGGCCATATCCTTGATCATGTGATTGTAATAGTCACTCGGCTGCTTTCGCCAGATCTCTAAAGTATGCGTGGTGAGCGGCAGGTGCGGACAAGCTCCACGACCCCGCCAGACAAGCAATTGCATTCTATCATATCCACGACCGTGCCGTCCAGACCTCCTCCAGCCTCACCCCGAACACCGTAAGAGGACATTTTTATTCTCTCCCGGGTAGGCGGATTTCTTCCCTGTACAACTGCCCATATCGTTTCCTACATCAATCAGCGGAGCTATCCCACGTCCTTTGGCCACCACGAAACGAAAGCTTGGGGTTGGAGCTCTTATCTCTTATCGGTGTGCCCCGGTTAAACCGTGGGTCTTCTCCCTGCCCATTTTTGGCATCAGGACTGTCGACCACGTTCAACACGTCTACCTCACCATCAGCCTTGTCCGGCCTCAGCCTTTGCACACGCCGCTGCATCAATCTTGCGCAGAGCCAGAGCTTTTCAGGTAAACTCTGAATCTGTGAGTATCCCCAATTGCATACCATGGTGCTCTGTGTTGGCCTGGGCAGCTCCTATCTAGGGAGCCCCTCCCAAGGCCGTGGCCTTATTGAAAAAGGGCGCGTCTGCCTTGTCACACCATTCATTTTGCCCATTTCAGCATCGACGGCTAACAAACCTCTGCCTATAGACCAACCGATCTACGATTGCTCAAGTCACAACCATGGCGGACGTCAAACCTGAAGACACCCCTGTGGAGGACCACAACGTTGAGAACAACGACAACAATGAGAACAACAGCGTCGGCGAGGAAGACGGCCACGATGAGGTGCGCTCAAGAGGCTTTTTCCGCCATTGGCTTCGCAGATAAGAGGAGGTAACTGACAGCACAATCGTAGGAGGAGATCTCTGCGATGAAGAGACGGGTAGCCGAGATGGAAGAGGAGGCAGCTAAACTGCGCGAGATGCAAGCCAGCCTCGACCAGCAGAGTCGGGAGCTGTCGGAGAATAAGGAAGATATCGACAGCCGCAGTATCTTTGTCGGAAACGTCGATTACTCTGCCTCGCCTGAAGAGATCCAGGCTCACTTCCAGAGCTGCGGCTCCATCAACCGCGTCACAATCTTGTTGGACAAGTTTACTGGACAGCCGAAGGGGTACGTCACGCTCTCCCTGCTCGCCACGCGCGAACCGGCCTGATGATCAATGATGGAGCTAACATGATGCCGCGCTTAAGATATGCTTATGTCGAGTTTACCGAGCCGAGCCTCGTGGCCCAGGCTCTCGTACTCAACGAGAGCGTCTTCAAGGGTCGCAACATCAAGGTCGTCCCCAAACGTACCAACGTTCCTGGCATGTCCCGCGGTCGCGGGCGCGGCGGCTTCCGCGGCGGTCGTGGCGGCTTCGGGCGCGGCGGTTTCCCGCCTCGGGGCGGCTACCGCGGGGGGTACCGTGGCCGAGGAAGAGGAGGATACACTCCCTATTAGGCAGGGTTACGTCTCTCGTAGGCTCGCGCCCGGCGTCAAGTTGGGATTGGTGGACGCGACACGGTTTATCACTTCGATTGTATCATACAGGACCGGTAGGGAAAGGGGAAAGCTTCGTTATGGCGTTCAGGGATAGGTCAGGCCCAGTACACAAAGTCGATGAGATGTAACTCCTACATTGCGAAAGGTGACAGAGTGCTCCTATTTTCGATGCGGAATATCGGATGGTGGACGACGTCCGAGACACGATACTACTAGTCTGCACACGACAAACTTGTGGTCGAGAACAAAACAAGCCTTGGGTAGAACACCATCCTGCACCCTCTCGCACAATTCGCCGGTTCAGGGGAGACACTGAAAGCTCCCTCATGGCGACGCCAAAGACCCAATCAGCGCCACCGAGTACCCATAAATGTGGTGAAGATAGCAGACGATACGTCATATGCGCATCAAGTGATGGATGATACCAATGAAAACCTTCCTGGTCGGGTTCGTAGCAAGACAAATGGGCGGACAAGCCTAGCGGTGCCGTCCTTCCGCGGTTGACCCACGAAGTCGCCCGATCCGGGCGCAGAGGCACCGCCGCCCGCCCGCCCCTTGGAACGCTCACCTTTCTGGGGTTTCCGACGGCCAGCTGACACACGGAAGTGCCTATTCGTCCCTCTGATACGACCCAAGGGGGGGCACCAGCCGGGGAAGGGCCTCGATCGCCGCTTCCGGGTTCAGGCCGCCCTGAACCTAACCATACAAAGCCATTTTCGCACCGAGGGACCGGACCTGATGGGAATAGCTCGGCCCAGGGAGAGCCAAAGTAAGTCTAGGGCACGTGCATCCTGTTAGAAGTCGATGCGCACAAGTCGGCAAACCTACGACGAATGCGATTTAGAGGTAGGCAGGCAGGTCTTAAAAAAGGAATGGGCGGACAGTGATTCATTGGAGGGACACGACGAGTGGGGGGGGCAGAGAACAGTGTTCATTGGATTAGGGACTTTGTGTTACCTATTTATGGCATACCATGTGCTCTAGGCAAATTCTCTTTCGCGTGCTCTCTGGTGTGCACCGAGGAGAGTATGTGGGATGGATGGATGGAGGGATAGCCGGTTGGCTGGAGCGTCATGGAGGGCGGCGAGGGAAGGGAACGGACTGGACGTGCCGGGCGCCATTCAATGCTCCCAAACCTCTAACCTCAGGCATGTTGACATGCCGGAACGCCGGACGGGGAGGAGGGGGTCGGAAGTTAGCTGGGGTGGCCGCTTGCCTGGGAACCCTGAAGAGAGCGAGGTGGAGATTTCGAGATGGACACTGGAGTGGAGCGTGAGAAAGAGAGAGGGCGGAAGAGAGCAAGAAGATATCTAGACACCGCAGAGGGAGAGAGGGATAGGTAGGTCGAGAGGAAGGGTGGCTGTAGCGCATGAGGTTCGGGAAACGAACGGGAAAGGTAGGATGGGACGAGGAACAATGCGCTGTTTCTGGTTTTGTCGTGTTCCTCCTTCTCCGTATCCGTACCTAGGCTAGGTAGGCGCCGCAGGTAGCTTTTTCGGATGACTCTTTGTAGTTTCTAATCCTGACCATAACATGAGAAATCCATCGTGAGAAAATCTTGGCCTTGCCCCCCCCCCTCCTTCCTCGGCGAAGGTGTTCCAATAACAAGGCCAGAGAGAAAAGGAAAGAGGTGTACAAGGTTGGATTGGAAAACGAATGATTCTTAGCAAAGGTATCGATGTCGCCACAGGAGAATCATGTAACGAGTATGATGTGCTCATGCAATCGCTTGGTCAGGTTCTAGATCTATCTTGACGGCTCGAACTGAGGGGCCTCCCAGGCAGTTTTTATGGGCTCCGGCTGTTAGGCATGGCTGGCGGGCACCGCCAGGGTACAGGTCAGGTCGGGTAGGGTCCCCGTCCCGAGCGACAGGTACTATTGCTGAAGCCACCCGAAGCTGGGTCTACCTAGGCGCACACACTATCTATCCGTACTCTGAGAGCGAGGTAACTCTCTCTCTCAACCCAGCCCAACCCAACCCGTGCCGACTCAAGAAGGGATGGGGCCGGGTGTGGTGCGGTGTAGGAAGCAGGGGCTTGTTGGATTGGCGGTTTTCTGACGGTCGTAGGCATCCGAAACGCCATTGAGGACGGCGTTTAGAAACCGAAGGAGGCCTGCCACGGTGCTTCCCGGGGGAGTGCTTTGTTTTGGCTTCCTCCTGGTGCTCCGCACTTCAGCTGCCTCCCGGTTGCTTGGCGGGGTACATTTAAACAATGCAAGGGCAGAAAGGGATTGAGACTAGAGAAGCCTTGCCTTATGAAAAAAAATTGTACGATAGAGAACGGAACAGGCGAGCACGTTGAGCAGCGCCTGGTGGTGTCCATTGCCAATACCGAGGTGGAATCTACATAGTACTTTGATAGATAGTGTTCCCTCATCAGCCTCTGCACCCGTCTTTGCTCAGCGACTCCGCCGTCAAGCAGATCGTGCCTCCTGTGGTGCAATAGCGCAAGCCTAGCATGTATTTGGATTTGAAGAGTCTGGATGTGGGTGTGCTAATTCGCAATGCCCCCTTGATCATGGCAACTGTCTGCTGCCCTGCGACGGCCGCCGACGACACACTCAGCTGAGCACCTTTGCTCGCTTTCCGGCCGGTACCCCAAAGTGACTTCCTGGCCCCGCCAAGTACTAACAGGCGCGGATACGCCATCCGCACCAGCTTCTTTTGCCTCTCTCCCTCTCCATGTTGCAGGTGCCGTAATCACTGTGCCCAGTCACTGCTTACTACTACGGGTGGTGGTACTTTTGTCCACCACCTCAGTCACCAACGGGCAACGCCCACAGAGCAGGACTGAACCTTGTTCCGGCTGGCTGCGACCGGTTACCACCTCAATACACCTAACTACCTATCTACCTACCTACCCACCCACCGCCTACTTCACCTCCCGGATCACGCCTAACAACCTTCACTACCTACCTACCTAACTACCTACCTACCGACTGTGTTCCCTTTCTTCCGGCCAGAGATACATCCACTCGCACACACGTACCGTTTGACAAGCGCTCAGACGAGGGGGGCGACTACCTTACCAAACACCAAACCCGCTCCATTCTATCTTCTTTCCTTCAACAACCAACCTCTAGACCCCATCGAATCCACCAGTCGACCCTCTTTGATCCTCCCTCCCTCCCCTCTCGCCGTTCGTCGACAGTCCAATATCCTCTGTCCTTCATCGCTGGTTCGAATCCATCCGGTCAGTAGGTAGTATTCTTACCGTCCGTCCGTCTGGCCTTCCGTGCTTGAGCCTTGCTTGGCCTTCCCGCCGCGTCACCTTATCACCCATCCCCCCTACACTAGAGGGGACTTCAAGGGCCGCCCCCCCCAAAAAAAACCAAGCCCACTTGGCTCATCGGAGCGGGGGGCTTTCTGCACCACACAGCACAGCACAGCCTCATCTCTGCTGGTCGCCGTCGTCCTTGTCATCGTCAACGCCAATCCGGACTGCCTGACCTCATACCAGCAGCCGACATTTTTCCCCGCTGCTACTGCTGCTGCCTCCCGACGTCGCTGAACGATCCCATTTCGCTGTAACCTTGCGACCGGCCATTCTCAAACACTTTCGCCGCAACCTCCCCAACCCCTCATTTGTTCCAAGAACAGACGACCGTCTTTTGAGTACGACAGGTATTTTGGGAGTCGACACCGTTGTCGCTGGCTATCCCGCGACGAAATGAGTTCCTCCCGCAACGATGCCGGGCAGCCCAAGTAAGTTCTGCTCATGCTCCCCCCTGCTCTGCTCTGCACACAATGTCATCTTGACGACATCGCCGCCGAAAGAACCATGATAGCTAACTGTGCCGTCCCTCAGCCGCAAGCCCAACCTCCGAGTAACGAGTTTGTCATCCCCACGTCGCGATCATGCGCAGCATCGGCAGCAGTAACTAACTTGAACGCAGTCATCGCCGCAGATGGCTTGTACAAGCGAGATGTATTCCGTACGTTGTTCCCCAGAGCCTCCCAGGTACCAGCTCGTTGACTAACCTTGCCTAGGGTTTCCCGACCCTTTCGCCGTCATCACTGTCAATGGAGACCAGACCAAGACCACGACGGCTCAGAAGCGAACACTGAACCCATACTGGAACGAAAGCTTCGACCTGTGAGTAGCAGTTCCCAAGTTCCCATCGTGCCCGTCGTATTATGCCATGATGCTAATCGGCTACAGTCACGTAAATGAGGACACCATTTTAGCAGTCCAGGTGTTTGACCAAAAGAAGTTTAAGAAGAAGGATCAGGGTTTCCTCGGCGTCATTAACGTCAGAATCGGCGATGTCATTGAGCTGGCACCAGATGCCGATGGTAACAATTCCCCGCTGTGACTGGTTGCGGGCTCGACTGACATTTTGTGTTGCACAGATCAAATGCTCACGCGAGACCTCAAGAAGTCGACCGACAACCTAGTAGTACACGGAAAGCTAATAATCAACCTGTCCACGAACCTTACCACACCCGCTCGAGCTGGGCAGGCCTCGTCTAGCCGACCGTCACTCATTCCGCCGGCGCAAGGATCTGGTATTTCGACACTTTCAGCCCCAGCAACTGATGCTAGGCCGGGCTCCGCGACGGGTGTCCCGAACGGCGGCCCGGCACCTGGCTCTCAGGTCAACCTTCCGCATAGACCAGCCAGTATGACATCAAACGGCCCTCCCCCCGCTGCCAACGGTACCGCAGCCTCTGCACGCCAGCCCAGCACCCTCAGCCCCTTTGAAGATGCGCAGGGCCGGTTGCCTGCTGGCTGGGAACGCCGAGAGGATAACCTGGGCCGTACCTACTACGTCGATCACAACACCAGGACCACCAGCTGGAACAGACCGACCGTTGCCGGTGCCGTGGAACAGAGGAACGACCGCGAAGCAGCTACCCAAGTGGAGCGTCAACGGCATCAAAACCGAACCCTCCCAGAGGACCGAACGGGCGCGAGCTCCCCTACTCTGCAAGCCCAGCAGGCAGCCGCTGCCGCCGCCGCTCAGAGCGCGAGTAACTCTACCATGATGCACACTGGAGCGACAAGCCCGGGCACTGGCGAGCTGCCACCCGGGTGGGAACAGAGATGGACTCCAGAAGGCCGCCCGTATTTCGTGGACCACAACACCCGAACGACCACCTGGGTCGACCCCCGTCGTCAGCAATATATCCGTATGTATGGTGGACAGAACAACCAGAACGGCACGATCCAGCAACAGCCCGTGTCACAGCTAGGACCTCTGCCAAGCGGCTGGGAGATGCGCCTCACAAACACAGCCAGAGTGTACTTCGTCGACCACAACACAAAGACCACGACATGGGACGACCCTCGCCTGCCGTCCTCCTTGGATCAAAACGTGCCGCAGTACAAGCGCGACTTCAGGAGGAAGCTTATTTACTTCCGCTCGCAACCGGCGATGCGCATCCTTTCCGGGCAATGTCACATCAAGGTCCGGCGTTCTCACATTTTCGAGGACTCGTTTGCAGAAATCACTCGGCAGTCCGCCACTGATTTGAAGAAGCGGCTGATGATCAAGTTTGATGGTGAAGACGGTCTCGACTACGGTGGTCTTTCCAGAGAATTCTTCTTCTTGCTCTCCCACGAGATGTTCAACCCCTTCTACTGCCTTTTCGAATACTCCGCCCACGACAACTATACCCTCCAAATCAACCCCCACTCCGGAATCAACCCTGAGCATCTGAACTACTTCAAGTTCATCGGCCGCGTTGTCGGCCTGGCCATCTTCCACCGTCGTTTCCTAGACGCCTTCTTCATCGGTGCTTTGTACAAGATGATTCTTGGCAAGCCGGTCGTCCTGGCTGACATGGAGGGTGTCGATGCCGACTTCCACCGATCTCTGCAGTGGATGCTGGACAACGACATTTCCGGAGGCATCCTCGAGCAGACATTCTCTACGGAAGACGAGCGCTTCGGCGTGATGACTGTTGAGGATCTCATCCCTGGCGGTCGCGATATCGATGTGACGAACGAGAACAAGAAGGAATACGTTGACCTCATGGTCAAGTGGAGAATTGAGAAGCGTATTGCAGAGCAGTTCCAGGCGTTCAAGGACGGCTTCCATGAGCTTATCCCTCAGGACCTTGTCAATGTCTTCGACGAACGTGAGCTTGAACTGCTCATTGGTGGAATTGCCGAAATCGATGTCGACGATTGGAAGAAGCACACCGACTACCGTGGTTACACTGAGTCGGACGAGGTTATCCAATTCTTCTGGCAGACGATCCGATCCTGGGATGGAGAGCAGAAGTCGCGTCTGCTCCAGTTTGCGACCGGTACTTCTCGTATCCCCGTCAACGGCTTCAAGGATCTCCAGGGCAGTGATGGACCGAGAAGGTTCACGATCGAGAAGGCGGGCGAAATCAACAACCTTCCCAAGGCCCACACATGGTATGTTGTGACTCCGGACTCGATTTAAACCCGTTGAAACGTACTAACCTTCACTCTGTAGTTTCAACCGTTTGGATCTGCCGCCATACAAGAGTCTCGAGATGTTGCAGCAGAAGCTCACAATTGCTGTTGAGGAGACTATGGGCTTCGGTCAAGAATAGATGCCCCATCATTCTTACCGACCCGCATGAATGCTTCTGCAGCACAGAAGCACAATCAAGACCTGCACCTCCTTTACACAGTAGCCAGGCATTGTTTTGACTCGAGGCGTGCGTATCATGCATCTAGCCCACTTTGTCTCTGAGGATTGGGACAGAATTCGAAGCTCGTTAGTGTGGAAATTTGCAGCATCAAATTCATTCGGATGTTTGGCGTGCGGTGGGGATATTTGGAATAAAGCTTTGTTTCTCTTATCTCCATGCGGAGGGCTGTGGGAAGTGATGACGACAGGGAGCGATTCGAGCCGGAAGGCGGCAAAGTACGAGCAGGGGAGGATGGAAGTACCGGCCGTGTTGTACCAAAAGCTCCTTGGGTGCGGCGAGTTTGCATCAGGAACCTAGACGTCTGCGAATTGAGTCGCAGCCAGGGGAGATTAATAACTGTTCTGGAGAGGAGACCTCGACCCGACAGAGGCTCTCGAGGGCAGGAAACAAGGAAGGGCTAGCCATTGTTTGAAGGGCGCATTTGATTATAACGGGCATCACAAATCTAGTGCGGAATCCGCATCGGACAGAGTTTTATATATACACATGACTCACTTGGGAAAACGCCCCGGTTGCGTGACGTGCTCTGCAACTTGGCCTTGTATTCCATGCTGCAACAGACTTTGTGACGTTTGTTTACGCATCTCGTGCTGTTGCGACCATCATCTCTCTCGATCACGAGCATCATCAACGCGGAGCACCCCAAAGTACATCATCGTCACTGTCGAACGGCAATGACTGGGCATGATGGTAGGGGGAAAAACGGAAGCAGAACTGGTAATCTACAATCCACCCGCGGTCGTCTACCGATGGATCCTCCGCATATGTACATACACACGCGCGCACACGCATATCCGCATACAAAAGAAAACGAAGCCTCGCTCAGGTAGGCTCCAACGTGCCTGGTGTATCTCTGTCTCTTTCCTCAGGCCGGGCTGTTCACCTGCTGGGCCACTAGAAGGGCACCCCTAGAAACAGATACGACCAAAACAGCTGCTCCCCCCTCCCTCCCTCCCTCTCTCTCTCTCCCTCTCTCCCTCTCTCCCTCTCTCCCTCTCTCCCTCTCTCCCTCTCTCCCTCTCTCCCTCTCTCCCTCTCTCTGGGCCGGGGTTTTCCGCAAAGCCTTCCTCCCAATATGCTCATTTGACTTACTTGCTTTGGGCGAAAGCTTCTACTTGCGGTACCACATGCGGGTGATCTTGGTGTTGCGCATCTTGCGCTGAAGCTGGAAGATGCCGTACATGAGGGCCTCGGAGGTCGGGGGACAGCCGGGGACGTAAACGTCGACGGGGACGACGCGGTCGCAGCCGCGGACGACCGAGTACGAGTAGTGGTAGTAGCCGCCGCCGTTGGCGCAGGAGCCCATGGAGATGACCCAGCGGGGCTCGGGCATCTGGTCGTAGACCTGACGGAGGGCCGGGGCCATTTTGTTGGTGAGGGTGCCAGCGACGATCATGACGTCCGACTGACGGGGGGAGGCACGGAAAATGATTCCGAGGCGGTCCTGGTCGTAACGGGGCGTGGAGAGGTGCATCATCTCGACGGCGCAGCAGGCGAGACCGAAGGTCATGGGCCAGAGGGAGGACTGACGGGCCCAATTCGTTATTACGTCGAGGGAGGTGCTGTGAGGGGGGAAAAGAAAGAACTGATGTTAGTCATCTGATTTTCAAGGTGAAATGGTTTTGATGCCGGGCATGGATACGAAGCAGTCGGTTGTGTTTGGAAGAGAGGAGGGGGGCCCGTACAGAGCATATTGCATAACACCCTTGGTGCCCTCCTGGCTAGGCAGAGGAACCTCCTTGCGCTCCTTCTTGATGAGGCCGGTCGAGTGCGCAGCAGCAGGGCTGGCGTCCTTTCGTGACGAGGAGGAGATGGAGGCGGCGGCGACTCTGAAGGGCATGACGGACGCGGTCGGCTTCGCTACACGTGGGAACCAATTGAGGTTAGCCGATGTACAGGACCACCATGGCGATGAGAGTCTCAATTGCATCGTAGAAGCTGTTGCGAGTTTCGATTCGATGGTGGCGGGCGGTCCGCGAAGGAGTTTTGTGCGTATCGGGTGCTCGGCAGACCGGCTCGAGGGGGGTGATGTGGAGGGAGCTTACCTCGCAGGGCCATCGAGGCCGCTGTCCTCGTGGAGGAAAGCATCTTGTCGGGACCGGTAGAGTGATGTCGTCTCTTTCGCGAGAGGTATCGGACTTGATGGAGTGGAGAGGATGTATCGCGAGGGGGACGTCGGTGAGGGAGCGGCGGCCGGCGACTCAATGGACGAAGGGGATCGGTCGGTCGGGGGGGCGGACCTTTTTTGGGTGTAGGATGGTTGACGTTGTCGATGGCGGTTGATGGTTTTCGCCTCTTTTCTCGCTAATGGTATTGCGAGCAATCTGATTGGCTAACCCGTGACCGAGATGGTCCGTGTGTAAAGCACGTGGGGATGGGGGGATATCTCGCCGTCATTCAGGCGTTGTCGATACCTCCTTTGGCAGGATCGCTCGTCCTCTTTCGCCGGCTCTTCGATGCCAGAGGGGCTCGATTTGCCACAGAACTCCTACGATTTCCTAAAGCCGGCATCATGCATCCAGTAATTCTTCGACCAAATCATGATGGGTTTCTTGAAGGGTCCCTGCAATATGTCCCTGGACGTTCAGCTCCCAGCTCCAAAAGCTAATCCCTAGAGCATCATTGTGTTCCCTGTGCGATCTTAAGGGGACCACCTTGGGTACGCATCTCGGTTTGCAATTTCCGAATTGGCAGCGACTAGCTAGGACATGCCTTTCTCAAGACGGCGGCTCGGAGGCGCTACTAAATGTATATTCAAGATTCCATACCAGTGCGTGGCTTGTTTGATGTGTTACAGCCGCGCTGCGCTCCTCGGACTGCAAGAGACGCATAAAAGGAACTTAGCTCCTGCAACGTGGAAGCTTTGAATCAGTCTTCCCTGTCTATCTGGGGTATCTACAGCTGTATATAAAGTAAATAAAATAAAGTAAAACCAAAGCTACGGAACCCAGGCGCAGCGAGTGCGAGAATCTCAAAGCCAATTGACCTTCCCACAACCTTTGCACACCTCTCGTCCAAGCCCTCTCGAGTCAGCCAAACTTATTCACAACAAACTTCATCTCTTCATCAAAGCATCGCCCTGCCTCGAACCTTGAATCTGGCTCTCAATGGGAAGATTCATGTCACAATCACCAGAGACTAGCACTCATCGAATCCCGAGCTCCCCTTAGCAAGCAGGCAGGTTTTTCCATTACAGTCGAAGCGAACTCAATGCATCCTAAGCACATCTCACCACATTCAAGCTCCTTGAAACCTGTTCCTATCCCTCTGATTTCTCAGAGAAGCTTTAGGGCCAAGTACACCCGGACAACTACTTTGCTTGATTCGCCAGCTCTTCGATGCCAATTATTGAACAATAAAACTTTACAAAGATATACATATATATGTGTGTGTGTGTGTGTGTGTATGTATATAAGCAAGAAAACTCTTGCTTTGCAACCAACTACACGCACGACCGATTTGGAGTCTTTAGCTAAAGTTGACGAATATCGAATGAGTTGTCGGTCAAAGTGGTGGGGCCTTGCCGGGGCGGCTTCCCGGCGGACGAGAGCTGAATCGGTGGTACCGTTTTGAGAAGAGAACCCGAGCCCATTCCCTAGGCAACCAATAATCCAGCAACGTGATGGGCGATGTAATTTCAATGAAGCAGCCCACAGGCCAATGCCATCAATATGTTTTGGTCTTCAAGTCTCGGACAGTCGTGGCTCAAACGACTTGACTGAGGTCACTTACAATAGCTCGGCGCAATTTCCCCCCACCAAGCAAAATATGATCCCTACGTCAGTGAACCGGGGTGGATAACGGGAAAGGGGCTACAGAGCCGCGCACTTCTCTTTACAAGAGCTACCCACAATGCAAATAGCTTGGCGCTTCCTCAAATGAGAATTGTCGACCGTTGTGTTCGTGGACCCGACCCTCGTATCTCTCCTCGGGCTCGCCATGGGCAGTCTGTTGCATCCGAGACCTTGCCGATGACCTGATCGATCTCCTCGCGGGTCACCGAAGCGGAAGAAAACTCACCTTCGCGATGGCGTGGAAGGCCAATCGTCCGGCGCCCAGCTCGGTCAAACCCTTGCTCAAAGGCGTGCTGGTGACCTTCATCCTGACCTTGCTGTTGACGAGTACCTACATGTACCGCGATACGATCAGCACCAAAGCCTCTCAAGTCAAGTTCACCGATGGCGCCGCGACCGACTACTTCAAGTACCCCTTCAACGCTAGCGACGCCGATGGAAACCCAATCGACTGGCTGATTCACGACGCGCGGGCGAAGCACGCGACGATACTCCAGAAACGGAGCCGTACTCTGCACAATGCCGCCCAGCGCTACCGTGAGCGACGAGGCAGACACCCGCCCCCGGGGTTCCAGGAATGGTTCCATCATGCTATGGAGACCGATGCAATAGTCGTTGAAGAGTTCTTCGACCAGATCTATGACGACCTCGGGCCGTTCTGGGCGCTCGACACCAAGACAACTTCGAAGCGGGCCAACGCAGGGGAGCACGTCGTAAGAGTGCGCAACGGCACAGCGACGGGCGATGGGAACATGGAGGATAAGGAGCCGTGGCTGGGGCTATGGACAGCTCTGGTGTCCGAGTTTGCAAAACATCTGCCCGACGTGGACATGCCCATCAACTACATGCATGAACCACGGATCCTGGTTCCGTCGCAGGACATGGAAAAATACGTTGCGAAGGAGGGGAGGACGAGAAACATGCCGCCCAAGAACAAGGTCACCTCTCAGCTCCAGAGCTTGACGAGCGTGGATGCTGCCCGAGAAACTCCGTACTCTAAGGGGTGGACAAGTGGCGACCGTCGCAAGTACTGGGACCTCGTCCGAGAGGCATGTCCTTCAGATTCCCCAGCAAGAAACGTACCTGCGGCGACGGATCTTTCCCTGCCACCAACATTGCCATACTTATGGAAAGCACCGTTTGCTCGTCGAGGCTATGTGCAGAACTTCACCATGTCCATGGACCCGTGTGTGCAGCCTCACCTACGTTCGCTTCATGGCACCTTTGTCGAGCCTCTGAACGTCAATACGACAAAAGATCTCATCCCCCTTTTCGGGGGCTCCAAGCTCCTCGTCAACTCGGATATCCTCATCCCTGGCGCCATGTACCTCTCCGACGACCCAAGCTACACCGGCGGCAACGTCCGCGGCCCCGCATGGCCCGAGAAAGTCAATCGCCTCGTATGGCGGGGCATCGGATCCGGAGGCCTCGCCCAGTCAGACAACTGGACGCATTTCCACCGCCAGCGGCTGGTAGAGATGCTCAATGGCACCACCGTGCACGGCATGGAGGCCAACGACGTCCGCGCGATGACCTTCGACATGCCCCCTCTAGAACGTTACAACACTCTACGCCGTCGCCAGAAGCAGCTTGGGAGGTTCCTCTCCCAGTTCGCGGATGCGGGCTTCACGCACCTGCTGTGCGGGCCCGCACACGACCGGCGCAAGGAATGTGACTGGCTCGCGCCGCACTTATCGGTGGTCAACGCCACGCCCATGGCGGAGCAGTTCTCGAGCAAGTTCCTCCCGGACGCGGACGGCTACAGCTTCAGCGGGCGGTTCAGGGCGTTCCTGCTGTCGACGAGCGTGCCGCTCAAGGCGACGGTGTACGCCGAGTGGCACGATAACCGTCTCACGCCGTGGTTGCACTACGTGCCGCTGGACAACACCTTCCAGGACCTCTACGGCGTGCTGGACTTCTTCACCGACGGCGATGATGAGCCGCAGGGGTTGTGGGGCGTTCACAGTGTGCTGAGGAAGAAGAGCAAAGGCGACGACGCTGCGAGGTGGATTGCAGAGCAGGGCAAGGAGTGGGCGGAGAAGGTGCTGCGCCGCGAGGATATGCGGCTGTACGTCTGGAGGTTGTTGCTGGAGTTTGCGAGGCTTTGCGATGAGCGTCGGGATACGCTTGGCTACGTGGATGACCTTCCTTGAATATCTCGAGTTTCGATAGGCTTTACAGCTATGACTTCTGACGAGGTGTTTTGGTTTGCAAAAGACCAGAAACTATATTAGCACCAATGAACTAAAAGTGGGGGGGGGGGACTGCATGGCAAGCTTTCGACCGCAATTTCTTCAGCTTCTTAAGCTCAGTATTCCATTTGGATGTAACCTGGTTGACCCAGCGCCTGTCGATTTCGCGAACTAGCGTTAGCCTTGCAGAAGTCTATACGGCGCAGAAGACGGACAGGTGCTTTGCTTAAGCTTTGCCCACGCACATACAGTCTAGGTTGGCTCAACATAGCCCTCTGTGTCGGCGCCAAGGCGAAATGAGGGGGGCTTGTTCTCTCGTGATGGTACTCAAAAGCTTGCCGGGAAGTTTGGACGGATGGATTTTCCAGCTTGTCCTGCCGACCGAGTATATCATACCTTTGGAAGAACAGCATGTATAATAACATCCCTCCTGTGAAACCAAGTTTTCCCACTCTCCAACCATTCCGCTTTTCAGCCACATTTAGTAGGCTCTACTTTGGTAGACTCTACTTTAGTAGGCTCTGCTTTATTCGGCATCAAGATGCAATTTTGCGCGACTCCCCAGGATGTCACACCTACGGCGTCCTGTTCCCCTGATTGGCGTCACCGGCGACCGAGCAAAACACAGTGGCCGAAACCACCCATCGTATCCAAGATGAAGATACCTACTAGGCTCAAGATACGACAAGCTCGGTCTGCATCGCAGGAGGTCAGTAACCATGTTCAAACAACACAACACTGGTGACGATGTAAGGGCTTACTCGCTTCCAGACAATGCAAACCTCCTGGGAGGATAGAACGAGAGTCTCAATGAGCGACTCCCCGAGCGAGACGGAGTTGGACGAGAAGTGGAACATCGGAGGTGTGTCTGAGCTGGAGATCACACTACTGCTTGAACAAGACCAAGAGCGCCCTTGGCGCTCTATCGGAAGATCCCTGAGGAAGCGGTCGATGAAGGTCCGCCAGAAAGTTCGTCAACTCTTCCGTTTACAAAGCATTCCCACCACGCCCGGCAACGAAGCCTCAAGAACCCCTTCGTATTACGCAAGCAAGACATCAACAGATAAGGAGAAGGCTGCAGAGACTGCGGGGGGTGGGGATTCATTGAACGACAGGAAGTGCTACCGCGAGGCGACTCGCTTGTATGGGGCCCTCGCAGCCCCGTTCGCAATTATGGGAGTGGGATATCCCATGGTGATATTCTAGAATTCATCTTTCAGTAGTCAGAAAGGGAACAGGACAGGCATAGGGAGTGAGGTGGCCAGGCCTTTGTTCGAAGAGCTGCTGGGTCAGCGAGGTGTTTGATAATCCAAGAGTGGTTTGTGGACTGACACACATCTTACTCAAACGAGACATGAAGAAACTGAACAGTACCTCCGAAGGCATGGTATCACTTTCTTTTGGCAATCGATACTTTTAGTCCGGTCATACAAGAGCTCTACTCTGACATCTAACATTCAACATGGGTATACTCTTTGCATTCAACACGGAGTCCGGATGAAGCCTGAAGCTGAGGCACTCACCTCATAGCTTCCCCCCCTCGCGGATCACATATAATATAAAAACCTACAAGTCCTTTTGTCTTGCGCTTCGATTATACTATATGGCGGCTCGCGAAGTGGCGTGTGTATGGTTCTCAACCTCTCCAGGGGTCAAAGGCTGTCTTATAACATATCGTTTCTTATTGAGAAGGCGCATCGCAGCGGTGCCTAGGCTCTTTTCGTATTTGAGGCTTTGTTGCCTCCATGGCGGAAGCAGAGGCTAGGCGTTTCCCATTAAGGAAGCTACCTGCTTCCTTCTAGCCTGCTACTTACTTACCTAGGTAGCTTAGGTAATCATCGACATGCCACGCACACGAACCCAACAGCTCCCACCGATGTCGGATGCCTAGCGCTCATACTGACTCAACCAAATGACGTACCTGACAGATGGTTATCTAGTCCGATATACTGTCCATTTTACCGACGCTGGCTGCTTTGGTAAGTAGGCGAAGGAAGCTAGTGGTCGCCCTCAACAGCGAAAAGGATTCATCATCCAAGCTTGCGGTGCAAAAAAATGAAGTAACTCGCGCAAACAGGGACAGCAATCTCGCGATATCACAGCATCGGGGGTGCGTCTCTATTGAAACTTGGGCTTCGGAGCCTGTATCGCGAGGCACTCCTCCCCCTCCCCCCCCCCCCCCCTTGGAGGCCTTCGGTCCTGCGGCGATGGGATCCCGTCCGCAATTCCCGACGACGTCAAGGCAGCAGGACTGGCGAGCACGGTCACACAGAATTCACTGGAGCGCATCGGCAGCTGCCAGCGACAGAAAGACGGACGAAACGGGTTCGCAGGATCGAGGACAAATTAGGCTAGCGTGGGTAGCGTGTACAAAAGCAACGGAGACGGCTCTTGACGCTCGTCCCGACTTTGGGAACAACTGTAACAATTGCGTTGTTCCAAAGTCGGGACGAGATTCATAAACCAGTATGGTACGGTGCCTAGTTAGGCAGGTACCTCTCGAGGTGGTTGGTGAGGGGCGGGGGAGAGGACGGGAACGATCGCAAGCCGTTAACCGGCAAAAGTGGGGCATAGTGAGTCGTCATCCGGGGGTGAGCCTGCCCATCCAACTTGCTGAACCAGCCAACTAACGTCCCCAGCGGGAGCCACTGAGTCGGAACATGGGGACTGGATTACCAAGCGGCCAGGTAGGTAAATAGATAAACGGCCGTCGACTGGCGGCCGATGGCGCTATCTGCTATAGTATCTCACATGCACTCGTGCTCAGGTGATGGGAGTGGACTAGGGCGAAGCTCCAATAATTGCTCGACCTTGCCTCGTTTCCTCGCCTCTTTCCTAACCCCGCCCCGCAGCTACTCCAAAACCTCCGAACTTGGAAGACCAAAGTACTGGATGGCAACGATAACGGCTCCGTCGCAACGTCCGAAACAAGGGCATTTTGGCCATTCGATCCGACATGACGGGTGGGAGAGCACCTCAACCCCGGGAGCGGCAGCGCGCCGCCGACAACGAACCCGGGAGAGCGGGGGGCGTTTCGTCGGCGGCCGAAACCACCGAGACGACGCCTCTGCTCAACTCCTGGACCTCTTCTCCGACACTCCGTGATGGGTCGCTGGGCGGTAATAGCCGCCGGGGCCGGGATTCGGACGTTGACGACGACGACGACGACGACGACGACGACGACGACGATGCCGGGCCGAAGCAGTCCATAAGCGTGACCCGCGCGGGGGTTCTCATGCTCAGCACCTGGATCCTCATCTTTCTTCAAGGTATGCGTCCTTGCTCGAGTACGACTCGGCCCGATGGCTTAATTAACTTGAAAAAACCCCGCGACCAGCATCGAACACGTCGGGCATGACAATGACCCAGTCCGTCGTCGCCGAGGACCTCGACGCCTACGCGGACGCCATGTGGTTCACCAGCTCCTACCTCATCAGCATGGCCTCGCTGGCGCCCCTCTTCGGCCGCCTGGCCACCATCTTCTCGCCCCGCAGCCTCGTTCTGCCCCTGGGCTGCTTCTTCGCCGCCGGCGGCGTCGTCACGTCCCAGGCGCCCTCGTTCTGGGTCTTCATCGCCGGCAGGATCCTCACGGGCACGGGCGGCGCCGGCATCATGACGCTGTCCATCATCCTGGTGCTCGAGCTGGTCGGCAAGAAGAGCCGCGGCCTCTTTGTCGGGCTGGTGAACGCGGGCTTCACGATTGGCCTGTCGTTTGGTGCCGTTGTGTACGGCGCGTTGTTGCCGGTCATCGGATGGGTCAGTCTCGTCATGTCTTTAGGTTCCTGGCTGCTGGGGGGGGGGGGTTGAGGTTTGGAATAGAAAGCTGACGTGGTTTGCAGAGGGCCCTCTTCGGTTTGCAGACACCGCTTGGCCTGTTCGCAGGTCTGGGCGCCTTCTGGAGCATACCCGAGACCTTCAGCTCGGATCACGAGGCAAAAGGCAGGTCGATCTCGCAGAAGCTGGCTCGTATCGACTATGCGGGTGCTTTCATGCTCGTACGTCCCCATACCCAAACACGTCACCACTCGACCTCAGCTCACATCTCCAGGTCCTGACCATCGTCCTGTTCCTCTACGGCCTCTCTGGGGAAATCCAAACTCGCGCTCTCGTCTTCTCCGCACTCTCCCTCCTTCTGTTCGTCTTCGTCGAGTTCAAGTTCGCCGCAGACCCCATCATCCCCGTCTCCCTCCTAACGTCTCGCCCCGTCCTCCTCTCCTGCGTGGCTCAGCTCTTCTTCATGTCGATCCGCTGGACTCTCCTCTACTACGCGCCCATATTCGCTCTCGCCGTCCGCGGATACGCCCCGGCCATCGCCGGCTCGATCCTGGTCCCGACCAACATCGGCTTCGGCTCCGGTGGGCTGGTCGTCGGCTGGCTCCACGTCCGTCGCAACGGCGCCTTCTGGACGCCCTCGGTCGTCAGCCTGACGTGCTTCGCGGTGACCATGTTCGGGTTCTCGTTGGTCGGCACGGCAGACTCGCCGTTTTGGGTATTCGTCCTGGCCGTCGTGCTCAACGGGTTCGCGACGGGCGCCACGCTGAACTACACCCTGGCGCACATGCTGCACCTGAGCCGACCGGAGGAGCACTTCATCTCGACCTCGTTACTGGGCACGTTCCGAGGGTTTGGGGGCAGTTTCGGTACGGCCATCGGCGGGGGTATCTTCTACCGCCTCCTGCGCTCCGGCCTGGTGTCCAGCTTCAAGGAGCTCGACGGCGGGAGGCTGTCCGAGGAGCGGAGGGAGCTCGTCACGAAGCTGATCGGGAGCCCTGCGCTCGTGTTCAACGGCCGGCTGGCTCCCGCCGAGCACGCCATCGCGGTGGAAAGGTACGCCGGCGCATTGAGGGGCACGTGGCGTGTGGCGGCGGCGCTGGCGTTTGTTGCCGTCGTGATCCAGGCGAGCACGGGGTGGAGGGGTCCTGCGGATAGGAAGGCGGTGGTCGATGAGGCGGAGGCAAGGGCGGTGGTGATGGAGAGCGAGGGTGTTGGCGAGGCATGATTTGGTTGTGAGCAGGCTTTAAGGCCAAAGTGACTTTGATATTTCAGACTGGACATAGCAGGGGCACATACGTTAGCCAAGAGGGTTTACATACGAGCATCATCGTTCTTGTTCCCTAATAAGCGACGCAGCGTCCAGGATACAATGTAGGAGCAGATTTTTGGATATCTGTTGGAATCCTCAAGTGCGTATTCAGCTGTATACAGCCCAGGGAAGAAAGCAGCAATGACCCAGGAATATACGGTCAAAATGAAGACCGATACCCCCAGAAACTTCGCGACCAGCTAGACGGCACCCTCCACGGCGAGATGCCTCAACCGGCCTGTACGTGGTCTGGGCGACGGCGCGGGGAGGTGCCGCTGCTCTCCGCAAAGCCCTCCGTCTTGGCGTCTCTGTAGACGCACAATGACCACGAAAGTGGAGGAGTCCCCGGAAGGAGACCTGCCCGGCAGAGCGGCCCGCGTTCACGCAGAAGGTCAAGGGTCAAACCCATCTGATCGAGATACTCGTCAGTGCCGGCGCCGCCATTGGCGTCGTCACAGTCTACTGCTGGCGCTGTGAAGTGGAGGCGGAAACCGATGCGATTCTTGACGCCACGTCTCGCACAGCAAGAGATACTGCTTTATCTCGCCGTGTCATCGTAGCTGGAACACGGCTGAAACCATCGCACGCCACGGGTCGTCTCTGACGGCCCGGACTGCCTAGAGGACGTGTTTGACCGGGTCGATCAAAGCGGACCCAACGTTCACAACTTATCGGCTCTTCACGATCTTAGCCGCCACTGGACGCCCCGAACCGGCGCCTGCGAATTTACCGGCCAGTTCAAGTTAGCCCACCGGCTGCTTCCTATGAACGCAGACTGCAGGGCCGTCGTACCGACGCGGCCGACGGAGACCCTGCTTCGTATCGCGCTTAGAGCCTGCACGGATATGGGCACGCGACGGCTGGCAGTCAACGCGGGGGACGATGAGTATTCGCTGTGCCTCCCGGGACGGGACGAAGCGTTTGATACGGTGCCGGAGCTCACCCAGCAGCTGATAACCAAGGACGTGGCCGTCGACGCGACAGACGCCAACCAACAGACGGCGCTTCATGTCGCTGTGGCCATCGTCGAGGTTGGTCTCGTCGAGCTATTGCTGAGAAGCGGAGCGAGCCCGGAGATGCCAGACGTCTTCGGCGCGACACCTCGGCGCGGCTGCTTGCACTTTGGCACGAAGGCGACAACATCGAATGGGAACCAAGAGTGCACCCCCGCATCTTCCAGACACACCAGTCTAGCAACACATGGGCAACACGATTTATGTAAAGCGTCATGACCCAGTGTTGCTTTGTGGCTGCCTCGGCACTAGGAAACAGCGGTTCGTCTGCCCAACTGGGCATCACCGCTCACAAGCCACACATGACTTATCACTGTAATCAACGTCATCGACGTGACGAGAACTGCATTTCAGTCACTCTGCATCTAGAGGGAAAATGACCTCCTCGCACGCACGACCCAGGGCTGCGCGCAGGCCTCCATCGACGACCCCTACGGGCCAGACGTGACTTCCTCGAGGTGCCCGTTTCGGACTCAGCCCGCGCCATAGCGTCCTACACGGCGGTGCTCGGCTGGGACTGGCGGACAACCGGATTGCGGGCCACTATGCGGGCGAGGCCGCAACGCGTAGTGGTGTTGCCTACGTTCTGCGTGCGGAATACTGAGGGTGACCATTGCCGAGGCGGCCCGGGGGGGAAGCCCAGGTGAGAAGGGTTTGTGTGTGAGTCGAAACCGGACCGCCCCGCCGCCGCGTTCCCAAGATGCCGTGCTGATAGTTGCTCCTAAGCCGAACGCTGAGATTGCTGTTGAGATGGGGTCCCTTTACCGGATCGTCCATTACGAAGGAAACATGGTGGAGAGGGGGGGTCCTGGACACCAGGAGAACGTGCCCCGAAGCCCGACGGTTCGGAAAATGTGACTGCGTATGGTCCGCTGGCAATCTCTCGATAGGGTTGTCAAGGAAGACCCGGGAAACCTCACGATGAAGGGTGACGTTTGATTTGCAACCAGGGTCGTCTCCTAGGCCGTCAATGTCGTTCCCGGCGGTTGGGTCCGAAGCAAAAGTTCCCTTGTTCTTCTGGAGGGATCCCAGCCCGCATGTCCGGGCCGCCTCGCCCCTTGGAGACTGTGCATAGCTGGCGGCGGGCAGGTCGAGAACAGGGCGAGTGGGCTGATCTGCCTCCCCTTTTATGCTTCTTCGCATTGGGAGTCTTGGCGCACATGTTGATGCGGGAAACCCGACGAGATACTCCACCTCGACACGCCCGTGTCTTTGTTTCTCCACCAACGGAGGCTGTCGATACTGAGGTTCCGGCGAGATGTGATGCTGCACCAATGAGCCGACTGCACCCCCTTCTGGGCGAGCCGGGTAACAACGTGCTTCCGATTGATTGCCAACAATATAGCTTTGCAGGCGAAGAGCCGCCGAGGCCGAGGGTTTGAAACTTCAAGACTGGGCCCCTGAGGCTCTGGTTTTGGGTTGGACGTGCATGGCCGGTAGGGGGGCGACGGACGGGACCTCGTAATAGCCGGAAAGCAATAGGCTGATATCCACGAACCGGCATAAAGAGGGCTTGTATTGTGAGCCTGACTGTACGACGTCACTTCCGAAGCAATGAATCGATTTTGAGGAAAGGTTGCAGGAAAGGTCGCGAATGAGGGGAGCAATCAAAGGGCACAAGGGTTGGCTGTCAGGTCCACCTTTTGGGTTCATTGGACCTCTCATAGTCGTTACCACTGCCCAAGGGGCCAACGTATGATTGCAGGACGGGTAAACAAGCTTGTACTGTAGGTGAGTCTTTCTTCTTCTTTCTCTCCGAGAGTACATTGGCACCTGCAGCAGCGGTTGGGTATGCCGGCTGCAGGGGCTGTAGGACCGAAGATGCTGTAGGTAGGTAGCCTGAGGATTCGCGGGCCGGGCCCGATAAATACGCCCGAAAGGGCTTGGCATTCTTTCCAGCGGCGCTGAACCGGTTTCTGCCAGCGGACTGGGCAGGCTGTATGTATCTGGAAATCCTCGTCTTCGATGAGCGGGAAGACGAGGCCCGACTGCAGTCCTTCTTTAGCCGGCTGCAGGCTCCCGAGATTCCAGAAGACGGCTACCCGCGCGGAGATGCAAGCAGGTCGGGGTTTGGCGATCCTGAGATTATCGTATGGCTGGCTGGCGACGGGTCCAATCGCAATATTTACCGATAAGCGTTTCACACACCTGATCGAGGCAACCCAACAAGTGATCTGCGTTGGAAGGAGAAGGTGCTGATTGTGAAGCAGAGTGGCAGACGAGACGGCCGATACAACGCCAAGTAACTTGTTGCGGATGCAAACGACGAGACACGCGTTGCCACCCCTTGTTAGGTGACACGGAGCTGTTTAACGAGGAGGTGGCCGGGTGTGCTGTGGACACTGGGCTGGTAAGATTTAGGTCATAGCTGCTTCGTGGAACGATAACATTATGGATGTCAATGGATGCAGATTCGGCCGAGATGTTTCGAGGTGTGAGTTCAGGTGGCAAGGGAGAAAGAAAGGGGAAGGAGGGTGGCACAAGTCGACCAGACAATGTGGCACAGGACATGGAAGCAAGCAGCAGGCGGCGACATGGGCGGCGGAAGATTCATGTCGTGCTCGGTTGTGACCAGACATCGATCGACCGGTGATGCCTTTGAAGTGAAGGCAGCAGGTGGATTTTGGTTTCAAACAGGTCCCCGGTAGGTCACCCATGCTGTTGTAAGGGACGGGCAGGTGAAATACGGAATTGTCATATGAGTTTGCTGGATAGAAACAGCACGGAACAGAGAGCGTTGAGCCCTTGCAACTCGCAACAGGAGGACGGCGTTCTCGACGGCGTGGATGGAGCGACGTGTGATTGGCGGAGAATCTCTGACGTCCAAATCCCGGGAATGGGGAAAACGCGGCGAATCCTTGTGCCAATATGAGTTCCTGAGTTCCGGTGAGACGAACGTTCCCCCGGGGGTTTTCCCCCAACCTACCCCACCATTCGGCATGCAAGCTCAGTTGAGTTGCTGCTACCTGGTTCCACCTGCGGATACAATGTGGTAATCTACCATCAGCATCGACAGTCAGCTCTCAACTGAAGGCCACTCTCTCTCTCTCTCTCTCTCTCTCTCTCTCTCTCTCTCTCTCTCTCTCTCTCTCTCTCTCTCTCTCTCTCTCTCTCTCTCTTTTCTGGCTTCTGGCTTCGTCTTGCCCGTCTTGGAAGAAAGAGCATTGCCGTGGGACGGTGCTCTGGCCGCCTGCAATCGAAACCGACGTTGCACTCCCCGGCCCAGCCCATCTCCGTCTTGTTATCGTTATCCCACCTCGAAACGGATCAGATACCCTGCCTGGCCCACCTAACTAACTCTGTCTTGCTTCGCCTTGCCTTGTCTCAACTCGGGAACGACACTGCCACGACAACTGACTGACTGACTGCCTTCTTTCGTTCGTCGAGCGCCGAGAAACCCCCAAGCTTGCTCGTCCTGCGGGCCTCCATCATCCATCCAGTCAGCGACGGGCACTCTTCTTCCTTGGGACCAACACCCCTGGCTCAGGATTCCAGAACCGTGCAGCAGCCGAAGCTGGAGCAGCAGCCGAAGCTGGAGCAGGAGCTGGAGCAGCAGCAGCAGCAGAGACAGAAACAGGTTCCATTCTTATTTCCATTCCCAATCCCAGTCCCAGCCCCAGTCAGTCCCAGTCCCTGTCTGCCCCGTGCCAAACTCCCCGATTTGCCCCCCCCCCCCCCCCCCCCCCTTCTGACTTTGGCCAAGCATCCTCGTGGAGCGCAGCATCTGTGGTGGAACAATTCGTCTTCCCCAACTTCCATCAATCTCTCCGTCTCCTCCACCAACGACAAGCCTCGGATTGTCCATTGCGCATGGCCCACGCCGGCTGTGCCGTCCAGAGAGCCAGCCCTCCACCGAGCCTGCTCAGACTGCCAGGCAGGGATCGCCGACCTCCGACCTAGCACGGACTTTCATATCGTCCCCTACTACAAGCAACTTCGGACGGACCAAGGAGAACCTTGATCCTTCCTCATCGTTTTCTCACGACAACGCTGTGGTGCTTCGAAAGCTAATTACCTACCTCACCTCCGCCGGCACCGTCTCGTAGCCTCTCCCTATCGGCGAAATTATTTCTCACCCAAGCGTCGCCATTGATCAACATCCCACGGCCTTATCCTTCCCGTGCCATCGGCCGGCTCGTCTCAACTTTTCTTTTCTCCCATCAGCTTCTCATATTGCGACAACCTCTCGTGCTCCGAGACGGCTTCCACGCCGCCCGCTCTGTGCACCGTATCCTCGCTCGTGCCAGCTAGCTATCTTCTTGGCTGCGCTGACCGCGCTGACCGCGCCGATATAAAGCTTGCCCCCACGGCCCGACTTGCGCGCGCCACATGCGACTACTGGGTTGCCATCGCCAGAGCTTCAATCGGGATTCCTGTCGCCTGTGCTTCAATTAGACGACCCAACCCACCCTTGGAATCGCAAGCCTCAAGTCCTGCATCGGACCGTACGAAAGCACTCCGCGAATTGGTGGAAGAAAGCACTTGGCCCCAGCAAACCGGTTCATAGGGCTCTGCTCAGCGTCATTGTTTGTCCTCTCTTGACCGCACTGAGCTTCTTCTCCCACTTCTTATCAGTCGTTACTCACGCAGCGCGCATCACGCCCCCGGACCCCCTCGGGGATACCTCGTACCATATGCACCAGCCTCACGACGACCCCCACCTGCTTTCTCTTCCCGGTGCACATCTCTAACACCGTCAGGTCACCTGACACGTCTTGGCCTGCTGCTCCTCTCTTGCTCTTTTCTCTATCATAGTAGCACATCTACCCCCGCTGTGACCACTCGACTCTCTCTTTCCATTCGTCTCTCCAACTGCCATAATCCTGCTTGGACCATCAGCTTGTCTTGCTTGTCATGAGACTTTGGCCTCACATATCCAACATCGCTACCCACCGCCACAATACTTCCTCACGCTCATCCTAGTCATCTCAAAGGAGGAGAAGGGGAGGGAGCGGTTCATCGTGGGTTCGCTGCGTCCTTTCCGCCTCAGAACACCGTTCCAGGCGTGGCTGCTCGGTTCTCGCAGCTCGATATCAACGCATCATCACGCAACGCCATGGCATCATTACACCAGCTCGGCGCTGGCCCAACCCCCGCGCGCCCCCGGAGTGTGAACGATTCCGGGAATCAGGATGTTGATATGGGCGTCGATCGGAATGCCAGTCCCGCCGTGACAACTGGCACAAGGTTCGGCAGCCCGCCCCAGAGAGGAGACACCCGGATCGTCGTCATCATCTATGGTCACGGCCAAGACGGTATCGTGTCAGTGTTCGCCGATGTCCTGGGGAAACCGCACACCATCCGTTCGGCATTCCAAGACGTTGGCGCCGCCGACCAAGGGCTCGTGGTCGGCATCCCGGCAGAGCATGCCAAGAATGACATCAACTCTCGCGACAAGGGGCTTGTCGTGGTGATCAACGCTCACTGCGTCAACCTTGGGATGCCGCCGGACGTCTTCCTTTCGGCGCAGTGCGATTACGAGTTCCTGTACACGGAAGCCCCGTTCTTCCGCCGGGACCTTTCGAGGTTTATCTCCTTCACCCTTGGCCAGATCAACCACCACGAGACGCTGATGTCAAAGCCGCGGACCTATTTTATTTCCACAACGTTCCCGGACGTCAGCGCTGCATTGCCCAACATCGACATCCTCACTGTCGGCGCCGACGCGGTGGAAATTCGAGTTGATCTCCTCAGGGAGCCTCTGGGCGACGGCACATACTCTGCCGTTCCGAGTCTCAGCTACGTTGGACAGCAACTAATGCTCCTGCGCCAGCGAACAGAGCTCCCCATCATCTTCACGACCAGATGTACGAGAGAGAACGGCCGTTTCCCAATGGAAAATCCGGATCTCTACCACGAGTACCTGTACCGAGCCATCCAGTGGGGTGTCGAGTACATTGACGTGGAGCTCTGGCTTCCTGAGGCCATCCGGAAGGATCTCTATGAGCGGAGGGGAAGCAGTCGGGTCATGTCTGCGTTCCATGATTTCTCCGGCACCTTCAGATGGCCGTCGTCCCATGCCGAGCAGGTCTACGTTGAGTCCAGCAAGTACGCCGACATCATCAAAATGATTGCCATCATCAACGACCATAACGAGAACTTTGAGCTGGAATACTTCCGCTCCAAGATGCGCACAGACTACCCGGATTCGCCTCCATTCTCGGGAGTCAACATGGGGGAGACTGGCCAATTCTCCCGCACTCTGAACAGGGTCTTTACCCCCATCACTCATCCGCTACTGCCGATAGTCGCGGCTCCAGGCCAGATGAGTGCATCGGAAATCAACGCAGCTTTGGCCCTGCTCGGCCAGCTCCCCAAGAAGAGTATATACGGCATCACCACCCCGGCCTTTCGCAGTTCGACGCCGCAAGCCCCTTTCTATGAGAAGTGCTTCAACGAGCTCGGCCTGCCACATTACTTCGCCGTCGTCGAGCGCCCGCCCAACAGCTTTTCAAGCATGGAGGCTTGGTGCAACCAGAAGAACTTTGGCGGCGCATATCTTAGCCCACCCGTGTCGTGGAACAGCCTGCTGAAACACAGCTCGTTCTTCGTGTCGCTCAACGGCGGAAAGGGCCCGGAACTGACCGAGGCCGCTCGACTTATCGGTACCGTGGACACCATTATAGTCAAGTCGGCGTCTTCGTCTTCGGCGTCCTCTGCTCCAGCGTCCATTCCGTCGAGTCCGCGCCACGGGCACCACGATTCCTTCGGCCATCTAGGGTCGAGCTTCTCCGCTTTGTCGCCAAACACGTCTCTGATTCTGGATAACGCCAGCTGGCGTGGTATCATCAGTACGCTGACTAGAGACAGGGCACCTTCAGCATACTTTGGTCGCACAGCCGTCGTCCTGGCCTCTTCCGGCGAGGATGCCGCATCGGTCATGTACGCCCTGAAGGCTCTCCGTATCGGCAAGATATATACCGTTGGCTTCCGCACGCCGCCAGCCCTGGCTCGCGACGGACCCGTAATCGAACCATTCAACAGTCTCGAAAGTCTCAAGAGGGCCCAGACGGTTGGCGATGACGCAGCCCCTTTCCTGGTCGTCTCGGCTCTGGGAGTGGACAAGAGCAATCTCGTCGGCATGCTCGTCCGCGTCTTTGGCACCAATGCTCGGGGCGGGTCGAACTTCAAAAAGGTCTTTCTCGATCTCGCCGAGGTCTCGGGGACAAGGAAAGGCGGCGACCCGGGTCTTATCGCTCAGCAGGCCGGGTTCTCCGCCTACGGCGTCGCCGACACGGCCGCTTTCACGACAGTGGAGACTCTCAGACTGCTGGTCGGCCAGAACGTGCCCTACAGCTTCGTCAGACTGGCAAGCGGTGGGGGCATGTTCTGAAGCTGGGTATCAGACGCAGACATATAAACCCAACCATCTTCCGCGTTTCCACGGGGTCATCCGTAATACATCATTGCTGCAGATAAGGCACGAGGGGTGATGCGAATTCGAGATTGCGAGCTGCATCGCAGCTACGTTCTATCAGGGGGAACGACGCTCGCGACTCCGAGCCGGCGGCAGGCATTGCCGGGCGGTGATGAGGTCCAAGGGCCCGATAAAGCCAGGTCACGCGGAGGAATGTGTAGTGTCGACGGCGGACTAGGCAAGCGTATCGACTGCCAGCCCCAGTGAATAGGACGGAAGAAGCGATCGAGCAATACCCGAGACTGCATTTGAGCCGCATCTCCAGGCACACGCCCCCCCTCGGACACGGGAGGATGAAGCCTGCGGCCCACATCATGGTTTCTGTCTCACAGGATGAGGGATGCGGGCAGGTGACATATGTTGTGACGAGGACCGCTCATCGGTGAAAGGAGATGAACCATTGCACGCATGTACAGCGTCTATCCCGGAGAGAGTTGAGGAATGTATAGATCGGGTAGAAGAGGGACGATCGGCAGGGGAGGCCATTTGCGAAATCTGAGTTCATCGAGCTGATGCACGAGCTCGCAAGCCCGGTCTTCTGGGACGGCCCATTGTACCTTCTAGAGAAGAGAGGATGGGTTTGTCGATACGCTTTCTTTTCCTCTTTTCCATTTTGCGTGCGAGATTCTCACGGCCCCAAGCGGTCCCAGACCGCGTCAGTAGACTACGCGGCTGTAGATGGCCTTTCAGAGAGGGCCCGTCCCTTTTTTGGGTATCAATTAATGCAATTCACTCCGGACACGGAGACGCCCGGACAACGTTGAGACTCATGGATTGTGACCCGCCGAACAATCCGCGACCCTGCACCGAGACGCTCGCTCTCTGGCCTCGTGACTGAATTCCAAGAGGACGGGCTAGGAGAGGCTGCTCGCCCGGTGTCTGACCAGTATCGCCCACGGGTACGCTCTTGACTTCATGCCTGTCGAGGTACCATTTCGGGCCCGCGGGCGGGCCGTCGGACGGCGCGGTATTTGTATAGCCAAGTCATTCGCAAGATCGACACACCCATGAGGGAACGGGACCTGGGAGCCTCAGGGGGTGGTCCCGGGGCCTTTTTTGCCTGATTGCTTCGAATGTATCCTTCGCCACTATTTCTGCCGCCTGACCGCCGCCCTCCCTCACACCGTCTTTATTAGGATGAACGAACCACGGTGGAACGGCTCCCCTGTGTTGACGACGACAACCATTCACCGTCAAGCAAGACCGGGCCCAGACCACATCCTGTTGAGGAGCTGTCATCGTGGCACACACACGCACCCGCATGAACTCCTATAAGCCGTGCTTCCTTCTGCAGACACCTAAAAGCGTCGTGGTTTTCGCATCCGCCCCAAGCCACAACGTCGCATGCTGGAGCTGACACAGGCACCGGCCGCGCCCCTCGTTTCCGCAGCTGACTCACTATGGCGTGGTCACTCATCCGGCCATGACGCGCGTGAACGACGACGACGTCAAAACGAGGAGACGACAGGACACGTCGAGAGCGCCCTCTCGCCAATCAGGCTAGAAGTCGAACACACCCCACTAACTACCACTAGACTTTCGAAAATGGAGGACGGGAGGTCCATCTCCACGACCCCCATCCAGGATTCGTTGCCAGCTGAACAACCATTGGGGAGAGGGCGAGCAGCACCAACCCTGGTCGTTCGCATTCTCAGCCTTCTTCCACGGCATACATGAAGCCGTCGTGTGTGGTCAGAAACCTCGTCAATGCAAGGGCGGGAAAGTAGGACTAGGCCGCTCATCTTCCGAGCTTTGCCAGTCGAGCCGATTGAGGAGATTTCGTAGCATCAGAACGACGAATGAGAGAGGGCAATGGCCGCTGTGGTTCGGGCAAAGGGAGCTGCGGAATCGACGAGGGTGATGAGGGTGACAAGGGCGCCCACAGATGCCCACAGACGTCCTGGCAGCTCCGAACGGTCCGCGTCGAACGGCAGGGGTTGCCGTCAAGTCGTCAACACATACACACACACACGAGGCCGGGAGATGAACGGAGAGGCCAAGTTGTTGCGAGTCCGACGCATGGCCTGGTCTGAGAGAGATGAAAGGATTGAATCACGCTGCTTCACAGCTTTTGACTGGCTCCCCTATGCCCCTCGAAAGAGATCGGCACCCGTCATACTGATGGTCTGACGTGCCTCAAGGCAAATACAGACGCGCCTCGGGCGCGCTTCTGTGGAACAGGCACCGGGACTTTCCCGCGAACTCCCACAGCATGACGCATATGTATATGCTGGTTTGATCGTTGGATTTGCCAGTCAGTTGCAGGATTGTAGATGAGCCGTGACATGGCCAAGACGCTGTCCTACCAGGCCCGCATAACGGTGGATATGTTTGCCGGTACGACTCGAGGAGACATGGTAGTAGTCGACATGGGCGAGGATGGCTGACATGGTCATCAACAATGACTCGCTATTCGCTATAGACGAGCGCGTGGCGTCGTTGTTGCACGGGATGCTAGTCCCCGTGTCTGCCCGTATTGGGCCAAAATTGCTGAGTTGCCTATCGAGGTGGGCTACTGTCTGCCACAAACGAACAATGGCGTATCGGGCCGGCATTTCTCGATGGTCAGGTGTCGCGGGGTAAGAAGTGTTGTAATTGCCGGGTAGCCTGTACGACAGCAGGGTTCAAAGACCTGCAGAAGTGGTGGATGTGTGGAGGAGTGTGGGGAGGAGGAACGCAGCGGAGTCACGAATCGCTGGCGGCCCTCAACCCCAGTTTCGGAGAGAGGCCTCGAGTCCGAAGGGCGGCTTCGTTCTCCAAATTCCCCAACATCTGCGAGGTCCAAGGGACTGATTGGCACGGCTGTCAGAAAACCTGGAAATCAAAGGCGTCAGGTCTGACTTTGGAGAGGAGACAGGGGACGGGTGCGCGCCTAGCCGCCCATAAGCTTAAACACGAAGCGCAAGGTACCTAGGGTTGGTTCGGAGGCGAGAGAAACCCTACAGCGAGTTCTCTCTCTGTATGTATGGTCGGGTCGGCCTGTATCGAAGGGCCTCGGTTTTCGGTACTGCTGTCTATGGCTGCAAAGCGGCGGTGAGCTATGAGCAAAGCTTGGCCCTTCTCCCTTGAGCGACTGAGATATGACAGACAGCCTAGGTGCGGATACTGTCGAGAAACCACGCACGGGCAGAGTGAGCGCACAGGCAGGCGGGCGAGCTGTGCCCATCAACGCCGCGATGGTGGGTTGGCAGGTTGGGTACACAACCATAAATCGGGACGCCATCCACGGGGGTTTGAGAGTTCCAGGGCGACTCCTCTTCGGACCTAGGATACCGAGATCGCCTGCAAACAGAGAAATGGTCAAGCTTTCCCCTCTATCCCCTTTCCCTTCTGAGCTAGTGCTTGTAGGACATATATTAACTGGCAACTAAGAAGTTGGCTTTGAATCGGCACAACAACGCTACGCCGCCCAGATCTGTCTGGAAGGGTTGGGACAACGAGATAGGGCTATCTGGGACGGTTCCGGCGGTCCGGCTGTCTCTCCAAGCCGAAAGACCAAGCGCCTATGCAGTTCGATGCCTGCCTGATAACTGAGGATGATATAGATCCTCGGCTGGTGAGCCGATGCGAGGATCTTCAAGACGCCCCGAAAGAACATGGGAGAGTTAGAGGTTGCTGAGAGTGGTAGGTGACATCAGCTGGATTTGTACGGATAGCCCAGAATCGCTTTTTTGTGTGATATGGACAAGGAAACCGTCATATTGACCATGGCTTCAGTCTCCTCTAGTCCGGATTGCGGCAGTTGCAGACGTAGACTGGTCGGCCGATGCTTGGCGGTACAAGTGTTTTCTTCTGTCACATTGCAACGCCCCTCCGCTCTTGCCCCCGTGCGTGCCGGTCTAGATGCTGTCAAGGCCGTGTCAGAACTTCGGACTTGCGCAGACGCTGCCCAGCAACTTTGACGAGGATGCAGCCGGGCCTAGAAATTATATGCGGGGTTCTCTTTCTCGGATTGGATGGCTGACACTGGAGCCGAGACCCGCGGTTTCGAATGTGCCAGCGTTTTGCGGCTCGCAAAGCCAGCTGCAAGCGTGAAGAGGGCCGCTGTGCTAGCGAGACCACGACCTCTGGGATCGCGTGGCATATGAAATGCAACAACGGCAGAGCGGTGGGGGTGTACCCATATTTGATGGGCAAGCGGCCGAGGGTTGTTCGAATGAGGCAAGGGATCTCCGAAGCCCGTATCATTCGGTAGCCAGAATCTTCATACCGGTAGGGGCAGTCCCGCCCGATCCCTTCGCATAGCTGAACACATTAGTCTGAATATCGGGAGCCTACGTCCACGGTGCCGTACCAGTAACCCCTGCGATCGAGGGTAATTATCGCGCTAGCCTTTCCTCATTTTGCACTGTCGGACGACGTGCAGGAAGAGACGAAGCAGGGCCAAAGCCTTTTTCTCTAGAACACACCTTAACCGAAGTCCGATAACAGTCGGCGATATCTTCTCAGACACCTAAGCTACTATAATAGCAGTAGTGCCTTCCCATAGTTGTTGATTTCTTTCTTAAAATTCGGTCAGCCCTGACCCGTGCGTGGATTTCTCACGCGGAACCCATCTCCCTCCAACCCCTCATGCGTCCTTGCAGTCAGAGCTAGAAGTATGAACATTGGCCCCCAAATCTGGAGAGCATGGCCGTCATTGTTTCGCCTGGTTGCATTAGCGTAAGAGCCCGGCGCATGGCATGAGTGGCTGGCCGGCGTCGTGGTGGCATGCAGGCAGTCGGGTTGGGACCTGAAGCGAAGCGGCATGAGCAGAGTGTATCCGGCTACTCCCATAAGGGGCCAACGAACACATGCCGATATTTTCTGGCTGCCGCCATGCTCCGACCAATGTCGGGGCGCTCGACTTGCCAGTACCAATGCAAGTTTGGTCGCTGCTGGGCTCTGAAGTGCATGGAATGCATGAAAGGCAAAGGTCTTTTGGACGTCAGGTGAACAACTGCGGGGCGTCTTATTTCTTTCGTCCGCCGCGTCTTGCGAGTAGCGAGTTCCAATACGTGAGTGACAACATGGCTGCCTGGCGTCTATGACGAAGAGCTGGGGCAGCCAATTTACCCGGGAGCAGCTGTAACGGTTTTACGCTGGTAACAAGGTTGATGCCGCAACACAGCCGGCGCATATGGCTTGGGTAGATAATGGAGGCAAGGAAGAACAAGAGGGCCTTGACTTTGCCGCGTGATAGTCGACGTGGCGGATGTAATGAGTGCCTGTTCTAGTTCAGGAACGCCGTGGACCTGGACGTTTGGTGCTGGCTAGCCGTCTTGAACTTGATTAGCAGGTGCTCTGATTCGAGCGGCAAGTGGCAGGTGGCGTTGACGTTGACGTCGAGAAAGGCTTCACGAGAAATTCGGGTTTCGACATCTCATCTCTCCTCGCAGGGATCCTTGGTCCGCTGGAGCGGTCTGAGGAGGAGCTTGAGTTGTTCCCCCGGTACATTGTAGGTACTTGACCACTTCCCTCCCCAGTCGAATGAACCCCACCCCCAAGCGTGAGTTGAGACGATCTTGGCATTGGGCGTGACATATCGCGACAGCAGGGAGACTAAAGCAGAAAGTTTCTCCGCAACGATCGACACGTTTCCGACTCCCCTTCAGCCGAATGTCCGGGGTGTGTGTGGTACTGTGTACCGTAGGTATGATCTCCCCCAACCCTCGGTTCCCCCCCTTTACTTTTCTTTTTTTTTTCCCTTTCTTCTTTGGACAGAGTTTGTAATGTGTTGGCGATACGTCTTTGCTCTTTTCTTCTTCTTGTGTCTGGTGTGTGCATATGCCTGTACCCGTGCTTTGCCGCCCTCCAAGGTATTTCTGGAACCGAGCCGTCCCCCCGTGCTCCTGAATGCTGGCAAACCAGGATCGACGTCGAGCATTCACCATATCTGGCCGCCATGTGGTGCGGTCCCTTACTGCAGATGGCTGTGATGTATGAGCAGAGCGGGCTTGCTGCCTGAGAACCGAAGAGGCAAGGAGAGAAGGACCTAGATCTGAACTTGAACCTGGACCACGGATGAATGGATGGTTAGTACGGATACACGTGTAGAGAGAGACCCATTGGTTCAGGGGTGGAGGAAGAGTAGTCACCCAAAATGTCGCCATGACTCGGCTGGATTGGGTTGGATTGAAGACGGATGGGATTCCTCTTTCATGCGCAGTGGGCTGGGTCATTGCCTTAGAGGCCACAGTTCCCAGTCGAGTACCACAATGTGAGACAGTCAGAACCGAGTTTTGAGGGAGGGGGGGGATAGAGCAGGGCACAGTTGGAGACTCTCATCTTGGCGCGAAGCTGGAAGCACTTTCTGTAACGTTGTTCTCGTTGAATTTCGACGGTAGGGAGGAGGGAAGAGTGACGCTCACGTTCACGGCCCCGCCTGGATGCGCAGAGCAGAGCAGAGCAGGCACGGCACGGCAGGGTACCAGCCGTTATCGAGGAAAGCGGGTCCAGACAACCCGATCGAGGAGGAGCTACCCACGGCCCCGGCAGGATCACCCAGCCAAGTCTGGGTCGATCCCGAGATGTCCTTCCTATTGTGCAATTCCTGATAGCGCACGCCGCCCGCTACGGCGATGGAAGAACGGATATGACGTTAATCAGCAATGACTACCTACACATATTAGCGCCCCGACCAGAAGAAACAAGGGTACGTTGGAGGAGGGAGGGTAAGCAGGAGAGGAAGCCCCCACGGTTGAGAGCAGCAGCAACATACCATTTCATCCGCAGCGGCCGCCTTCCGCAAGCCGTAACTAGAGCCAGACATTGGATATCGAGGGTAACGGTCCTGAATAAATCCAATAAAGGTCGGGTCAGAGTGCGGACGTGCGTTCGGGTGCCGCCCGTGCAGCTAGCTGTACAGCAGCACTATCCTGACTGCACTTACACGTGCCGAGCCATGTTGTCTGTCACCTGGATCATCGATGTATGGGTGCACACTTCGCAGGATCCCCCTTGTATCGTTACAAAGTCAACCTTAGCCCGCCCACCGATCCCTGGAGCCTGCCTTGGCTTGACCGAAGCAACCCGGTCAAGGATTCTGTTGTATCCCATCTTTCCCGCTCCCCTCTTCAGTGACCCATTCCCAACTGGCTCCGTTTCCCATCATGCACTAGTTAGGTAGGTGCAGAGTAGCGATGTATGTGTTTGGCGGCTACAAGGTGCCTGATACAAATGTTCGTATGCGACCAACACAAAAGAGGCAATCTTTACGAATGGGCAACAGGCATAACCCGAGAACAGGCCATGCTCGTCATTCGCTGCCGGTGCTTGATGGGCTTTTCATCCGCGGCAGGCAGACAGACTCGGTGCTGGAGGTTGCCAAGCGGGAGCTATCTTTCTGGGTAGGTAGACAGAACGAGACGAACAGCAACAGGTCTTCTAGTCCCTGGGTCAGCATATCGAGTGCTGGTACCAGACGCCAACAGCAGAGTTTACACGTGTAAGCCCGGGTTTGTAGGAAGCCCGTGGTTACTAGAGACGTCGTGTTGCAGGCTGCACCGACGAAACCCCTACGAAGTGTACTGAAGGGCCGATTTGATAACCCGATCTTGGAACCCGGCCATTGCCGGCTTGACCAACGGGGTCTGGTACCCAATTGTGAGGGCTTGTGATGGCGGAACTCATCCGTGCCGTGCCCGGTCTCCCCTTTTCTGTTCTGCCGACGTCAGTGTTGAATATCCTTTTCTTGTTTACGAGCAAGATCGTCGCCCCTGCGAGTGCTCCGTACAGGGCGGGCGCTTTAGCCTGGAGCATCGTCTTGAACGACCAGGAGCAGGGCGAGGGAAGCCGGACGGTGACGGCATTGCCGGGGATCCTGGAGTTGCAAGAGAGCAGAGCCCGATGAAGCTCGCCCATGTCGCTAATCTGCCGGAACATGGACAAGAGCGCACAGAACGGCACAGCATTGCATGGCACATTGGCGGTAGAATGCTCAATTTCGTCCCAACGTTGTTCGCCTGACGAGACTAGTGAGCGAGCGATCCAAACAGCCTCCGTCTCAGCTTGCTGGAGAACGGCCGGTTCTGACTTGCACTGACGGTTTCTTTTTCCCTCTCGGCTCGGCTAGCCTGTCGTTTGTCGTTGACGGGGATGTCGTACGGTAATTAAACGTCTGTCAGATAGTGTTCCGGGGTAGGTGCATGCATACCATGTATGTAAGGTAAGCTACCTTATGTACGTATGCAGTTTGGACAAGTACCGGCTTCGACAGATGCCGCTTGGGGTCGCTGAGACACCAGCGGCCATCAACTGGGCTCCTCATGGCCTTGCACATTGCATGGGTGGTGGTACAAGGCGCGCTCCTCGGGTTCCATTCAGAGGGTGTCAAGTACACCGTCGACGGCGGTCAACGAATCGCATGGTTTTTCATTTCCGCCTTGATTCGGGTTCTGCGGAATCGAGCGGGCGAACCCCGAGTACGAATACCGCAACGTTCATGACAAGGCCGATGAGTAGATTAAAGATGGGAAAACGAAGCTTGGGCTGGAGAACATGGCGTGGCGTCACCCGGTACGTCGTGTCGTGGCGTGTGGCGTGGCGTGGCGTGGCACGGAAGGTTGAGGCCGTGGGTAACGCATACAGATTGTAAAGTGTCTGATTGGCTCGAGTCTGTATACATAGTAGGTAGGTGCCTATGTATTCTGTTCATAGTCGCAGGGAAGCGTAATGCTCGTGCTTGTCCTACCTAGGTAGGTAGGTAGTAGGTAGTAGGTAGGTAGTGTCGGTACCCGCAAGAGGTCGGTATGTTGTCCTCTATCCCATGTCACTGGAACTGGGCCAACGGATCTTTCTCGGATGGGTTTTTGTCTGGAACCTACCTTATCAAGCTGGCAGCCGCCAGCACGCCTGCGAATCAACCAATGCCCGTCTTGCATCTCAAGCGCCCTGGATGGCGGGCAGGTGGGCACGCAAGGCACACATGGCGCGTCAAAAACACAAAACGCACCACACGATGAAAGGTACCTCTGACAGGTACGTACCCATACGTACGCTTCGGCGGACTGTCGCCCTGTCTGTCGTATCTTTCCTTTTCATCATCCATATGGCAATTTGCCATGTCCCTAACACCATCAATACCCTGGTTACCAGTATTTCTCTCATGTTATTTGATTGTGCTCCCCCCCAGTCCACCATCATCATTACACAGTCACGCTCACAGTGTCCGCTCGCCGCATCGCCATGCCGGAGATGGAACTCGTCCCGGCCCTGAGGAGATTTTCATTTCGCGCATTTCAGCTCCACACATTCCCTCCGATAAGTGCCGCTGGCGAGAGGCCGCAGGGGAGCAGAAATTCCTCCCCCCCAGCAGCAGCAGCACCGGCACCAGTACCAGCATCAGCATCGAAGTCCGACAATGCCGGGTGCATTCTCGCTACATCCTTTTTCCTTTTCTTCGTAAGCGAAGTATCCTGAGTAGCAATGTATCCATTGCAGCCTGGCTCCAGCTTCGTCAGTTCTCGGAACCAAGCTTACCTTCAACCACACGACCAAAGCAGATGATATCTCATGTCCTCAGGCACTGCCCTACATTTGACCTCTACCCTGCCGTCTGAAATGGCCTGCTGCTTGCTGCTGGTCTGGCCCGTTTCGGATAAGCGACCTGTCCATTTTGCATCCCTTCTCATCACACAGAGCGCGCGGGATGCAGTCAGTGGCGGCGCGCTGCAGCGATGGAAAGTATTGCGCCTGTTCATACCGTAGCTCGCCGCTCATTTCTTCAGGACCCCACATGTGCCTCCCTCCCTCCCTCCAACCTGGATCCCGGTTGCCTGCTTCGCCTCAATGCTCTCGCGTACACGACTCTGCATCTCAGTTCGCGTGAGTCGAGAAGAAATGACACCACGCCACAAAGCAGGTACATCACAGTGGTTAGCCACGCGACTCTGCCTGCAGCAGCTATCCCTCCCGTCTCGAAGAGGGAGGGAGGTCGTCGCCTCGCAACAGCTTGTTGGCCCGCTGGATCCAGTGCTGACGCACCATCTCGGATACCCGCAGCTTGGTCCTGGACGGTTCCTTTCTTTTCCCACCTTCTTCTTCCCTCTTGTCCTATGAGCTTGTTTTATGTACACTACAGAAAGAAGGTTGAATGTACGGATACCGGCGGACCACATTAGCCCTGTCCTTGTCCTTGTCAGGCTCTGCTTTTACCTTTGCCGCGAGTCGGTCGGTCTCTTGCATTTTTATATTGCTCGGCATATTATTCTTGGGGTTTTGGCCCCTTCTCCTCGCCCCATTACCACTGCTGGTCTAATGACAACGGCCAAGTTCCCCCCCTGTTCCCTCCGTTACCGACCTCTTTCTGTATTCCTTTCGTGGGAGTCGGCATCGGGCCAGGTCAGCCGGGTCTCGTTAGGATCGACCAACGACGTGCCATCCCGTCGTCTTAGCGGGCTTCGTCGGGCAGGCCTGCCAAATGGCTGAGCATCGCATATGGGACAAGTGGTACGTCTACTGGGGCACAACGTATCTCACGTATCCGTATATACCTACCTACCTACCTACCTAGGTATCTAGCACTAGGTACGTAACATCTCACACATAACACTGCACTGCCATATCTAGGTAGCTATGTATTTGTAGTTTAGATTGCTCCGTACAAGAAGAATGAATGGGGGGAGGGATAAGGGCTGGTTGGTGTCAACCCCAATACCCATCACCCATCATCCCCGCCCACCAGCAAAAGCCCCCGGCTCCTCAGTCGTATCGAGACTTTAGACCGGAAAGAACAAGACAAGGCTCTGAACTTACCCCCCCCCCCCCCCCCCCCCCGCACCCCCATCTTTCACGCTACCGAAGCAGCAACCCTGCCCCATCTTTCCCCAACATCGTACCCACCTGCTCTCCCGAGTCCTTCCCAGGCTGCTCACACCTTCCTCGGTCCTTTTGGAAGGGGGATCCCTTCTCCTCATTCTCTCTTTCTCTCTCTCATCCTCCGCTCCTCCTCTCTTCTCTCACCTTGGTACCTTGATGACGGATGCTTCCTCAGCTGTTTAGCCTACCGGCTACCCGCCTTCACAACTTGCTCCTCGGTACTCTGTACTTGTCCAAGCATTCCACACACACACACACACACACACACACAGTCGTCCCATCCCATTCCAAGGCAATCCAGGCCCGACTACCACACATCCTCCAACTCTTCTCGACTCGACATGCTGGTGTGCACTACTACCACCCCCTGCTACCCTTCATCATCGTCTTCTTCTTCTCCTTCTTTCCTTCTTCTCCTTCTTCCTTTCCGGGGCCTTTGGTGCTACGTTTGCTTCTTGTCCGCCTCGCAGTCCTTGTCAATTTCTGACCCCTCCCCCTCTCCCCCCTCGCCCCCCTGACCTTGCAACAGCTCCCTTCTGGTTTACCCCCCTGCCAATGCTTGTGCTTGATGCATCCGAACTGCTTACTTCTCAGGGCAGGGCGACGGGGGATGAACAGACCCTAGTCGGGTGCACTAGCCACCTCCACAAGTTTGTCTACCTGCTTCGAGAGACAGACAGTACTGCTGGGGGTGAGGGGGCAGTCATCAATTCACCTTCTAGGCCTGGCAGCCTCTTTACCTTTCCGTGCTTCATAACTTCGCCTGTCTCCCCGATGCCGACTCGCTAGCTCGGCCTCTTTTCCTGGTTTCTGTGCTCGTGCACTTCTCCACGAACTCTGCCAGTCCTCATTCTTGGTCTACACTGACCAGAAGACGCACCACGCTCAACTGAAACTGCCTCGACATGTCGTGAAGGGCCCATCTGTCTGCGAAAGACCCTACGCTAGCTACCTAAACATACCGAAAACAACAGCGTTGATTGCCACGTCTCGCGTCTGGTCCCGTCAACACTTCACCATCTGCCCGTCCAATAGCACCTCAAAACGCTGGATAATGTCGACATCTGTCTACGAACATATGAACGGAATACTGCCCCCCGGCCTTTACCCTGTGACGATGTCACGTCCACAGGTCGGTATCGAGCGCCTACCAACCCGCCGGCTAAGCAACGAACCTCGGGAGTCCATGAACTGCAAGTCATGCCGCAAGCGCAAGGTGAGACAGCATGAGTACTTCTCCTGATACTCAGTCCAACCGTGGTTTCCCCGCCACGCATAAATCAACGTCTAACTCATATCAAACATCAGATCAAATGCAATCGACTACGCCCATCCTGCGAGGCCTGTCAGGTATTTCAGTGCCCTTGCGTATATGGTGAGCAGACTGCCTTTCTACCTATGATGATGCAGCCATGGCGTCAACGGCAGGTGACGGTGACTAACATCTTTCGCTTTTGCCTCCTTTCAGACGCTGTTCCCAAGAAGCGTGGGCCGAAGACGGACGTGCTAGAAGCGCTCTTGAAGAGAGTCGATGGTCTGGAAGCCAAGTTGAAGGAGAAGAATGCAGGGGAAAAGACCCCGACCACTCCCATCACTGCGGGTCTCAAAGACGAAGACGCTTCGCGATCAGAAGACAGCCCGGAGAACGACCCTAATCCCAACCCCAAACGCCTGGCACTGGACACCAAAATAGACGCCGATGAATCAGCCGTTTATTCGCCTGCCCCAGCAAGGTAGGTCACGATGCTAAAAGAGCTTGCCATCGTGAAACTGACTTTTACCAGTGAACCCTCGCCGCCCAGCGTCCAGCCCGATGCATTATTGGACACATACTTCACAAGATTCCACTCCAAGCCATATCACATCTTGGACGAATCTTCCGTTCGGCAACGCCTTCAGTTAAACCAACTGCCAAACTATTTAGTTCACGGCATATACGCTGTTGCTGCGAGGTAACAACCATGAATCGATGGCCGGAAAGAGCTTGCTGACCTGCCGCGTAGATACACGCCTCATCCAAGTGGATACCAATCAGCTGTTCACCTGAGCGAAGAGTTTGCTTCACGCTCCAGGACCGAGATTGATACAGATGAGCCTTCAGTGGACGCCCTGCAAGCACTGCTTCTGCTCGTCATTGCCTTCACTGCTGCAGGCAAAGGCAAAAAGGCGTATATGTTGATGAGTGAGTGATTGAATCATCGTACCGGAGAGTCAGCTAACATACAAAAAAGCGAATGCAGTGGGCATGGCAATGGCTCTTGAGACTCACCGTGAGCTGGACAACAACGCCCGGGTCACTCCCGTCGAGCGAGAAATGAGGCGGAGACTATTCTGGACGTGTTATCTGCTTGACCGATTTCTGGCGTGCGGTTCGAAGCGCCCCTCTCTCATTGGCGACAAGACCATCCTCCTCCGGTTGCCATGTTGGTCGCCCAATCCTTCCGTGCCCCCGATGGACGGAGAGTTCTTCCAACCCGGATCCAACTTGCAGTTTCTCCAGGGCAGCGGGAAGAAGTCTCAAGGAAGCACTGGAATGCTCATCGACATCAGCCGTATCCTTGGTATCACAAACCGTTACCTGGCGGCAGGAGGTGTGAAGGGCGACTCCCACTTTCCGTGGCACTCGCTGTCGAACCTGTCCAAAATTCGCCAAGACTTGGATATTTGGGCATCCGGCACCGAAGATGTCTTCTCGAGCCTCGACACGCTCTTTGGCCAACCCGACTCAACGATTCTGGTGCTGAGCAAGCTTATATACCACCTCATTCACTGCCTTATTTACCGACCTTTTCTGCCTATCGACCTCGCCGAGCTTGCGGGAAACGGACAACATCAATCTTGGCAGATTGAAGCGACGAACATGTGTTTCTTGCACGCCAACGCCATCTCCGAACTGGTGGAACTTGGAAAGCAGACTGGAACGATCGAATGGCCGGCGTTCGTAGGATATTGCATCTGCACCGCCGGCACAGTTCATATCCACGGCGCCCACTACAACAAGAACGGGGCTGGCGATTCGACTGTTTTCGGTATGTCGGCGGACTTTTTGTCTCGGGAGATGCAACAGTTGAGCGAGCTGCGATACGCCTGGGCTAGCGTCCAGCATCAGAGAGAGACACTTCAGGGCATCTATAACGCTCATGCAGAGCTGGTCAAGAGCCTCGGGAACAACCCTATGCGGCACTCTCCAGCGTTCCACCTTGAGGACTTTTTTGACCGGTACTCCAACATTGGTGGGCCGGGCGGACAGACCTTCAACTTCGACGCGGCGAACCTGAGCCTTTCTGATGTGGTCGTCGACTTCACTACAGATACGTACACAGGTCATGACCTCTACGCGCCTCGCGCAAACAGTATGCACGAACACGAGCGGCCCAGTTTGAAGCGAAAGAACACGGCTCCGTCCGGCCGGAAGCGCCCAGATGGCAAAGTCCTCTCGCCGCTCAGCATCACCCGCATGGCATCTCCCCACGGCCTACCAACGCCGTCTCACGCTCGCCATTCGTTTTCACATCACACACCAACAATGGCCGCCCACCCCTCCCCGGGGCTGCTTGCATCACCCGCCTCTCTGCCTCCACACCCCGAGGCAATGGAGCACCATTCAATGCCTGTAGCTCACGGCCGCTACGATGAAGTAGCGGCCAATAATGCGGCTGTTGCAGCAGCTGCGGCAGCTGGGTTCTCGCTTGGGCATCAGCCTCACCATCAAAGCAACATGCCTGCACACCCCTCATCCTCTTTCTCTCCTCAATTCAGCTTCGCTACTCCTGGCCAAAGCGGGAGCAACGAGGGAAGCGGCACTTACGATCCTATGTTTGGCAGCCTGCCCACGAACGCGTTCAGTAGTCCAGCGGCCTGGCATGGCGAAGAGGGAGGAAACAAAGCGGCGGGGGTTGCCGCGCCTAGTCCAGGGACCAAAAGCAACAATGGCAGTACGGGTACTGGTCCGGGCGAAGAAAAGGACCCCTTCCTAAGTCTACTAGAGCATCTTGCGGAAAACGAGCATCAGATCACACGAGGCCCCGGCAGTGAGCTCGACTTCTTCTTTAGCGGCACCGGAGCGACACAGTGAAGGACAGCAACTCGATGCAGTCAATCTCTTATCGGCCTCCTCTTCTCGATCCGAGGCCGCGATCATTTTTTGGCAGCATGACACCTCTTTGTTTGTATGCGATTCTTTTTTAAATCCTACTCGGAGGGCCCCCGGGAACAGCGGTCAACGTATGTATAGAGAACGATGGGGAACCCCCATCAGGATGGGTACAGCACTTCTGGAAGGTGACGCTTGATGATGCAACGATCTAGCATGCGCGGGAGTTTTTGGGAGATGGTTGCTTTCCGAGATGATGTGTAAGATGAGCTAGCATATTGGATTCGTAGCTTTCAATTATGGGCTTTCTTGGGAAGGGGCCAGGAGAAGATTACGGTCTGGAAAAAAAGAAAAGGAGGAAGGGAGCTAGTTCTACCATTCATGATCACCAGGCGACGGCCCGTGATGTGAGCATTTCATCTCACCCGCCCTGATATCGCCCGCTTGAGGGTATTTGAGCTTATTCCATGAGTTCCTGGGCTCGGGTAAACGCTTAGAAGAGCCTGTCTCGAGCAATTAAACAAGAAAGAAAAAGCCCACGAAGACATCTTTAACTACGCTACGTGACTGTGTTCATCAAGATGGCTCGAGAGTGAGAGCCCAGCTAGTTCAACAGCGCGTCGGGCTGAGCCGACCGGAATTCCGAGGAACGTTGTCCCTCCGGTTCCAGCGCGTCCGGCACTGCCCCGTTTCTCTCGTCTGCCGGCCGAGGCCTCTCTCTGTACCGAAGGAACCTTGTCCAGCGCCAGATCCGGGGATGACCAGTTTTGTTCAGAGATACTACTTGACGCAGGAAGAGAGGCGATATGGCACGCAACCTTTTCGTCTTTTCTTTTCTTTTTTCTTTTTTCTTTTTGTGAGGCGGGATGGCGGATGCCTCGGGGAGGTCAGCGTCAATGACATGGATACAGACACACACACACACATACACAGAAAAACAGACAGCTTTTTTTCTTTCTTTTTTTTCTTTTTCTTCTCTTTGACTCCTTCTCATAGAGTAGAGCGGCGGCGTAAGGACGGTGCTGGCGGCTCCGGGGTCACATGGGCTAACGGTGGAAGGGGGGGGGGGGGGGCGTATTGTAAAGTAGGGTTGCAAAGTAGGGTTGTAACCGTTTTTGGGGAACGGGAGAGAAGTTCGGGCCTCGCGGGTGCCCGGGCCGTCGCATCTCAGGGCCAACCCCTCGCAGGTCCTTTCGGTCAGTGTGAAGGGTGGATGGCGGAGTAGGGTGGGAGTGTAAGACGGTGTGTCTCCACGGTCCCAATGGTTCGAGTGATGAGGCGGGACTCGGCGTGCGTGTATGTGTGTGAGAGAGTGAGAGAGAGCCTTCCATGACGAGTTTCTTGTTCATCCAGAGGTGCAAGGGTGGTCACACTTGAAATGATGATCGGCAGGTGGAAGGTTCTATCAGATGGATGGGCAGGTGAGAGAGAGAAGGGCGGTGATGCGTAAGGGGGAGGAGCTTGGTGTGGTTGGATTTCCGTGTGCCGAGCAACAACCGTGGACTTTGCGGAGGCTACGCGGACAAGTTTTGGGAAAGTTGAACATTCAAGTCAGGGGGGGGGGGGGGGGGGGGAAGCAGGAAGGGGGCCGGTGTTGGCCGAGTCGTCGGGGTCGAGCAGCGAGTCCGGGGAGAGAGTGTGCCGCATTGCGGGGTGCGGGGAGGTGGTTATATGGGTTTGGAAAGGTGCGATTGGAGAAACCAGACTTGAAGTCTTATGGCATGATGATTCAGGGTGGGATTGAGTGAGAACTTCTGCACTCAAGAGATGTATGGTTTGGAAGTTTTCAGGTGGGGGGGGGGGGGTTCTTTGCTTATATCCGCGCTGCTGACTTATTGTGCTCTGTCCAGCAACTCCAGACAGCGTAGACCGGGCTGCTCTACGTACGACTTTCTTCCACTACAAGGCATGGCCTCGGCTCGGCGGATCCCAGTCCGCCATCGCCGTTGTCAGGTACCTTCTTTTTGGCATTGCTGCGAGGCTCCTTCGAACACGCCTACTGCTCTTCTTTGTTCGATGCGTCGAGCCCCCAAACCCTCTTCGTTACGTCCCTTGAGATGCATTCGGGGCGGTAGTGTTGATTTTTAGATGGTTCGGCACTGCTTTTTTACTATAGTCATATAGAAACGAAGAAGGAAATGGCATGTTTCTTTTGCCCTCTCGACGTCTACTGTCGTCTAAGCCGGACAAATTCAAAACGAAAAGCTTCTTGGAAACCGAGTGAATATTTATCATGTATCTACAAATCTCTGACCTGTGCCCATTCCTTGGTCAAGACTCTCGGTTTGAGCAAGCCCTTGCACAGTCAACTCCGAAGCTGCTTCATGATGGCCTTCCCGTCCCCGTATGTGGGCAATTATCCTCGCGGCACTAGGTCCAAGGTGAATACTGCGCAAACGGGGAATAATTCGGAAGACGGTTCACTGGAGTCTCTCACAGTTAACAATGTGAGGGCACCGGGTCGGTCTAGGGACCAATCTGTTATGGTCGCACCTCACGCCGATGGGCGCCGGAGCGGGAGACATACAAGCCAGTCGGGATTCCACATCCTCTCTATGGGGCTCTTCTCGGCACCTTGATGCCGGGCAATTCCTGCAATTCCGGACGCCAATCTGCCGAGCAACTCGCCAAGCCAGCCTTGGCTAAGGCCACCACCGCCAATCCTGGGTTTTCGTCTTGGGACGAGCAAGGCCGCCCGCATCGGCGGTGATGGAAAACCTTGCCAACAGGCCCGGGGCCGTGCCACGGAATGTCGCCAGCCGCGGCATCCGATTCATGTTAACGACATCAATTCGTGCTCCTTCTTCTGCGCGGGAGGATCCGGTCCCACAACCAAGCGGTTGGGATCTCTTTTTGCGTTCTCAAAGAACTTGTTCGGACTTGAAGATGGCAATGCATCCCCAATCCTTGGATAGCCTTCCGAAACGGACGCCGCGGAATACCATGCTCAACTCACAACTGTGAGCGTAGACGTACAAGGCAGGCCTCTGAAATAACGAGACCAAGGGCAGTTGTCATGTCTTGCCAAAGCGACGGGGCAGAGCTAAGACTGGATCAATCGAAACCCAAAACTTTGCTCGCTTCATGTCTCCCGAACGTATCGTGGGGCTAGACGCGGCCACGGCCCGCGTTCGGCATCCACGGATGCTAGGAAACCCTGAATATGTGGCACATTTACTGGCTCGGTGCTGTTCGCCAAGTTACCAACATCGTCCGAACCATACGAGGAGGGTAGACGGCGCGGATACCCGAGTGGAGTTGGTTGAAGAGTTACTAGGATAATGATGTCCTTCGTCGCACTATTGAAACCGAATGGAATGTCGAAAATGACCACTGCTTGCAAGAGGATTCAACCGGATCAATAAGACTGACCCCCCAGCTTTTACGACGAAAGAGTGCACTCCGTTGAGGAAATAGCCGGGTCGTGAGGATCCCGCTCTGCCGTTTATGCTTAATCATAGCAAGCCATTCGGTCAGGATTGGTCCGGCCCTTGAGACATGATCGGAGCCGCGTGCGGCGAAGCTGGATCTTGAAACGGAAGGTCTGCGACGCCCGACTGGGCAGACCAGATGAGGCGGCTGCGGCTTTTCAGGTTGCAGACATCCGTCATCACGTGGTCACACGGGTGCTCGAGCACAACAGCCATTCATGGGGCCCACTGTCGATGAATTAAGCTTAGGTCTCGAGCCGTACGCAATGACTCGCGGCTGTTTCGTTTGACATGCAAATCAGTTTCCTTGCGTGGACTACCCTGGCAACTCATAAGTGGGTTTGAAATAAGGTAGCATGCGGTGGAAAGGCTATAAAAGACGCAAAATATATCTGGCAACGAGTCAATTGCCTTGCAGAAGCTTACCTTGGAAGCGGGGTAGTCATAAACGTAGCTGTGAGCTCGAATCACCAGATTCCCCTGGCATGACTCGATGTCGTAGAGACGGGCAGTGTCTATTGCAAGAAACTTGCTCTGATTAGACGAGAGCAGGTTATGACGACTGGAAACGACGTTTCGTTCGTTGTACTTGGGGATTTATACGAACAAAGGAAGACCGACATTTGAAGAAAACATAAAGAGCAAGAGTACTTGAGGCCGTTCTGGGAAGAGTCTGGATCACAAGCTGTAATATCTGATGCAAGGACTGCCCAAGTAGGATTGGGCGACTTGCAAGTTTCGAAAAGGCTCCGAGGTCGCGCAGCGCAACAACTGCGAGATGGAATAACTCTCCCAAGTGCCCAGCTACAGTTTTCTGGCCATGTTGAGAAATTTTGCTCGCAGTCATCTGACCTGACCAGCGGCAGCGGAGCGGACATTGACCATGAGGTCTTACTTTATCCAGCAACGACGCCAATTTCTTAGCATTGGAAGTACTTGGAAGTGGAGGAAAGTCGTACGAGGCTGGCTTCCGTGACGACCGAATCGTGGCTGCCGAAAATGCTTGGCTCAGGACGTCAACCTGATAAGTAGGTTGATCGCAGGGCTAAAGTGTCGGTAACCAGCAGGCGTCCAAACGGTCGGAAGGGTTCGCAAGAATCAGAAGATCGAGTAAACTCTGCAACTCGCACGTCAAGATTTTCAGCCTCATCGTCTTGAAATCCCTAAGGCTGTATACAGTTGGTGGAAACGGGTCAGTGGATTGGATCTATGTCGACCCAAAGGTACTCTGCGGTGGCGCAGCTGTTCCCCAAGGTCGCCGATAGTCTTCATACCGAATATAAACACCAGAGGTTGCCAACGGCATCCTCTGATCGATAGATTGGCCTCGGCGCGGTGGCATTGATATGGTTCGTAAGAAAGAAGGTTCTCTTGTGACGGTTCGGACGACGTCGCTTCTCCACGGTACAGATATGATTCCGACGAAGGTTGGTTTCGGAAGAATGCAATTTCCTGACTCTAGCAGGAGACTAGTCGTTGAGGTTGTTCACAGCTCCAGGTCGTACCTTCGTCTATGACGGCTGAGCCAGCGTGGCGTCTAGCTGGTATGAGGTTCGGTTCGAGTTACTATGGAGTATGTATGATACATTCGCCGTCCAGGTGGGGCCATTTATGATTTGTTCGCAATGATTCCGACCACCTATACCTACCTATCTGGTGTCTTTCTGGCATCTGCTGGATTTGGAGTGCCACGAGAAGCTTATCGCAAAGCCAAGCCTGCCCAAGGAATGCATCGGCGAGCCGGGAACGAACAGTAGAACGTGGCTGTGGAGAAGTTGGAAATGGGTGAAGGCCGTTGTGGCGTACGATTCCCATAGATGCAGCGCCGTCCCGCCGAGCAGAAAGCAGAGAGAGAGCCAGCCAGACAAGGGTACAAGAAGGATGACAGCAGTCAAGTGCTGGCATCCCAAGTGATGTGTGTGTGATTGATTGACGAGCGCTGGCGTTGCAGCCGATTGCCTTGGCGACGTGTAAAATAATGGGTATCCGGTGCCTCGATACATGGACGGATCGTTCGGGCTAGAGAGAGAAGGGTGTCGGGGGCGATGGAGGGGTATGACGATGGTAGGTAGGCAAGCGAAATACACAGTAAAGGCACCTAAGGTAGGTACGGTCGGTAAGTTCAGGGAGGGGTGGGTACGTTCACGTACAATGAGGGGGGTGGGTCTTTCCTGCCTGGCTGGCTAGAGTGTCGGTTCCTTCCTTCCATGCCCAACCAGCCAGTTGCACTGCAATTGAGATGCAATTGGTCCGTCTGCCTGCGGACAAGATAGGAAGACTATCCCCAATCTGCTTACCTATTGACTGGCATTGGCATTGACATTGATCTCACCGTCGATGCCACGAGAATCGCCGATGTGACACACCAAGCAGCGGCATTGTCAGCGGCTGTTCGCCTTTCCGGCTGGCAAGCTGGTTCCTTTTTCGCCTGCGGGTGCACTACCGGTACACCACCACTCCGTCCCCGTACGCTACTCTGCCCTCCGTCCGTCCGTATTCATGGGGTTAACCAGGCAATGGCAGATGACACAAGTGCAGTGGCTGGCAGTAAGTGCGAAGATAAACACCGCGTCGAGGCCCGCCGCACAAACCTCGGTCCTATTTGTCGCGTCATGGTGAGGGGGTCCCCATTCGAATCCCTCCCACCGCCTTCGAATCCATCCACCGCCTTCGAGTACCAGCCAAGCATTCTGCAAATACGGATACACCGTAGGTGCATGCATTGATCAGCTAGCTGGCTTCTTGGCACCGGGGCTCGGCCAAGAAGTTTTCTGCTCTCCAAATTGCAGCGAAGTGACGTCTCTCCACTTTATCGTCGTCCTCGTCGGGCGGTGGGAGCGCGCTTATCTATATTTATCGTATCGCACACATTTCGTCACCGCATCATCGAAGAAGGCGCGAAATATCAGCCGGAGAAAAGCGGGGAGGGGGGAGACCTGGATTGAGGCAGGCGTCGGGTGGCACTCGTGGCAAAGGCGTCAACTACACTAAGTTTTAGGGTTGGTGTTCCCAGTGATCCGGATCTTGCATTCGGGTACTCAAAAAGACGACACTTTGGGTTCGCTCCCTTAAAAGGGCACAAGCGAGCAGGGTTTTTCTTTTTTTCTTGATGTACGGAGTACTGTATCATGTATGTACGATGTACGGATACACCAGTATCCGTAGAGAGACAAAGCTATCCACACGAAATGCGGGTTCTTTTAACGACGACCCCTCCTCTCGTCCTGTGCCGAACCACATGCTGCCCAGTGCTCCTCTCCGGCTTTCCCTTGGATTCGGGGTACAGGTAGAATGCCAGAGCAATTTGGTCGGCGGCCAGTGGGTTAAGCCTATTTCGGAATATATTATGTCAGCGCCAGCAAAAACAATATTCCGACTTAACTAACCAATGACAAGGCCAGGATTTAGAAAGTTACATAAAGTTAAAAACTCCTCAGATTTAAGCGATTTAAAGTCAAGGCAAAAAAGAGGCAACAGCTATAATTAATTTAAAAATCTACTATATTATATAACCTATTTAATAAAAGAGTAATACCTTTATTATAATAGTAAGTTTATATATGTTGCTAGTACTCTTTAAAGGTTAGATATAAGGGCTTAATCTTAGGTAACGTAGACGTATGTTAGCGTTAAGCGATAGTGGATTTACAGCAAAAAGGGCGGTGGTTGTAGTGGCAGTGGAAGTGGCAGTGGTGGCAGTGCCTTCTAAATAGGGTTAGTCTCTGGCCGCCGACCAAATTGCTCTGGCATTCTACCTGTACCCTGGATTCGTGGACGCCCATGGAAGATGGAGAAGTACTTTTGCTGGTCTCGCGGTCTGACCCAGCGTCGTGCGTCTGGGTCACAAACGTCGCCCCTCCCCCCTCTGCTGTGTAGCAGGCGTATTGTCGAGCCTGGCCGGAAATGGACCAGAATCCGGGGTAGTCCCGTCTCAAACAAACTTTTGATTGGTTTACACAGCGCCGAGGATCGGCATTTCCCTATGTCATCGCCCACCGCCTACCGTCCATTGCTACGCCAGCGGTAAAAATGCCAAAAATCCGCTCCTGCGATGCGATGCCGCCGGAAGAGACCCGAATACAAACACCAGTACTTGTGCAAGAGGAACGGGGGGATGCTTTGCGCCATTTTGCTGTGCTCCAACGTATCGTCACTTTCCAGTCTTCGCACTGATGGAAGAAAGCAAGTCGGGTGGCTGGCAGGCAATACCTACTGGATCCACGCTCTGCTACACTCGTTGCGGCGTTCTTCTGTCATGACCTGCCGTCCCTACTACCTTCTGCTTGCCAGTGCATACACACACACACACACACACACACACCTACTGACACGCGCGTACATACCACCCACACAGACGACATAGTTTGCACGGTCGTTGTCACGTTCGTTCGTCCTGTCTGTCAGCCATCCCATACCTCCGTCTCTCTCAGTCATCCAGTAGTCTCCGCCGCGCGGTGGATTTCCGCAGTACCTATCACTATCTAGGTAGGTAATTGGGTAGGTTTGGTATGTGGCTTGTACGAATACAGACATGTACTTTGACGCTGGGGAACGGAGGGCCCACGGCTAATCTCTCTCTGCCACTCCCACGCGCTGAGCTAAGGGTGGGGCATCAAAAATCCTCATCGATTTGCATCATGGCCCACTCATATTTGTGCTCTCTCTCCGTTCATTCAAACCACTTCTACAGTACGTACCCGCGCAGGCATCGAATCCCCATACCTACACTAGGTACTCCGTACCTTAGTCTGCGACCTGGATCGGAAAACTCTGCAACGGCTGTGGGACAGACACGATACCAAAAGCGAAAGAAAGGCAAACATCACACTCTGTTCAATCATGGCCCGTACGTACCTACTTTGTAGTGTACTTTACCTATTAGGTAGGTATGTGGTGTACGGAGTACTTACGGCCCTGATCCATGGAACCCACACACCAACGCCTCACCATCTTACCTGGATGAGTATCTTGGCTGGCCAAGGTACCTCCTCACACGAAATACCTGGCTATGTACTCCGTTCAGTACGACTCCGCCAACACAACCAGCCCACCAACCCTTCTGCCAAGCCCAAAGACAAGCATCCACACCCCAAGGTCCGTCCATCCATCCAGCATTATTGCCTGTTGGCTTACCGAGCTGTTTGTCTCCGGTTCAAACTATCCTTCTCATATTTTCAACATTTCTATTCTTGTTCCATCTCTCGCACTCTCTCGCTCATTCTCGCCCTGGGTCGCTTGCCGCCGCCAATCTCCAAGTTTGCTGGGCAATCAACACCGCACCCGGCCGCTCAACTCGCTTGTATGACGCTGCATCATCCATCCTCTACCAATTGGGTTCCGAGTCTTGGTTAGACACCGACGCTGCTCGAATTGCCGGTCACGAGGACGAGGATATTCGCGCAAGCTTGCAGCCACCAACATTGGATGACTGCGGCGGCGACGACGACGACGACCAAGACACCGACGACAAAGACAACGACGAACACGCTCAAGCTTCCAACCTTCCTCCTACCCCGGATTCTGGCATTCCTCCCCGTGAGTTAGGTTGACCTGCCTGCACCCACCACCACCGAGGCCTACGAAGTATACAACGTCCCGATTCCCGCCAGACTGAACCTTTCGCCACTTCCTCCCCGAGCGAGCGCCCCCGACCTTCACTGCTGTCTGACGTGAACGAACCCGTACCCGGAGATTTCGAGATCGAGCGAAATTGCGCGCCCAAGACCAACACCCCGACTGCGTCCATGTGTCAGAGCTTCGAGTCATGGCATGCTTGTCGTCAGTCTTCAGTTAACCACCTTGCACCTCTCGCCAAACCCCCGTGGCGGTGAACGCCCCCCAATTTACACCTTCGGTCGTCGCCCTCTCGCCGAGCATGTTATCTGTCAATGCGACAGATGATAGTGTCCCGGATCGCGGCCCGGCAGTCTTTGCCGTGACCACCGCAACATTCGTCCTAGCGAGTGTCATGGTCGCCGCCCGTTTGTTTTGCAGGCGCTTCATTGTCAGAAATGTCAGTTGGGACGACAAGACCATGTTTTTTGCATGGCTGATTGCTTTTGGCTTGTCATTCACCATTTGTTTCGGCACCCGCAAGGGTCTGGGTCGCCACGATGAGGATATACCCCAGGGGCATTGGGATTCATTACGAGCGTGCGAATATGTCTTTTCCATACTATATGTGAGTGTCTATCTGCCCCATGTCGAGCTCCTGGCCTCGCCTACCTCGCCCGCCGCCGCCGCCGCTGCCGCCGCCCTGCTCACATTGTCGCAGAATCCCGCCCTCATGGCGACCAAAACCAGCATCTTGATCTTCTACCTGCGCCTTTCCAAGAACACGAAAAAAGTGCTCAGGTTTGCCTCATGGGTCACCCTCGGTATTGTCAACGTTGCCGGTGCTGTCCTCACACTCATCAACATCTTTCAGTGTCAACCCGTTCAGGCGGCTTGGGAAGTCTGGCGGGACACTTCGAGATGTATCCCACTTCTCACCGAATTCATCTGCTCCGCCCCCATCAACATTGTTACCGACCTGGCCATCCTGGCCCTACCGATCCCCGTTCTCACGGGCATGAGATTGCCGCCGAGGCAAAAGATCATTCTCGTACTCACCTTCACTCTTGGTATCTTCGTCACCATCGTCGATGTCGTCCGAATCTACTACCTTCAGCAGGCCGTGACATCCGTGCCTACCGGCGTCTCTACAGATCCGAACTCGCACTTTGGTGGAACGCCCGACTTCGCCTGGAACTCATCATTGTCCTTCATGTGGTCGGCTGTCGAGGTCAACGTAGGAATGGCTTGCGCTTGTATTCCGACACTCAAACCACTCATCATCAAGATCCTCCCCGCCATGATTATCGATCCAGATGGAACGCGCTCTAGCACCAACACCGAAAAGGATGCGCCAGAGAGCCCCAGAAATCGCAACGGCAGCGACGGCCTCGTTTCACCCACCTACCCAAATCACCGCGCTTCGGTCAATCTCCAGGAACCCGCCCCGGCGACGTTCCGTGCCAGTCGCGACCTGAGCGGGGTTTCAAATGTGCATGAGAACAGCATGACGGCGCTGGAGTTCCTCACGACACCAGACATGACCTTGGCCGAATTCGAGGCATCCGGGGCGAGCAGACTCGGAGGCGATCCGGCAAGAACGTCGATGGCGACGAGCAGGGAGAACACCATCTATTTCGGCTTCGTCAATATGAGGCGGCCGAAAAGCATGGTCAAGTGTGATGCTCAAGAGTCGTTCCGATATGGTCTTGTCGTCACTATCCTCTTCGTCATGTGGGGCATCTCTTACGGCCTTCTCAATACCCTTAACAACGTCATCTCCAGCGTGTCAGATATGACTGTTGCGCAGACCCTGGGTCTCACGACCGCCTACTTTGGAGGTGGCTACTTCTTCGGTCCCCTGTTGGTTGGTGAGTGGATCCTGAGGCGAGACGAACATCGTCGAAGACACCGAAAGAACAACAAGCGAGATGCGGAGAGCGTAGGAGGCTTCAAGGTCACCTTCATCGTCGGCCTTTGCTTCTACGGTATCGGGACCATCATCTTCTGGCCGTCTGCCGTCACCAAGTCGTGGGGTGGCTTCCTGCTCAGCAACTTTGTCGTCGGCTTCGGCCTTTCCGTGCTCGAGACGGGAGCCAATGCGTTCCTCATCCTGTGCGGTCCGCCAGAATATGGCGAGACGCGATTACTCCTCGCTCAGGGCGTCCAGGGCATCGGCGCAGTTTTGAGCGGCCTGATGGCCCAAAGGGTTTTCTTCACAAGAATCACAAACAAGGGCGGGTCCGACTCAACGACGCTCCTCAATGTTCAGTGGACGTATCTGGCCATAACATTGCTTTGTGTGGCCCTCGGCCTGTTTTTCTACTACATGCCCCTCCCGGAGCTGAACGACAACGAGCTACAGGAGTCGGCGGATCGACTTCCCGTCAACCCCCAGAAGCGCAGCATTGGTGGGCTGCAACTCCGCACATGGAGTTTGATACTGGCAGTCCTTGCGCAATGGACATACGTTGCTTGCCAGGAAAGCAACAACATCTTCTTCCGATCACTGCTCATCGCCGCCCTTCCCAACCAGGAAGACTCGGGCTCGGGTGCAACGAATGCCGACACGAACCCAGGGGAAAACAGCGACAAGCCGCCTGGCCTCGCGATAGGGGTCACAGACTTTCACCTGGTTGCCCAAAGCGTCTTCACCGTTTCACGATTCATGGTTGCCTATCTGACGTATATGTCGGTTGGCAAGCCGCGCATGCCGAAACCGAGGACCTGGCTGGGTATCAGCGTTGGCCTGTGTATTCTGTTCGGTCTCCTTACCGTTGTCTGGCGGCCTAAAGATCCCAACATGCTGATGATCCCTGTGATACTCTTCTACTTTGCCGAGGGCCCTGTCTGGCCTCTCATCTTTGCAATCGGCCTCCGCGGCCAAGGCCGGCGTACCAAGCGTGCGGCAGCCTTCATCACCATGGGTGGCTCCGGAGCGGCCTTCTTCCCTTACGTTATATATGCGATCATCAACGGGGGCGCCACGGTGCAGCTCTCGTTCGTCGTCATCGTCGCACTTTCCGTTCTCACAGCCTTCTATCCCATCTGGCTGATGTTCGTGCGCGACGCAAAGACGATGACGGACCCTGCGAACTCGTACATCTCTCCCGAAGAGCGTGTCACGGGCCAGGACGAGATTGACATGGCTCGGCAAGTAAGGCGACGGCGGAGATCACTTTTCGCGATCGGAGCCAAGGGCAAGCGAGGCAGCATCTTCAGCAAGATATCCAACATAGGCAAGGCCAAAGGCGAAAGCGTCACGCCGCCGACGGTCGAGCATTCAGAAGAGAGAAATGCCTCCAGTAAGGCGTCCGAGGGGAGCAACGACACCCATCGGACGCAGACACTATGAGCGGGCTAACCGTTCGAGAAAAGACGTGACACGAGGCCTGGTGAATCTTTTATCCTTAATAGCTATATACCCAATGATAACGACGTTCAATGAATAGATAAATAAGAAATTATAATATTCACACCAAGTATCCATTACATCGGCCTGTGATATCTCAAGCTGAATTTGTGTTGACAAGCCAGGCCTGCCGTCCTTACTTGTGTAACTGAGACGCAATCTTCTCAAACACCTCGACCCCCTCCCTTCCCAAAGCCGTGCCAACCCCTACGGCGTACGCGCCGACGCTCTTCATCCGCCTGAACCCGTCCGCGTCCGATACGCCGCCGACGCCGATGACCTTGATGTGCAACAGCTCAGGCTCCCGCGACAATAGATCCGTGATGGTCTTGACGTTCCCCAGCGCCAGCGGGTGCAGCGGCGCCCCGGCCATCCCGCCCAGGCCCGACCCGGGCAGCCGCGGGCTCCACTCCCCGTCCCTGGCGCCCTCGAGCAGCAGGCACGAGCCGAGCGTGTTCACGGCGGTGATGAAGCTGATCCTGCTCGGCACCTCGAGCATCGACGTGGGCGAAACGACAGTGGCGTCCTGGCGGAGCGCGCCGATGAGCTCCGCGAAGTGGGCGATGTGGGTGTACGGCGGCGTCTTCAGGCCGACGGGGATCTCCGGGTTTCGTGGCAGGGCGGCGAGGTAGGCCAGCAGCTGAGCGCGGTCCGAGGCCGGCGGCGAGGCGGCGGCGATGTTGGGGCACGAGAGGTTCACTTCCATGGCGAGTGGGTGAGGCGTGGTGCGGGAGAAGCTGGCGATGAGGCGGTAGCACTCGGCGACCTCGGCCGGGGAGCCGGTGACGGAGACGATGACGAGCTTGCGGTGGCCCTCGACCTCGCGGTCCGGCAGCCGGCCGACGAAGTCGAGGTAGGTCCCGAGCGGGTGCGGGGAGTAGCCCAGGTTGTTGAGGGAGGCGACGTCGCCCGCGCCGATGCCCGGCGGGGACCGCTGCGTCGAGGCGTTGGGCGCCCGGGAGGGCTCGGCGGTGGAGGGGTTGAAGAAGGCGTACTGGTTGGAGGCGTCGTCGTGCGCGAAGCCGCCGAGCATGGAGGTGCGGGTCGTGATGGCGCCGGTGTGGGGGGAGGCGTGCAGGCGGTCGAGGTCCTCAAAGGTGGTGCACCAGGGGTTGGCGGAGTTGAGGAGGGGCGGGGAGATTTCGAGCGCCGGAGGCGGAGGGGTGTCCATGATCTTGGTATACTGGGGCCCAGCCCAGGCTGATGATTTGTTTGTTCCTGAGTGAATTCGGGAGTGTGACGGAGGGCGGGTTGAGTGGGGGGAATGAGGGGATCGTGAGAGAGGTGGACGGGGAGTGAATGGGATGTCGTCGCGAGGGACTCGGGGCGGCGGAGGTAGAGGCGGGGGCGGCGGCTTTGATAAGATAAGATGCCGGACGAGGTCCGAGGACGGTGGGGGGCGGGGCGGCGGGGCGGGGGCCGCTTCGTCCGACCTTCGGCGCGCGGGAACCAGCGTTTCCTTCTATCATGCATGACTACGATCATTCTTATTGTCATAGTTTTTTGTTATTTGGATGCATACATACCGCTTTGGTCGGGCGGCATGTTCCAGACTAAAACTTGAAGACTACTATTCGACTACAGTAATGTGTTCTCGTGTTTCTGGACCAATATGGTATAAACTAGCAATCGTCTCTCAGAAGGCCCAGTATACTTCCTATCCTTATCCGCATGGATGCGAAACGGGCCCGTCCCGACTTCTCGGAAGGGCTGTAGGCCTGGCCCATGATGCTCTGGGAGGGCTCGAGCGAATCCACGTAGCTCAGCAAGCCCCTCGAAGACGCCCGCTGCGCCGAGAGGCACAGGCCTGGCGGGAGGGCCACGGCCCTTTCGACGCTGCTGAGATTGTGCTGGGCCACTTGTATCATCATTTTGATGTACAGGTCGCCCTTGATGGTCGGCAGGCCGCTGACGTGAGTGAGCCCCGGCAGGTCCTCGAAGAAGCCGAGGATGTCGTGCAGGCCGCCCAGGAACCGGTGGACGTGGAGAAAGATGGCGTCGTATATCTGCAGCAGCTGTATGTGGCCGGACAGGCACATGAGCACTACCGGCATGCTCGGGGGCGACAACGACGAGCCGTGGTCCTGTACCGGCGAGATGACTTGCCTGATTACGGCGGCCAGTTCCGCGGTGCTCTCCGGCGCCTGGAGGATGGGGTTGTCCTGAAAGTCTGCGACACTGGCGACGCACGAATCCGGGAGGGTCAGTGAGGGGATGCCTATAACCAAAGCGCCCCATGTGCGAGAGCTGATGGGCGATGCACTGGTTGAGGCGGACGAGGGCGTTGCTGCCGGGCCCGGGAGACGGCTGCTCCGGCAGCAGTCTGTTCGCGGTGTCGAGGGCGGCGCCGCCTGCGGGTGGAGAGCGAAGCAGAAAAGCAGGGTCCACGCAGGGACTCGGGTTGTGCGTGCCAGGCAGAGCGGAAAGCGACTTTGGATGAGGCTGGCTGGTCTCCGCCATTGCCGCCGCCATACAACTCAAGGAGATCTGCTTCAAGTTCCATGGGGAAAGCCCCCGTGTCGGAAACGCCAAAAAGGGCTGAGAGTGCGGTTGCGTCGTCGTCGTCGTTATCGTCGGGGAACCCGAGATCCAGGGCATCGACGACGGCATCGTCCGGAATCTCCGTGACGACGGGACCGTGGAAGCACTCGAAGCTGCCCTCGCTGTCGCGAGTCGGCGATGGTGCGACAGGTCCTTCGTGCGAGGGTCCAGTGAGAGCAGTTGTCCCGGGCTTCTCCGGTCCTCTCGGCATAGACGCTGCGGGAAGAGACGCCCGAGCCGCAGATCTGGGCGGCGCGGCAGAGATGAACACCGAATGGCGCGGCCTCCTGCGAGCCTCGCTTGGGCCGGCGCGACAACGGCCCAGCGGCCTCGGGGCTCCCGTCACGCAGGACGCGCCGGCTCGGGCGCAGCGGACGCAGGCTCCGCCGTCCTGACCTTGCAAGCGCAGTCACCGCAGCTTACGATCTCGGCATCGGTCGCATGCCGTCCGCGTAGCAAGCGCCCGCTGCTGGTTTTGCGGCATGGCTATGATGGTGGTCTGTCGGGAAGGGATCGGTTGGTTCAGCGATGCGCCGTCGTTTGTTAGTGGACAGGTCGACGGTGGCTTTCAGCCGCTTTCGTGTCAGCAGCCGAGAGGAAGTCTCAGAGGACGGGGTAGTCAATTGAACTTATACAATTATAGTACGTCCGCTGCAAGTTCAACACTAAATTCCATTATATTTTACTAAGCATGCTGCCTTGTGTAAATCGGGTATAATGATGCCCCATGCAATTACCTCAAAGCAAGATGGACTGGACAAGGACACTGATAGCGTTGAGAGTATGCGGCAAAGGGGCATTTCTTGCGAAAAGTCCATGTGTCCCCTATACGACCCAGCGATCTCTTAGAACACCCAGTCTGAGGACTTTACAAGAGCAGAAGACTTTCATCAGATTCCGGGGGAGCCAGAAAGTGCAATAAGTGAGAAGTCCAAAGAGCGCTGAGAGTTGAAGCTATAGTCTAGATAGTACATACCTCCAAATCTTTTGAGATTTATCCAGACCAACGGTATACAACCTCCTTGTTCCTGTGTGCTGAATGAAATAAAACTACGCCACATGTCTTTTACTCCACTACGTGATATGACCACACCCGACTGTTCGGCCTCGGGCCGTTTATCTAGATTGTGGTGCTGCGCAATGCTTCTCCCTCGCGGACCGAACCTGGCTGTTAATCATAGTGCCTGTGGTTGAGAATAGCTGCGGCTACTTCTCTTATCATGTAGGTTGTCTTATCTTAGACTTTGGATAGTATTGGTTTCTGCTTCTCTTCCATCCCGTAGCTGGTCTCTAGCTCGGTCCGTATCGGCGTCTCCTTTTTGAGGTTCACAAAAATAATCCGACACCGGCGAATGCAAGCGACACCAGCCAGGTTCAACGCAGGCTCAGGGCAAGGATGATTGTATCACGTACAGCGGGAGATAGCGTCTCGAGAAACGCAGAAGTGGCGTGGTCACACGCTTGGCCCTTGGACATGGCTGCTCGGGTCGTAACATCCTGGACGAGCTTGGCTGCGAGTTCGTCGGAGCGGATGTTGAAGATGGTAGCGGGTATGGCCATCCCCCACACCATACTGAAGCTGCGGACAAAAGACCACGTTGCTGTCGCTAGCGCAGCATCAGACTCGCTCAGCGGGGCCAGGAATGCTGGGAGAAGCGTGGGGATCAGCATGCCAGCTCCCACGGGTGCAGCACTCCGGCCCACGACAACCCGATCAGGACCGATGTGATGGAGGCGATGAAGATGACGTTGCCCGTCCAGTCAATTGTCGAAATCCTGGTGGCCAGGTTCGTCTCCTTCTGGTACCCAACGTTGAGGAAGAAGAAGAGGGCTGAGAGGGCGGCGCCGCCCACGGGCAGCACCAGGTAAAGGGTCCAGCGCCAGCTCGAGTACTGCACGGTGAGGCCGGCGAAGAGTGAGCCGAGCGCGGCGCCCTGGAAGATCATGCCCATGACGATGGCCAGGAACTTGCCGCGCTCCCTCAGCGGCACCACGCCGCAGTTGATGGTCTCGGTGAGCACGGTGGTGCCGCTGGCCCCGATGCCCTGGATGACCCGCCCGGCGATGAGGGTCCCCACGTTGTTTGCGCCGGCGCAGACGCCGCTTCCGAGCACGAAATGGGCGGCCGAAGACGTTGGCCAGCTGTCCGAACAAGGGCTGCATCGCCGTCCTAGACAGAGGATGGGGCCTTGTGTCAGTTAACTCGAGAGACGCCCAGATACCAACCAGGCCGGGGGCGTGCGCTACTCACATGGCGAACAAATACCCGTTCACGATCCAGATGCAGAGGCGGCCGCCGCCAAGCTCGTCGACGATTGAGGGAAGCGCCGTCGACGTCATGGTTCCTTCCAGAGCCGTGAGCGACTCAGCGAGGTTGATGGAGACCAGGGGAGCCCAAGACCTCCAGTCCCGCTTGGCCTGGCTCGCGCGTGTGGTGGTAGTGTCATCGCTTGCATTTGAAGTTTCTGAAGGTTCTGTACTTGCTTCCCCCAAAGAAGAAGAATTCACAGTGTTGCCGCCGCCGGGAGCGTCGTAGTCTCTCGCACCGCCGGTCAAGGACTCGTGCATGGCTTCAGGCATTTTTCGCGACAGACTCGAATTGGACGTTGCTTTCTTCTCGTCGGGTTTGCGTTCGGTGGGCGACATGCCGTATACATAGCCGGCTGGTTCCGGGGATATTCACGTGCTTGCTGCTGCACTCCCTTCATTTCGGGTTTGGCTTGGAACAATCACTTGGGGTGGAAGATAGCATAGAAACCACAATGTAGGTTTCTTGTTGCACAAAAAAAAAAAAAACACACAGAGATAATATGCCTGGTCGGGGTCCATCTGTGCGTTCGGTGTATTCACGTCGTGGAGTCTCCGACCAAGCTATTCGGAGGCTAGAAATTGCCTGATTAGGAAATTCGGAGGGTCCGATACGGCGTCGCGACCCGGTACGCAGCCTCCGTCCCCTCGACGGCGTTTCTTGTGTCTCCAGCATCTCGTATATATCGCTCGCGTCCTTCTGTTCTTACGAGAGGTTCAATTTCTCTAATATCTGTGCCTGAAATGCTTGGAAACCCCAAGGATATGGCGCCCCTCCCCCGGGCCCGCATCGATGCCGCCAACGAGGCGGAGCTAGGTCCGCCAGCATCGTTGCCAGACTATCTCGCCTCGGCCTTTGGATCCCAGCCTTTAGACACTGTGATAGACAACGTTGGACCGCAAGCCCTCTACGAAAACTCACCAAGACATCTCAATCTGGAGGACGGTTTGATCAACGTCGGCATCCTGGACGTGGAAGACGGCATCCCGGTGGTCCGTGCATTTGAGTACCAAAACAGGCTGCACCTACTGAAGTATCGGCCCTTGGAAGTATCATCTTTTGTGCTGGCAGCCTAGCAAAAGCAATTTTGGCTGATAGGGCGAATAGCGGAACTGAGGTATACTGAGTTTTGTAGGCAGGCTCACTGTGTCGTGGATTTGTCTCCTCGGACCTGAAACCGACATTCGCGTCGGTGTCTCATGAGCGCTGTCCCCGTAGGCTTTCCCCTGTATGGAGGCATCCCAAGAAACGCGGCTGGCTCATATTGCGGTCTGTCATCTCCCGGGTGTTGCTAGGGAACTTCTCAGAGTCCAGGGCAGTAGCCTATATATATGTATGTAACAATGTAGTAATCGTGAAAGGCCAAGTATAACATGTAAACCTATAGTCCTACTTTATTCCACTCTTCAAAACCTTTTACTTCAACCTCACTCCTAGTGTATTTCAGTTCTAATGCCCAATGTGCCACATTCAACGCCTCTGCAGGACATGGCAACAATAACTCAGCTTCCCGCAGAGCTTCTGCACAAGGTCTTTGCCGAGTTCTTCAACGTCAGACGTTATACCTTTGACCTGAACGAGCCCCTGTTCAAGGTGGACGACGACGACCTGGCGACTCTGGCGGCGGCCTCGCAGACTTGCCGGCCATTTCACGACGTTGCCTCGCCCCTTGTGTGGAAACATTTCTGCCTGGACCGCCACAGGCGCAAACCCTACCCGACTATCCCGCAGCTCGTTGCTCTCGTCAGGCTCTGGCACGAGCGGCCCGAGATCGCAGCACACGTCCACACCTTCCACCTGTCCCCGATATGTCACAGCGCCCCAATCACCAAAGAAGACGACATCGCATTTATAGCAAGCGTTGTGCAGGAACTCGGCCTTCCTGCCCCCCAGTTGCACGAAGCCGTCAACGGCTTCCACTTCATCGCAGCTCTTTTGGTCCTGATGGCGCGGAATGTGAGGGTTCTGAGCATGTGCACCTTTGATAACGGCCTGTTCAGATACATGCCCGACCCGGGGGAAACATCCGTTCGCCTCGAGCACCTAACCCGTTTTCAATTTCAGTCTGGCCCATTCGTTGAGGGACGAACCAACCACACCATATCCGAGATGAAACCCCTGTTGCGACTCGCCCCGAATCTCGAGGCGCTCGAGGTTTCGTCTGTTCACCTCGGTCACGGCGATGTCGACTGGGACGGGATCACCTCGTTGCATCTCAGGGGCGCCAGTATTGACGATGCGGTCAAGATCATCAGGTCTTGCCGCGGGCTGAAGGGGTTCATCTTCTCACCATACGAGGTCTTCGCCCCTCCGGACGAAATCCTATCAGCTCTCTCGATGCATGCGAGCACCCTCAGAAAGCTGAACATGGCTTTGCAGGTTAACTCAGTGGCCACGTTCACCAGTCTCGAGGAGCTTTCGGTTTCCGCGAGTTACATGGGGAGAGGGGAAGACTGTATCCTCCAGGAGTTACCTCAAAGCCTGAAACTCCTAGAAATTCACGGCAATCCCGAGAATTACCCCAAAGAGATGGAGTCTCTGCTCCTCAAGATTGCGGGTAGAGGGTATCCCAATCTCGTAAAGGTATGGCTATCTGCCTGGTACTGCGATTGCGATCGCCGGGGGTCGTGCGGTAGACAGTCACCATGTGATGGCGGACGAGGGAGACGTGATCTTCATGAGCTTTTTCTTCTGACTGGTGTTTCTTGCGAATTCAGGTAACTAGAAAGCACGAAACCGGATCCATACATGCTCTCAATTCACGTACATAATTTATGGATGTTGAATGGTTCCCGTTTCGCGGCCGCCACGCAGTGAGCTTTGACCTCGGAATTGGACTTCACCACAAGTCGGGCCGATCGAAAGTGACCGGCGCCCGACTACGGACCGCCAAGACCGGCCGGGTGCTTCCGGGTGCGAGACTGCTTCAGAGACACTGGTCACTTGCTTGGGCCTCGGTCACCTTGAACACATGTGCATGGTGTAAGGGAAACGCCGTCTGGTTTTTTATCTTCTCAGACGTAATGTAATCACTATATCCCGGGATAGCGCGTCTGTCGGCATGTGCGGCACTCGACTAGGTGGCCGGTTTCACTGAATAACACGAGTCTCGGAGTTTAGGCACTGCTATGCACATGGTCGAGTCCTTGACACCCGGTGGCCTACGAGGGGTGACCCGCCAACCGTACTAAGCACCACGCACGTAATGTCTCAAACCGTGGCAAAGGAACGCCGCTTGCCTCAATTCTGGCTTCGGATAGAGATGACCAGCACGGCGACTTCTGCAACCATACGTCGAGTGCACCTCGAGCCCGTCGATCGCCCGCTAAACCTACGCCCGTTTAAAAACAGACAAAAGCTTTGTTCTTGCAGCTCGGCCGAGGCGGAACTCGCACATACACTAAACACGTGAGAGTATGAATGAGATCGACGATGTTTCCCAGCAAAGAAACATGGCCCATGGTGGAGGAGGTAAACTTTCTCCGTCTTAGTAATCCGGAAACTCAGCCTTACCCGACAGCTGACCAAACGGATCGTATGCTTCGGAGCTTTCCCAACCAGTCGCTGATCCTGTCTCGGAAAGTGTCTAGGTTAAGCTTAGCCGCTGTTGGAAGGCTGTCGCGAGGTGATGTGTCAACCCATCGGGGCTTGGGTTACGTGCGAGAGCAAGGTGACGTCGGCACATCCGGCTGTCTATTGCAAAGGTGGGGGGGGGGGGGGGGGGGTCTCACCCTGTGCCACGTCTCAATATCTTAATACGTTATAGAATACCCAATCCGATCGGGTAGTTCGCAGAACTAGCTTCAACTCAACTCTCGGCCGAAAGGCCTATGAGGGGATTTCAAACTCTGGACGGGCCTGACCTTTGGTAACCTAAAAATAGTCCCTTCTGGCTTGAAGTCAAAACTGGCTGATGACCTCTGGCTTCCGTTAGGCGTTATCTCGGGATGTTGGCGCTGCGCATGTGTGTGATAATGAACTTACACGCGACTTGATGGAGCCTTACTCGGGATAGTCAAGCGCCATTGGCCGCCCTCCTACAATAGGCGTCAAGGCAGTTGTGATGCAAGGGCCATGGCATCATGTTGCAAATTGGTCAGAGTATCGATGAAAGAGTTGCTAACAGAGAAGTAATCCTTAGCGTCATTTGAAGACTGAGATGATGATGCATAGATCCGCTTTGGTCTGTGCCTACTCGGTCCCGTCGAGTGGGGGACGTGGTTACGCGCTCGGACAAGATGAGCAGCAACACCGCTTCGCGGTTAAGTCCTTGGCGTCTCTAGGTCCAAGACGAAACCTGCCGCCGACCGCTCACAGTGACTGCAACGATGTCATAATCATTGAGTCCAGTTCTATGCGGAGATGCAGTGTCAGGTTTTATCAAGCCAGTTTTCCATCACCTGAACAGTCTTCACTTGCCACAGGTTTCCGTGTTGGTCCGACGTCCGATGGGGTCGATGACCAGGCGTTTGGCGCTGAGGAACTGTACGAACGGGCGGCTGGCAGAGTTTGCTGACATGCGGGGTTTTGTGGCAGTCGGTTTTGCTCAGCCTTTCTGCAAATCACCAGACGTCTCATACATGACTCTTTAGCTGCAGGTTGTAGAAGCACATCAGCATTGTCACTAAGGGACCCTGGACACGGTTGGTACCAAGGGAGAACGAGGTGTGGGGGGACGGGGGTTGGGAGAAAAGCCTCGCTTGTACGGAGTACGGAACACAAATTACAGCTGCCTCAGCTCTGAGGCTTGACGTCCATCATTATACACTTGTTCGAGGCCTTTGTCTGCTGGAGGGGGCAAGCAGGGGCCATGGTGTTCAGCGTAGGGGAAGTTTGCGTTTCCGCTTGAACAGGGGCAACAGCTTGGTTCTTGGTAAAGATGACATTGAGCCGCCTGGTGTGCATAAGCTAAGCGCATTGAAAGGAAGGCAAGTGAGGCATCCGGAGCCTTGGACTGGCACGCTTTGGCAGTTTCGACGCTAATTTACACTTCATGTCTAAGCGCTGCCTATTGAATGGGGGCTTGGTGCCGGATGCTAGAGAGTTGACTGGAAGGATTATCTGTCTGGCTGTCTGGCCCGTCCAGCTGGCGTGGATTGATGTGACGATCTTGAAGACTTCAATCAAACCAAGGGGCGCGCGGTAGGGCAGCTATGCCACTCTGGATGGCCCCCCTCTTCTCTGGGCATGAGGTCATGAAATCCAGAGCTGGTCTTGGGCGAAAGGTCAGACGGCAGCGGCCCCAGACATGTGGCGCTCGAGTGCTTGTTTGGAACCGAATCGGTGCGACAACTTTTGGTGCGTTGTGACTCGTAGCCGTCGCAGCTATATGCATACGGCGATGCTTTGCGAGAAGATATGTTTCGGTTGAACCATGTGTTTGTTTGCTGGCAGCGCTTTGTGCAACGACTTGACCCGTCTCGTCTCAACGGAGGCGCGCTACGGTGGCGGCGGGGGGCGTCTGTGGCCACATGGCAGGCAAAGGTGGTGTGCTGGGCTGCATTAGGTAGAATGAGGCAATCTGGTCGGGCCACACTACATTCGTGGAATACTCAGGAGAGGAGGGATGCAGCTTGCAGTTGGCAGGCGACTACGATACTCGGCTGCATTGTAGTGTACAGTAGGTAGCGAGTGTCGAGCAAGCAAGGGCTATCTCTCAGTCTAGATTCGTTGTCTCGCTGATTAGCGCCAGAAGACTAAGAGACAGAGAGGGTGGCCGCTTTGGAAGGGGTTTGGTATTGGCACAGAGGCTCCGAGACAAGAGGGTGTTCCTGTGATTCTGGAAGGCGGGTGGGCATCATGGAGACATGGAAGCGGTCGAGCTAAGGTGACGCGGTCTCAGACTCATGCCATGCGCCCGAGCGCTGGGGTGGGATTTCGGTCTCAGTCTGTGATCAGATGATGCCGGGGGTCCCGATCGAGCGTCGAACACACATTTGAGGTACAAGACGGTGGGTGGAGCAAGCGAAATGCGCCGGAGAAGGCGTGTGATTGATTGTAAGCAAGCAATCAGGTCAGTAGGCGAACATCAGAAGTGATGACGGGAGCGACTCCTGGCAATAAGCTGACCGGCAGGGGCGGTTTTGCGTTCGAGGATATCTTTGGAGGCAAGGGCCACACATCTAGTGTACCAGTCAGTAGGTAGATAGGTAGATAGGTAGGTAGGTAGTCAGCCAGCGGGCCAAGCATACTTGGTCGGTGATGACAGAGATGGCGGGCGATGGCCGTGGAGATTGGTTTCGACATGGGGCGGGACTTTTTGTTAGACTGGGCGCACCATCCTCAGAGCTTGAGCCTTTTGACACCTCGGCTGGCTGGATGGCGGACGACCGTGCGTTCTATTACCCTAGTGCTGGGAGGTCGTTTGGGAGCAGAGTTGTCGAGTCGTTATCGTCGTCGTTGGATCAGGTTGAACCTTGGTGCCTGCCTGTTTCCCGTCACGCTCGGATGTTTGTGCACGGCGCAGGTGCAGATGCGGGTTGAGGTGCAGATGCATCCACAGATCGGACGAATAAAAGGAAGGCCCGATTCAGGGTCCATGTCGGGAAAGCGGACACGCCATGCTGACTCGCTCTCCCTCGTCGTACCTGTGTAACGTGCAGTAAGGATACGATACAGCGAAGGCCAGCGCGATCGGTTGCAATTGCCTGCGTCCAACCCGTTTACACGCAATACAGTAACAATATCCGTACAGTACCCATACTGAGAGCCAAGAACCTGGGTTGGGTCATGGATGCATGCCACCCTGCTTATCTGTATGTACCTGTTTTTTTGCCTTTTTTATTTGATTTTTTTCCATACCTCCTGGCTAGGTAGTCTGCTCAATCGGGCTTAGATCGAACTACGTACCTGCTGATTTGGAGTACAGCACCGGTAGGCGCGCTGAGGCATATTTACTAAGAATATGTCAGTACGTACCTATCAACAAGCGGCCGCCCCGTCTGTCTCCCGTCTGTCCTTCCTTCCGTTTGGGACGGGACGGGGAGCGGTCGGTCTTTCTTTCCGCCTGTGCGTCCGGAATTGGTGATTAAATAAATATCTACTACTAGGCACCTACCCACTAGGCGTACTACTTGGGTACTGTAAGGCGATAATGAGCGAGCATCCGCTACCTTGGCTAGGTTGGGCCAAGTCCTCCACATTCAAAATTTCCGACGGTCTGCATGCTCGCATGTGAAGGCTGAACCCAAACGACGACCAGCCCAAGCTGATGGGAAGTTCGGGTCGCGTCTCAGGGTGTTTTTGCTCGGCGCTCGTTCCTCCCTTGGCACGTCATCCAATCTCCCCATACGGGGCGTCCCCTCTCGTTGGCGCACACTACCTAACCTTAGGCGCCTTACGTAGCACCAGCCGTTAGACCCAGAGCATTGGGAGCCGGTAGTGAGGTACCTACGGTACGGTACTGCACTGCATTGCACTGCACCGGCATCTTTTCCCTCCCACGGTCCTGGACCGTCGCCTGTCCTCGAGTCCACCACCCCCTCGTCTTTCTTTTCTCTTCCGTTTCCTTTTTCCTCCATCGCGTCCATGTTACTGGGTGCAGTGTCATCGGATGCCCCTGCGCCGTCGTCACCTCTCATTGGGTGTCCACTATTCGGCTGAACGCTCATCATCGTCGCCGATCCCCTCTCTTTGCTTCATCCTTTCGCTTTGCCTCCAGCATCTTCGCAGCTTTCCAGAGTGTGGGAGTCGAGGCCCATCTGTCGACCCTCGACTCTGATACGAATCCTCCCCGTTCCTGTGCCCTCCTCTACTTCCCTGCACGGCAGACAGGCCCTGCCTGTCAGGTATGCCTCGAGCGGGAATTGAGACCTCCATCTTGCCTTGGGAAGAGACCCCTGTATTCTCGGCCCAAAACCTTCAACAAGTCTAGCTTGCCTTGACACGCAACCTCCTCGACGACCTTGCTTCGCTCTCAGGCCCCCGCGCCCCGCGGCAGTCAATCTTTGACCAAGGCTGGCGCTGCTCAGGTACTTACGGCATCCTCTGCAATACATCACAGAGTTGCTGACTTTGGCCATGCGCCTACGGATACTATAGTATCCATCCATCCATCCATATCCCATCCAAGACATCGCTCAGCCCCGAAATACGCCTTCTCCGACCACCATCCTTTGGACAGCCGCCCCGAAAACGTGCTGCAAGCACCCTACACGCACCCCTGACGACTCATTCCTCGTGGCCCTCGCTCTCGCCCGTTCTCTCTCAGCGGCTGTTGCGCAGCCCAGAGACCCCCAGCCAATCCCAGTCCACCGCCCTGGTCTCGCCAACCCCTCTAGCCTCATCCCTTCTTCTCCTTGTTCCTCCACTGTCTCCAGAGAAAACTTGGCCTACGCTAGCTTGCCACTAGTAGTGCCGGCCATGCGGTACAGATACTGCTTGGTCTGATACCAGCACTTCGTACTCGACACCAGCAGCACACCCATTCCTTACCGCATCCTTCCTGCATCCAAGCCGCCTTACATACATGCATACATACATTACGGCCGCCCACCCAAACTGCATGCCCTCACTTCCCGTCGGCTTTGCTTTGCTCAGATACAGATTCGCCATCCAGCTCGAGAACCCAGCCACCACAGCTACACTAGCTACCAGCCTGTGCGACCATTCACTCGGGACACCTGCGCTACAACACCTCCTCCTTCTCCTTGCCCTTCCGCTACACCTCCGTTAAGACCGCCCCGGCCAATCTCCATCACATCTTCTCTCGCCTTACCGAACGAGCTGTGCTCCCTTCCCTTACCAACGACGCTTGTCGAAGCTGGAGACCTGGGGCCGGAAACGCATGTGGCAGCAACCTCTCGCTGCCCCCCCGCCTCGTCGTTTCCTGGTTCTTGTACCCAGTCTCGCAACACCTGCGCAACCTCGTTCTTGCTACTGCTACTACTCACCATTCGACACTGCTTTAGCACTCGCACTTGGCCTATCGTAGCCGCCACGGCGCCCCTTCATCCAATCCTTAGCGCCGCTGTAGATGCCTTCATAATACAGGCCCGCCCCCCTAGCGAGCGTTCCCTCATCCTTTCTTTTGCCCTCTCTTGGGGTATCAGGGGCCATCGAGACTCGTCACCACCTCCGCTGCTGCCAGGCATAGACATGTTCGACCACTACACAATAGGAATGCAGGTGCGCTCAGGCGCCGATGGCGCCAGCGACGACTCGCATCTATCGCCGAGACAGCGCCCACGAGAACTACCCGAGTTGACAGAAGCAGTTGCATCTCCCTCGACGTGTGCTCCGGCTTTGGACCACGACTCGTCAAGCCTATCACGGCCAATCGACAGTCTTGCTGATGAACTCAGCAAGCAGACGTTCATTCCAGAAATATGCCAATCGAACACCCGGGCTGCGGCGACTGGAACATCGCCATCCATTGTCGCTGGTTTGTCCATGGCCCCTTTGGAGGTTGATGAGGATTGCAACATGGATACCGCGTTAGACGATATGAAGGAATACCAAGCAGTCGCCGACTGGAAGAGAGCACGACGCCAGCGTCACAGCCGATTTGTCAACAATCCGGACAATGCCCCCGCCATAGAGGCCCGCATGAAAGAAATGATCTCACAAGAGTCGCAGTGCAACGTCCATCCGGCCCTCTCCCTTCTGTCTTTGCCGTCGACTCTACCTACACATCCGCACGTACCCAAGATCGAGGCAGACGGCTTTCCCGAGACCGACTCATCCGCGAGTTGCCTAGAAGTAGACGAGGACTTCTGCGACGAGAGTGAAGAATTTCTTCTCATGCAAAGAGCCTTGGTTGCCGACAAAAGAAGGTTGATGGGCAGCACGCCCGATTCTATACGGAAGTTCGGACCTTTGAGATATAGGGGTTCGGCCGAAACGGCTCTTCGGTGTCACAATGTTGTCAGACAGCGACCCAGGATGCGGCGACGGAAAGGGCCAGGACCAACTCCGGAGCCTCGACCGGCACACAAGGCCTAAAGGCTTCGAATGGCGACGATGAGTTCTGGCACAGCATACCAGTTTTACTGTTCAAGCGTTGGGAGGTTATTTCAGCGATATACCCATGGGATCGGAGCACATGATGGCCGGCTTTCGGCAACGGCGTTGATACCACAGACGGTATCCGGTTGGTTTTCACAACTCAACACTATCTTTACAGCAAAAGCCCAAAAAGAGGGCTTGGGGTCAAAAGGACTTCAGTCACAGGAAGTCCAACGGCGTTTTGTTTTCATGTCCGGCGTGGCACGGGAGGCTTTAGTATTCTGCTTTCTCACCCTGCGACAGGTCGCTTTATTTGTCTTTGCCTTCTTCAGATTTTACCATATCGAAGCCCAATTGTCGGGACCGCCATCGACAATCACGGGCATAGCCGGGCGGAGGGTGTCTCCGAGTCATTCACGGCGGAACCCCCGGTTCCACGGCCGGGCGTCGGCTCCACAGCCTCTGGGTCTGCAGAAGGGGCTGCAAAAGGGGCTGCAGAAGGGAGGCGTCAATAATGTATACTCGTGGCCAGAGGAAGACGCCTTTCAGTGGGGCGCATAATCTCGCCATCTTCCTTCAGACCATTGATGAGGCGGAATGATCAGGGTGATTTAGAGATTTATCGAAATCAACTACCCAAGCCCTTCTCGCTAGGAAGTGTCGCAGTATTCAACTTCGAACGTTCCCAACTTGAGCTTTACCGATGACTAAGACCAAGATGATGCAGCACGTCGATGTTTTCAGAATTATCGTTCTCACGGGTGGTTGGGGAACCGCGTGCGACGCAACCGTTATTCCTCGCGAGCAAGCCGCACCGGCAGACTGGGATCCATTATGGCCAAAGCGGGCTTTTGAGGGGGCCTTCCATTCACACACAATCAAAACAATGGACAACAACTCCATTCAGGATCAAGCGACATGGTGCCATCCGTACGATGACATGCTCACTGGACCATTTCGGCCCCTCCTCTCTCAAGCGTCATGAGGGAAAGACGACTGGGGCATTCCAGCTATCACCTAGCGAACACGCGCCACACTTGCACCATCTCACAAGGCACAATCCATCCCTTCTCCACCCCATCGGCCAAGGAACTAATGGTTAATGAATATTAGACTTTGAGGCGACAACCTTTTCCATGCAGGGTCAAGAGAAGAGGGCACATGCAGTGGCGTATTCCGGGCAATGCCTTGCCATCAGGGCTGACCTGTACTGGCAGCTGTTATTGGCCTTTGGTTGCAGGGAGGCCGACAGAGCCAGTCCCAGCTGGAGCCTGGGCCAGCTGCCGGCCCGGCCGTGGATGGCGTCGTTCCTTGCAGTTTGGCCGCGCCATCGCTCTGAGCCGGCCGCGCCCTTAGTTTCTCGAAATATCTCCGTTTCCTTGTTTGTCGCTACTGCACCTCAACGTATCCAGTTCTATTTGCACAATGGTACGCCTCCCCCAGTGGAGAGAGTATGTGGGAAGCGCAAGCCTAGGCCTTGGTATGCCCTCTCACACCATGGAGAGGGAGGGGGGAGGGCTTATTGGCCAGGCTCATGCTGATATCCATGCTCCAGCTGTGGCGTTAACCATCCCGACGATATCCACAACAACGCATGAGAGAGGGACCCAGCATACACGATATCAAGGTGCGGTCGACTTGGTCAATTGGAGCGCTTTGGTGGGCAGTGCAAACCCGCGCAAGTGGACGTGTGAGAGTGTCGGCAGGCGAAGTACGACGTCTCTTTGTCATTCGTGGCAGCCCTTTGGTGAGAGGGTGACGAGAGGGATTGTTTCCTGAGAGTTTTCTTTTCTTGTTCAACGACGTTGCCATGAAAGGAATGGGACTCGGGTTTCTTTGACGCCGCTGTCTCTCAACCCTATCTACCCCAGTTCTATGAAGTACAGAATAGGAGTTGGCCGCAATGGCTGGAATGCGGGCATGCTGCTGGGTCGCTAGACGACGTGGGCTGCATTCCTTTGGCCATGCAGGCACAGGCTGTATCCCTCGCCGAAAGCACGGTGATCTCTGTGCTCCCAATTCCAGTGCTGCCCGTATATGTGCTGCTTCCATTTCTCGTGCAATAGTTGCTGTGGCAGGATCAGAGACATGAGCTGGGCGGTATTTGTTGACTCTGGTCCCCTCCGCCCGATGCGGGCTTGCAACCATCGACGGCTTTCTTTTCCGTACAAGAATCCCATTCTTCTGTGGTTATACCCCAGTTCTGTAGCCAACTTTTTCTCACTCCTTTCTACACCTTTCGCCGGAAACGAATATTGCAACATTTCCCGCTCATTCGTTCCCCACGGCACATCCACCTCTTGCTACTCGCAACCTCGCATTCATACCCGCGCAATATACTGGACCCTCTCCGTTGACCTCAGCTTCCATATCTGCTACTACTGTTCCTGGCCCTGGCCCTGGCCCTGGCTGTCGGTCGTTTGCGGAACCTAGGGACACTGACGTACGGACCGAGACCGAGACAGAGACACAGGAGAGCATGACAGTGGCCGTCTCGCATTGGACGAGGAGCCCTGGCGCGAGTGTCAGTCTCAGCTCGCACCCGACAGACTACAGCGACATGGCCTATTCGGAGGTCCAGTTTTCACTCGACTCGATGGACGAGGACAAAGGCGGCAGCGGGGGGCAGTCTCACTTGCCATGGGGGGAAGCAACAGAGAGGATGGGCGGAGGAGGGCCGGGCTTGGGTGCAGCCCACAACGACGCGCTCCTCTTCGAGGAATTTGTTAACCTCGAGAGGCTTTCGACCGCCGGGGGTGACGAAATCCCTCCGTCTTCCCTACCCGAGTCGTTCTTATTCAATATCCCACTCCCACCCCATGGTTCCGTGTCCACGACAAGCGCATCGGACGATCTGGGCGACCTACTAAGTTGCCACTCGCAGCCGCTCGTGGAAGCTAGGACTAGCGCGGCAGCAGGTCCCGCTGCCACAGTAGTGCCATCATCAGCAGCCGCTAGAGTAGCGGCGGTGACCGCAGACACCGTGGTACCGTCTGCTGTGGGCGTCCCCGGGCCCCAGTCTTCGTGGTCGATCGACCACAGGGAAGGACAAAGGAAGGCTTCGACCTATCCGGACACAGCTCACACTGGCGCGTCCGAGTCGATCTCTGACTCTGAGCTTCTCCGCCTGGAAGGCATATCGTTGAAAGCGTCGCCATCTCGCGCTCCATCTGTCGTCGTTTCCCATCCTCCTACTCCTCTTCCTCAAGCTTCGTCCGCTACCAGCAACAGCACCAAGCTCCAAGTCGCCGGCAGCAGTACCAGCAGCAGCACCAGCAGCAGCACTACCACTACCACCAACACCTACACCAACAACGGTGGCCGTAAGCCGAGCAACTTCTTCAAAGTCGTCGCATCCAAACTGCAGCAGAAAGCTGCCTCCGTACGCCATAAACAGCCCGACATGTCTTCCGTTACCCTCGATAGCAGGGGTCCCCTTTCGCCCAACGTCTCGCCTCGCAAGGCCTTCAAGCTCCGCCCCGAGCAGCTCGGCCTTGGCGGCCCCCCGTCCGCAAGACTGCCTCTCTCTCCTCCCAACAGTGCCACCATCCCCCAGGACCTGCCTTCCACATCATCGACTGGACCCAACGGCCTGCCCTTTTGCGGTGGTTACGTTGAAGATCCTTTCTTCGACGCTGGCGTTGCTGGAGGTCACGTACCAATGTTCCGCCGCAGCGACCCTACCACACCCATGGACACTCCCGTTCTTGACGACAAGAGCGGCATGTTTTATCACCACCAGCAGATGAGCTCTGGCAACGTTGCCAACTCGAGCAAGGCCACTTGGCCCATGGTCACGACAACTCCCCAGACTGACTCCCACGTCGCCTGGTCCAATGCCTATGCCAGCGACGGTCTCGACAACCAGTGGTGGGATGGGGGCCATATGGACTTGTCATCTAACCCACAGTTCCAAGCACAGAACGCTCGCAATGCCACGTTCAACCTCGCCATGCAGACACAACACAATGATCTGGCATACGAGTATAACAACATGGCCGCCGGTCACGAGATGTCCGGGCTCATGATCCACATGCCTCAACCGCGGGCCACGTCGTCACCCGTCATACACTACCAGCCTCAACAGCAACATCAACAACAACAGCAGCAGCAGCAACAACAGCTCCACCACCCGCAACACCCTCAACAGATGACTGAACGCCGACCTCGCATGCCCCGTGCCCCCTCAGCCGGCGCCCGGCATCTGTGCCTGTCGACGCCGATGCGCAAGACCCGCAACACGAGCCGCACACGCCAACCCAGCCGCGACTCCTCGACGTCACCCACACCCACAAACCGGTCTCGCCACAGCAGTGGCAGCTCTTTCTCCAGTATAGGAGGCGGCGCAGCTCTGAGTGCGAACGTCAAGAAGCGTCGGTCGTGGTCTAGGCGTGAGAGCATGCGTACGCCTTCCATCGGAGGCGGCCTCGGCGGTGCGCCTGAGGGCGTCGGTTTCGTCAACTTCACCCCTAGCGACAAGAACATACTCATGACGGGCGTCGCTCCAAGCGGGAGCTCCAAAACCAAGGCCCGCCGCGAAAAGGAGGCGATGGAGAAGCGCCGGAGGCTAAGCGAAGCAGCCATCAAGGCCGTCAAGGCCGCCGGTGGAGACGTGGACAAGCTGGTCGAGGAAGGTTTCGTCTTCTGAGATGGTTCGTTTCTCTCTTGGATTGTTGGGTGGGGGGGGGCTTGGACTGGCAGCAATGTGGGCATGGGAGCGCTTTGGGAGTTTTTCTTTTCGGTCAGGATAGGCTTGAGGCCTAGGAGAAACCTGGCGTTTATCACGGGATCACCAATGTACGCGAAGGATCCGCGACTTTCCTTGATTTCTGTTTATCCTCTCTTCTACCACTACAGAACGACATGGGGAGCGCGAGCTTCGAATGGCCTCTTGGCGGGTCTGTCGATGATGGCCGCTTTACTTTCTTCACAACACCAAAAACAGTACCTACCTACTACTAACTAGTTAATCTTTGTTTCCTATGTCGGAGCAACCCAAAATCACAGGCTGAAACCCAGGGTGCGAGATATGGAGGGGGGGGAATTGGATATCCTAGCAGAGCAGAACCAAAATCAAAACAACTTATTCAAACAAATCTTCCAGAGACACCCTCTTGCCCACTTCACCCAACGTTTTGGTGCCGATCGACTTGCCGTTATCGCCCAGCGACTCTTCTCACTTCATGACAAATCACACGTGAGTTGCGATTCGCTCGCTTCTCTACACAAAACAAGCAATAACAACAACAGCAAGAGCATCATCAATAAGCGATACCAATTCTATTCAAGGGCCGGCGCACTGCGGTTGCTCAGCGAGTCGACGCCTCTCGCGCAGCCCCTGCCATATCCCAGCCCAGAGGGTCGGGGCCGCCTCTCGAGTCGAGGGCCATAGTTGCCGCTACGTGCGTCCGTCGTCCGGACCAGCCGTTAGCCGATCTACGCCGGACAGAGAGCATAAGGGATGGAGGGGTAGGGCAGCCGCTCCTTATGCCTTCCCTTGGGCTAAGGTAGTCCGTCATGTCTGTGCTGTTACAGCCCCATCCGTGCTTTCCTGCTACTCGATGGACGACTACTGACTGCCTGCTAGAGGAGGGGAAGGCGGCGGCGGCGGTGGCGGCGGAGGAAGAGGAAGGGGAGGCTCTCGGGAGTCAACACAGACCATCATCTGTCGAAGCTGCCAGAACCTCGTCAAGGCCCAGACCCAAGAGCGCGGCTTACGGCTCGTGAAGGCATCCGGGGCTGGACAATGAAATCAGATAGGACTTGGGTGGGGAGGGAGGGGGGGGTGTTGCGGGCTTGCGGCCTGTGCCGGTTCTGCATTGCTTGTAATCCAACATGACCGCAAACAGATAGCTCTTCTGACTCGTCCTTATCCCATGAGAGGCTTGGCATCTTTCCATCCACCTCAGACAGAAACCCAAGCCCCCGCTCAAAGATTGACCACTAAGCCTTATATCGCTCTCTTACCCCATCTGCTGTGCTATCCACCCTCCACGACGCCTCCCTTTCGCTCTTCGCAACTGCCGGGAGGACTGGGACGTGGGCACCGGCACGGTCCATCATGAATCCAACGACAGAGGGAGCGGCGTCTCCATGCCGCCTCACTTACAAAGCCAAAGGGAAACAGAACACCCACAAGCCTGGTTGGCCGTCGTCTGCCAGTCTGTTAGTTCCACCAGCTTGCCTGCCCGGCCAGCTGGTGAGACTAGTGCAAGATCCCCGTTGCAGAATCAATCTTGAAGCCCATCGGCGTCTGCTCCGGCCATTTGATCTATCACGCCAAACTCAAAACTGCCAGGCGCTAGGAGCTTGATGGGGCAAGGCGCAGGTTCGCGTACGAATGTCTCAGTACGGAATCCACTCTGACAGCTCACACCCCCTCTCACTTTTCTCTCTCTCCCTCTCTCTCCCTCCTGCCCCTCTCCTCCCATCACGATCTACCCTTCTCGATCCCATACTCGCAGAAAATCCCCGAATCGTACAAGCTCGACGGTTTATCTGGACTCCCACCCTCTCCTCGTCACTGACACGACCCTTTCCGGAAACGTTGGTCCAAGCTGTTGTACACGGCTCTACCTAGCGTATGTCACAGCCGCGCTGCGTCTCGACTCCGCCATCACCCCAACACCCCCTCCAAGACCCCATCCAACGCTCGTTACTCAACCCGAATGCAGGTACGGTGATACACCGCCCCTCATGTTCGTGCGTTTTTTTTCGCGGCAAGTACTGGGCCTGCATGAGCCTGGCCTTGCATAACCGCGGACGTGGGTATCACCGACGCGATTGACCTGTTCCAGTTGCCCTGCGAGTGTACTGAGCCCTCTGCCGGAAGCAGACAAGAGATGAGCCCTGTTCCGAAGTGGGCGACATCAAACTACCACGATGCGCAACAGGTCCAGCCTCTTTGACCACTGTGAGCCTTGTCTCAGTCCCGGCATCCGAGGGATCGAGACCCTTTCTCGAGAGGCGCGAAGCCCTTACCCGCGCAGCCTCGAAACCAACCTCGCGAGTCTGTCAGGGCCTTGCGCCTCTGCCCAGGAAACTGAGTAAGGGAGTGAGACAAGGGCTGCTGGCAAGAGGTTGGAGGACATCAAGGAACCGCGCAACGCCGAGGCCATTTGGCTCAGCGTGACGGACCACGTTCTGTTGACGATGTCTCAATTACATTGGCCAGTTCAGGCATAGGTGTGCAGATAGGATGGCATATGGCATCCTCATGAAGCAACATACGCCCGCCGTATCGTCACAAGTTCTCCAGGGAAGACTAACAATGCAGGATGGCCATCGATCCCCACCTTGACGATCTCTGTTCTCCCCGGCAAGCCTTGCGATCTGTAATGATCACCGTCATTCATTCTGTCAAACATGATCAACATCCAACAAACATCACGGTATCTCAGTTGGCTGCCAGTCAGCCGCCTACCCCCCTCCGCCAAAGCAGAACTTCTGCACGGAAGTGGTAAAGGTGTCTTGCCGCTGGGCTCGATATGGTCAAGTGGCTACCATACTTCGTTCCTTGGCCAATGGCGTTTCTATGAAGACAGCTGTGGTTGACTGGCTGACTGACTAGCTTCAGCACAACTTTATCTCCAAGACCCAAAAGGGATCAGTGGGAATCTCCTCATTGCGACCCAATCCGGACGGGACCGGACTTCTCATTGTCGTTTCTCGATTAGCCCATTGTGTTTTGCTCCGGGACCCTTCTCTCCGAGCCGCTGCTCTACATACCTCACCACCTACCAAGTCGCCAATGTTCAGGGCAGGCAAGCAAGCTCTGGGGTATCTGTTAGTCCAGGCTATCTATTTTGGCGCATGACAGCCATTCTCTATTGGGAAGAACTCCCGTGTCCGCCCTAAGCCCCCGCCGTCATGACAGCTGCCGGATCGCACCGTGGACGCAGAATAAACAGAGTAACCCATAAGTTACCCCGTGCACTATCCCTTTTATTTACCTTCAGCCCGACTGAGGCGTCCGCCATGCACATCAGCCACGGCTTAGTCTGGCAAACGTGGCATCTCTGCGCGAGAAGTCTCACGGCCAGACCAGACTTCGAGATGACCGTTGTTCTCCGATCAAAATATCCGTGACTCCCACAGATCTCAGGCTGTGTGTGGGCCAGACGTCAAGCGGGGATTTCGACCACCCGGTTCTTGTCGTCGATCCGCGTGCCTTGCCGGCAGCTCCTGCCCAATGGCCCATAATCGAATGATATCGCGGCTCCCGAGTTGCTCAGTGAGCAGCTAGGAAACAGTCCGGAGGTCTTCCGGAGGAACTATGTAACGAAGGCCCGAGATTCCGGTGCTCGTGTTATCCAGCGGCCTCCAGGAGGGGGGGCTACCAAGGTACCCTGATCAACCTGGATGACACGAGAAACCTACATGGATCCCTCCAAGGAGAATCCACAAACTGTTTAGTTAAGTTATCCCACAGCGCCCGCCAAGCGACACAGTCTCGGGCCCATCCAAAGCCGGATCCCGTAACAGTCAACCCATATCAGACAGCCAGTAAAGCGAGTTGGTCAAACGCGCCTTGCTCTGATGTAAGGGCGTCGCGAGGCAGAAACACCAAGTAGCTCTGATGAGCAGCACTGTCATCATCTCTCGAACTGCCGAGACACGCCACAATCGTGCCGGGAGACACTCGGTGTCATTGTTGCTCAAAATGGGACAGCATCAGCTCCTCGAAGGATCAAAGCAAGCGACCCCGCACAAGCCGCTCTCCGGGTTTCTGCATCACCGTCCCTAGTCCCGCACACGTGAAGCCTCAGGACACACTCACAAGGTCGGACGACGGCAAACCACGGCGGCACAAGTCTTGCCTCGTAAGGCGACCCCGCCGTATGCGAGGGGCTACGGAGGTCGACCGCCCGTGATAGCATCTCTCCACATCACCGGCCGCGCGATAGTTTCTCACTATACCAACTTACGCCCCATCTCCAGAAAATAAGCTCATAGGCGCAGGCTTCTGAGCGCCCTCCAACTGGCTGTGGGGGGGAACCTCTCTGCCATCCTTGGCCCTCTTGAAGGTGCTCTCTCTCTCTCTGACTCCCACCCCCTTTCGTGTGAAGAAGAGCGACCCTCTCTCGTCTGCTGCTTCCGTGTTGGAAATAGCGCCGTCATGGTCCGTACTCTTGCCCACACCCCTTCCGCCACAAGAGATGCTTGCGCGGCTAAGGACGCTGTGTTTCTGTCTCAACGTCGCGGCGCCGGGATGTAGCGATGATAAATCATCTCACCTGTCCTGCATCATCCGACGTTCGAACCTGGACTCCGCGAGGCCAGGATGACCCGGAATCGTTGGGAAGTCTCGGCGGAGGAGAGGATCCCATCTCGATCATCCATCCGCGCCTCATCACGTACCGTTCGGTTTCCATCTCTATTCCCCTCCTCACCCTCCCCTCTCTCGGCCTCCCCCCCCTCGCCTTTCTTCTCTCTTTCCTTTCCTTCAGCGTCTTACACATCAGAATGACCACCAGACAGCCGCTCTCTCCTGTCCATCACTGATCAATGACCGTTAGACTGACAAAGAAGAGGCAGCTGTCTGCCCGCCTCCGGATCCGTGTTAGCCCGGCAATATGTCTTACCTGCGGATCGGCCACCTCCGGGGGCCTGCTCCGCCATGCTGCGCCCCATCAACCCTCTTTCTCTCTCTCTCCTCCCACATGCCCTCTTTTCGTCCCCACTACACCATTCCACACCACCTTGACCATGCCACATACCCTCCCATCTTCTCTCTCCGGGCCGAATACCACACCTCCGGCCCTCCGTTACGTGCGTACCATCCAGCCCGACCGCCCCCGCCAAGTCCCTGTCAGGGGACCGGACGGGGACAATCCGGAACGGTCGCCTATTTGACTTTCCTCGCCGGCTGGATTCCGACCTCGCCTCAGCCATGTGAGGCTCCTCATCCCTTGCATTGTTTCCCCATCCGTTTCGACCCGTAGGAGGGGGGGGGAGCGGGAAGGAGAATGCCCAATGAATGATCGAGCCAAACCTCCTCCCAGCTTGTCCTCCCAGGATGATGTAGAGCGTTGCATCAGCTGACAATAAGGTTAAGGTTCAGGATGACAGCCCACCCTCTCTCTCTCTCTCTCTCTCTTCTTTGTGGACACGAGCCAGGCGTACCTGAATACTCACCGATCACATAGGCACCCCGTCTCGTGAGGATATCTCCTGCCGCCTGACGGGGGGGGGGTCCAGCTGCTCTGTGCGCCCTGCAACGGCCGAGGAGGACAAGGGGCCTCTTTCCTTTGGCTCTCTCTTTTTGTCTCCCCCCCCTTGGCCATCGACGCGTGAGTGACTCTCTGGTAGATGCAAGGAGTGGCTGTCAATAAAGGAATCAAGCTCTCTCTCACCTGCTGCTGCTGTTGCTGCTGCTCCCTCTCGGCAGTTGCCGTGGACCATTGCAACAGCCGAGGATAATGCCACAGGACATACTGGTGACTACGCCGATAGCTGCCTGCTGCTCATGACCAGTCAAAGGTGACTGTTTTGCGGGTGGGTGGGTGAGCTTTTGCTTTGACTAGCCTGTTTCTTTTGCTGCAACAGACAGAGTCTACTCCTTTGTCGAACTCTTTCTGCCCCTTGAATCTTGCTACGTCAAGATAGCATGCCAGTTGCGAAGGGGGGGGGGGGGGGGGGGGGGGGGGGTATTGTTCCCTCTTGCAAAGACTGCTCTGTGGCGGGTCTGAACTATTCTGACTTGTGAGAGAAGGCAGGTTTTGATAACAGAGTTCATTAACTATTTTTGAGTGGCTGTTTTGGTATTCTTCCTCAGTCAAGGGACATGAGAGATGCATACATGCACAATGCACCTCTTCTCTGTCTCTGGATACCACCACCAAGTGAGACCTTTTGAACCCCCTCTGTTCCGTTCCTGTCCCGTCCCACCCCCAATCCAATGTCATGCTGCTGCCGCTGCTCTGATGAGATTCCTTCCTCAACAATCGTAACATATTTACAAAGCGAGAATCCCAATACAGGGCAACAAGCTTCTTGGTTGGCGTGTCCGGCAAGCCCCGTATAAACAACAATCAACGCCGTGATCTCAGGACGCCGTTCTCAGTGCCAGAGACAAGAGTGTATAAATGGAACAGAATGCTGACACAAAAAAGAAAAATGAAAAGAAAAAAGTCACCATGCCATCCATGGTGTGATGCGATGCTCATCATAACTCAATACAGGGCCCCACCTCCCCTGCTCACGCCTGGCGTTTCATTACTGGAGTAAGCCGCGTCGATTCCATGCGTACAAACCTCTCATGGACTAGAGAGTACCTGGAAAGGCGGGAACGGCAAAACCGCCTCCACAAACACGTGCTGTGTAACGACGAGTCCATCTCTAGGCTGTGCGGGATCATCTTCCGTGAAAACGGTTTATCATCATGGCAAGTCATATCTAGTCATAACCGGCACCTCGCTGCCAGGGGCTATTGGAGAGTTAGTTGCCGCCGTTTCCGTTCTCATTTCAGGGGCTCTTACCTGACGTTGTTCTGCGTCCTGAACTGTCCAGGGCTCGAGTTATTTTGTTGCCTCTGCTGGTTGGGGTTACCGTTGTACGGGCTCGGCGTCCTCATCGGGGCCTGTCCGTAAGGGTGGCGGTTATCGGCCGGGAACAGAGGGGTCGAGGGGTCCACCGGAGACTGGACTTGGCCGTTCGGGCCGCCAGGTCGCTGCATAGATTGTTGAGACTGGGCCGCTGACTGGGCAGTCGACGGAGGCACAGGGACACCCGACGGGTCAACGCGGCGGCGCATAGATTCGGATGAAATAGAGTCGTTGTCGTCGTCGAGGTCGAGCCCCTTCTTGTAATGGGCCTTGTCGCCTCGGGCGGTGGCAGCCAGGGCATCCAGCTCAGTAGTAGTGTGCAGCTGAGTCTGTGACTTCATGAAAGAGGCGCGGTCGTCGGCCATGTACTGGTAACGGGCGTCGGGGTTCTTGCGGAAGTAGATCAATGTGCTGCTGACGATAACAAGCAGCAAGAGAATCAGTGCGAAGGCCGCGTTGGCGATGAACAGCACCACTCCGACGATACCGTTGACCAAGGGGGGCGCGCCGAAGATGTCCGAGAAGATGAGCAGGAAGATGGCGTTGAGGAAGTTCATGACGAAGATGGCAATGTTGAACGAGTTGGTGCTCTTGTCCATCCAGGGGCGAAGGACGCTGGCAGCGATGAGGGCCGCCGCCTCGATGATGACAAAAGAAATGGCTTGAACGGTTCCACTACGCTGGGCAAAGGCAACGAACATGCCCTTGACGAGCGTGTAACCAAGCATGGGTACAATAAAGTAGTAAGCCGAGGCGCGGAACTGGACGTAGAGGAAACCCCATTTGTTCAAAGCCTGGGGGTCCGAGAAAAGGATGTAGGCAGGGTTGCGGTGCATGGCGACGGAGCGGCGGGCGATACGAATGACCTTGAAAGAGGCCCAGCCAAGGGTGATGGCCATGCCGAAGAGGAAGAAGACGGCGAGAACGACTTCGGCGGCGGAGTCGACCTGGGTGAACTCCCACAGGCAGAAAATCGACATTTGAGGGAAACCGATCAAGGTCATGCGGAAGAGGATGCCCTTCAGGACGGTGAACCACCCGTTGCGGAACTCGAGGAACTTCTCACTCTTCATCCACTTCTGTCGCACAGCCAACTCGCAGAATCCCTTGAAGGCGGCGACACCAAGGACGGTGAAGATGACGAAGACGCAGAAGAAGGACAGGCCAGTCATGAAGAGGTTGGTAGATTCGATCTTGGCGCGGAAGGCGACTCGCTGAATACCGAAGACGATGAAGCTGCCGGAAGACAGTTGGATGTTGGCTCTCTTGGCGATACTAGAAGCACCGGCTTCGATGCCGCGCCGGGCCATCCTGGCAGCGGAAAGTCCCCAATCGAGCGAACGCTTCTCGACCTGGACCGAGGTGGTCGTCAAGGAGTTGAGGAGAGTAGACGGGGTTCCGCCCGTGGCTCGCTGGTACCAAGTAAAGATGTCCTGCATGAACTGGACGCGAATGATTCCCATGGACCAAACGAAGTCCTGAGTCCACGACTGAACAATGGGGGGCAGGTGCACACCAGTGAGACCCACGATGGCCTGAGACTGGAAGTAGCCGAAGAGGGACAGGGTGTTGGCGGCAACGTGGGCGGCGGTGTTGGTGTGACCGAGGCCGGAGATGACAGCGGACGAGATCAAACCCAAGCCGGCGATGATGGCGGTGGCCCACTTGACTCCAATCAAATCGACAGTCTTTCCGTTGGAAATGTCAGCCTCGACGCAGGCGACACTCTGGTCGGTATTGGTCAGGTTGACGAAGACACGGACAGTGGCGTCGAGATCGGGGATGTTGTAGGCGATTCCGGGAATCTGGCTAACGGCTTCCTGGCTAACGGGAAGGTTGAAGTTCATGGTGATCTTTCCGGCAGTCATGGGGCATAGACCGGCGAGGTTGATACTACAAGGGTCAACAGTGCGCCTCAAGAATTCGTAACCGTAGGCCGAAATGGAGACATCGAAGACGATGCTACCCTGGACGGAGGAAACAGCGACGATGTTGATGGCGGCACTACCGTTGGTGGGGGTGAAGATGACGTTGAACAGACTGGCCGTGAAGCTGGAATCATCCTGGCACGTGTTGAGAGAGTTTGACTGCAGCAACTGCTCGGCGGCCATGACAGGAGTGGTGAGGTAGGCGGCGAGAGAGCCGAGCAAAAGCAGCGGCTTTGCGAAGGACAACCGCATGTTGGGCGATTGGTCGTCGTGAACGTCTAGGTGAGGTTGAGCGAGTGGTCCGATGGACGGAGATTGGTGGTCGTCGAAATCGGATGGTCGGAACCGAAGAGTCCAGGGAGAGGATCGAAGCCGTCTAGGTCGCGATACTCATGAATCCGGGGTCGTTCCAGCGGAGGATATGTCTGTGACTGTGACAGAAGGAGGAGAAGAAGAAGAAGGGGCGCCTAGTGAAAGTAAATGGGCTGATGATGATGCGATGGAGCGACTAGCCTCTCAGGCGACGATGGGACGCAAGGAGGTGGCGTTTTTGTGGCAGGGGAAAAAAGGAGTTGCTAGCGAATGTTATCTGCCAACGGTTGTCGAGGTGCCGGCGACAGAAGCAGAAGACGAAGCGAAGGGTCGAGGATTTGGGAAAGGCGTCCCTCTCAAAGGCGCCGAAGACAAGGATGGATTCGTATCGTCGTCTCGGGGCGCGCTCGCTCGATCGGTTCGTTGCAGCGTTGTCGAAGGCGGGGTGGTGGTGGTGGTGGTTGGGTGGTCGAAGAGGGAAGGCGGGTGTAAGTGGGTTTTGTTGGTTTTGTTGCTTTGGGTGCAGGAGCAGTGCGGTAGAAGGGAAATGAGAAATAGAAGGGAGTGAAAGGAAGGGAAGGGACAAGATCGCCAAGCAAATTGGTGCACGGGGAAGGAAGAGTGATGAAAGGAGACGTCTGGCCGGTCGAGTCCAGTCGATGGGTGGGTGGATAGATGGATGGCTTGCATGCAAGGTGGTGGTGGTTCGGATTTCAGGGAAAAACAGGGCAAGGGCCCAAAATACGGGGGGAGATGGAAGGGAAGGGATGGATGGATGGGGTGGCCTTCTGTGTCAGTAGTGTGCAACTATGCAGTCTGAGGACGATTGAGCAGGAATCCCGTCGACTGGTGTGTGTGTGAGAAGGGTGGATCATGAACCTTGGATACATACGGCCAGAGACAGGGATAGCGATGGCACGCCGGGTAATTCGTACGGGGTGGTGCGTAAGGGTTAATTTAATTTCCTTTCCTGGGACGGCTTCATCGCGGAAGCGTGGATGCGCGGATGCGCGGACGGGATGGGCGAGAGATGGCGTTGGCAGGGCCTGCGGGTACCTAAACAGGTGGGTACATACGCTGGTGTGCACCATTGGCATATACATAGCTGTACTCTGTACATACCTATACATGTACGTCGTGCAGTACGCTAAGTAGGTAGGTAAGCACGTAAGGTAGCTAGCTACCTACCTACGTGGTGGGATGATTACCTAGGTACCTGGGGAATGCGCGCTCAATGGGACGGGCAAGAGGTACTGCCTGATAGGCATGTCCCGGGTTAGGCCGGAGGGACACGCGATCCGGCAACAGCGATGGTACTTCTGATGGCCGCTGGAATTGCGCACAATGGAAAGTACCACAGCCGTATACCCGCTCCTAGTGCTCGACTCAGCTCGTATCGATCCTAACAGAAATACGGACGCTTGGAGAGTAAACAACGCCCGGGAACGAGCCAGACGAGTCGACCGACACCTGTGCAAATAGCCTGTACGAAATCAGCGTATCTGGCCGATTACGAAGCACGCCTGCTGGGCGCTCACTAAGAGACGAAGGAGCCAGCCATTTTTCTCTTAGCTCCTGATGTCCGACCAGCCCGCGCGAAAACCTCTGCGAACATATCGACATCTCTGCGACGACCGCTGGCCAACGTTGGCTTGCGGACCGGTTTGACGATGCGATGCGATGCGATGCGATGCTCTCCATCAACGAACGACGATCATTCCCCATACTCCTGCCAACATGCCCCGATACGCCAACGGCATCAGCGCCGTCAACGCGGAGGGGATCGTCGTCGTCGCCCTACCAAGACCGACTCCCGCAGTCATAGCGTTATTTAAACCTGCAGTGTATCCTATCCGTACGTGCCGCCATCCGAATTCTTTTTCTTCTCTCCCTCTCCGCGTGTATGCACGTCTGAAAGTCTGCATGCACGCCTGGCCAGGCTACCAAGGTCCGTCAGTTAGTTCATTCACCCTCGCACATACGTAGTACATCGTACTATACAATGTATGGATACATGCCCGTCCCATCTTTCTTCCCGCCCTCCCATCTTTTCCTGTCTGCTGTTTGTTCTTCTCGCTTTCCTATTTTGGGCCTCTAGGCTCTTGAGCGGGGGCGCTACTTGACGGATTGGAACGATGGATTGATTGACTCGCCCTGTCCAAAACCTTGGTCACCACACCCTCCCCTGCTGGCTTGCCGTCGTCGCCCTCCCAACCTCTTTCTCTCTCTCTCTCTCTCGCTCGTAATGATTTGATTCACCTGTTGTCGGCGAAGCAGCCTACGCACGCCTCCAAGTCCCGGCCCCCCCAAGACTCTCTCTCCAAGGCGCGCCTTCCAGTTTTTCCACAGGCCACACTCACACTGCACTGCCCAAGGAAATGCGGCTGGCATGTTGCCTCGCCTGCTTTTCGTCTTACGCACCTCCGCAACGTGGAGTGTTTGGGTGCCCAACCTCAGACAACAAGATAGGCCAGTAGACACTAAACTCAACCGGAGAAAAAAAGGCCGAGCCCACACTTTTTTCCCCCTTCAATTCATTTCAATTATTGATTCTCCCGTTGTCGTGACACTCTTGCACTGCCACGACTACCTTGCCAACAAGACGGCGGGTCTAGGACCACCACCGCTCCCATTCGCACGTGAACCTGAGCAGTCGGCATCCGGCAAAACTTCTTTTTCTTCTTGTTATCGTTTTCGTCCAATTCCCACTGAACAGGCTCGACGTCACCGAAGCGACCCCCCCCCCTTGCTTGCGCGGTTTCGTCCCAGCGAGCAAACACCCGCCCGCCCGGCCAGGGTCGTTTCTGAGCAAAAGGGAACCACGCGTCTGAGACGTCTAAAAATGGCCCCGGTTACCCAAAGGCCGGTGCGAGACGGCACAATCAATTGGTCCGCAGGCGCCCTCACGCTGCGACGGAGGCAGAGTAAAATGAATGAGACTCATGACAGGTGCGTTCGCCTTTACAGAGCCAAGCTTGAAACAGCTACGCAGACACATCCGGCAACACCATGGTTTTCCCCCTCTCGCTTCCGACCACGACACACGCAGCCGAATGATATGCTGTCCCCAGCCTGCGTAGCACGCCGTAGGACGCACCAAGGCCCCGCTAACGTCGACGATCGATGAGCGTCCAATGTTTTGGCACAGAACCGCTGGTCCGTTGTTACAGGACTTGCTAGTGAATGAAAATCCCAACTTTGCTCGATTCCAGTTCAAGTCTGGGCGAGGAGGCTGTGCATTCTGTCAACGCGCCCTGGGGGCTTTTGCCGCATTGAGAAGCCAAATGCAACGCTTTCCAATCAACTTTGGGCACGTAACGCGGCCTTGGTTTCCCACCTACCTCGGTTGCCCTCTCGCACAGTCCTGCCCCTCTCCTCCATCGTCTCTGAGACGCGGATCCCATCGTGCATCGCCACAATTGAAGATTTCGACTCGAGAGATCCCGGTTCTACATAGTAGACGACCGCACATCAAACGTCAGTCAGAAACAGGTCCATACTCCCTCTCCCTCTCCTCTCCGCAAATCCCACAATTTCCGATGCCCAAAAACGATGAAAGAACCCATCGGCGCGCGGGAAAATCAAATCCTTCCCGGACAGTCGAGTGAAGCATGGACTCGTCGCCGATCGGTTAATCAAATAAACATTGCTGACGGGTTCGCAAACACAGTCGCACACACATATACAGAAAAACCCGCACGCTCTTGCGCGGCGCGTGGAACGAGGTTTCCGTAATCGCTCATCTCACCTTCCCAATGACATGACCCGCATGCCATCCGTCGGAACCCTTCTTTTCCCCTTGCAGATTGCAATCATCCCACCCCGACAGATTGACGCTGCTGTTTTCTTGTTTTTCCTCCGCCCGTGCTCCTCCCCGGCACAGTTTCGACGCGCTTCTCCGCCTCGCCTCTAAGCCCAGGAGACAGGTAAATCCTCAAAACAATTTCCCGCTAATTATTCACGAAATACATGTATACAGCAAAGCCTCAATCTATTGACGAATGTCATACATGTCGCCCTCTGCGCGCGCCACAAGGCCAGGGGAAGTCGCCGGCTCTCGGGGAAGCGGCGGGTTCCTCGTGACTGGTCAGCCCGCAGACGAATGGCTTATTTAAAAGCCTGAGAGAGGAAAGGTCATAACTACCCAGTCCCGCGTCCATCAACATCAACCTCATCGGCCGTCCTGCGGAATCTGCGGCACGACGTCAGGCGCTCTTCGGTCGTACCCCCCCTCCTCTCCTCTCCTCTCCTGCCTCCCCGCGTGCTCGTCCGTGCCTTCCTTCCTATGACCCTACACGCGGACGTTGTTCTTTTTAGCACCGCCCGGCAGCATGCATATACGGTTGCATTCCCCCCTTGGGCGCAGAGTGATGTCAAGTGTCGCTCGTGAAAAAGGAACCCCGCCGAAAAAGAAAAAGAAATAAGCCCCCCCCCTATATCGGGAAGCGGAAGGGGAGGGGAAGGGCCAAGGTAGAAGATTGGCTGGTGGCCCCGGCTAGGTATGCAAAGACAACGCCGCCGCCGTCACCAGCAATGGCGGCGAGCCCGCTAACGCCGCGATCGACAGGGCAACCGACAGCTTAATTGCCTCCCGTTCTTGTCCATACCAACGTCAACGTCCTATCCTTGTTTTTTTGTTGTTATTGTTGTTGTTGTTTTTGCCTCTCTTCTTTTCCCTTTCTCATTTTACGAGTCAAATCCGACGGGGTCATCGGACGGTGTAAAGTAAGTGTGTACACGCACATGTGTGTGTGTGTTAATGCAAACTCCCTGTATTGATCAGTGGACATTATTTGCTGCAGCATCAAAGTCAAACATGAAATAGAGTTAGCGGGGGTGGGCAAAAGAAGAAACAACCTTCCAAGCCGTGATGATGAAATCTACCTGGAAAAATCTCGTGACCCGGAGTCCGTTGGTTTTCCGTGTCGCCCGGACCCAAAGCCGGATGCCTCGGGGACGACGTCTGTTCTAGAACCTCATTATGCCATAGCCGTCCCTTTCAAAGGGGTCGTGCTCACATTTCCCGCAAACTCCCACCGATTACCCTCTAAACCGAATCGGGTGTGCGAACGAACGCCTCCCTCCCGCCTCTAACATCGTGGTATTATCGTATCTGCATTTCCGCCGCCCGCGCTGCCCAGTTTACCGGAAAGCCGCACTCCTCCCTTGCCTTCAACGCCCGCGCCAACCACGCCCGCCCCGAGGGGACGGCAGGGCCTTGTCTTCTTCTGCCTGGTCTCGCTCGAACCTCCCCCTTCCTTTCAGTCGTACGAGTCCCACTGCTGATTCCACGGCTTGTTCGTGCCTTGGAAGTCCATGCCGTGCTTGTAGTCGCCGAGCAGGTCCTCCTGGTCCACGCCGCAGTGCGTCTGCCCGTCGCGACCCTCGAACCAGCCCAGCCCGTACGTCTTGCCGAGCTTTTCGAGGTGGCGCACCATGCCCGCGTTGCTCAGCTTGGACGTGCCGACGAAGTCGTAAATCATCTTGCTCTGGTGGATGTACGCCAGGTGCGACGAGATGGTGTTGGGCTGCCGCGGCAGGAACGGGTGCCGCCGCCGGAGGAACACGACCGTCGAGACGGCGCCCATGTACAGCAGGATGAAGGTCGCCATTGCGTACGAGACCCAGAACGACGCGACCGTCTCCTGGCCCGCGTTGATGTCGTCGGCCTGGCCGGACCGGCCCGTCCCCGAGGACGTGACCTCGAGGAATTCCGTGCCCACGACTGTTGCCAGACCCGTCAGCAATACCGTCAAGACCTCGGCCATCATGCTGCCGAAGCCCACCAGGAACATGAGCATGTGCCCGTTGAAAAAGGCCTGGAACGGCATCAGGCCAAACGGCATGGCCGTGTAATCCAGCGTGAGCGTCTTGGATGGCGAGTGCCTCTTGGACAGGATGTAGTAGGGCTCCATCATGCGCATGTCCGTCTCCAGGCCTCCCCAGCCGAGCTTGATGCAAACGGCCAAGGCGGTCACGGTCCACGGTGCTTTGGCCGTGATGACGCTGGCGTCGGAGAAGAGGAACACTGGGATGAAGACCAGAAAAAGCGAGATGCCGATGACGAAGGGCAGGAAGCCGTGGAGGCGCAGCGAGCGAGGGTGAGGGTTCTGGGACACATAATCGTCATGAAACCTGTCTGTTTCCTGCAGAGATACCGGATTCTCGTCGTCGGGAGCCAGCGATGCGTTTCGGAGAACGTAGCGGCGGTACTTGAGCCTCGCATGGATATCGCGGTGGCTCACGACATCCAGGTCTGCAAAGTCCACAAGGATGTGGCTGACAACGGCCATCGAGGCGAGGCCTGCGATGCCTTTGACGTCGGCCAGCAGGCCAGACCTCCTCCTCTGGAGGATGTAGAAGAGGACGCAGCCAAATAAGGCGCAGACGCACAGGGTCGAGGAGAGCAGCCTCGCCCACACCGCTTGGAGGCGGATCTCCTTGTCGCCGTTGGGGTGCGCAAGTCGCGTAGCCCGATCGGGATACAGGACAAAGGCGGCGGAGCCAAACGTCGGCACCAGAGACACGGCCAGGGAGGTCGCGATGGACGATACGGCGACGGCAAAGTGCCGCAGCTTGATGGCGCGAATGGGCCGCAGCCAGCTAAGGCACGTAACGTAGTCGACGTTGAGCGATTCGGCCGCGAGTGCGCCGCCCTCTTTCGACAGCTGATAATACGCCTCGAGGCGCTTGACCTCGAAGTCGGTGACCTGCCACAAGACACCGTAGACGACGGAGAGTATCGTCGGCAGGAACTTGACGGCGAAATACTCGAGCGCCGGGACCTCGGCCGGAGTCCGGAACCGGACCAGCGGGTGGGTCCGCGATCTTCGAAAGAGTAACTCTACCATGATGGCCAGAGCGATCGACAAGCTGATGAGCCCGGTCAGGTAGGGCCATCTCATCGGAAAGGGCTTCCAGTTGGGCTGCGGGTAGAACACCTGAGTCTTCTGGCTCTTGGTGGCGGGGAACGTGGCCTGGCGCATGCCATCGTCACCGCCAATGCTCGGCCCCGTCATGACGCTGAGGTCGACCTGGTCGAATAGCCCCGGGGACGGCTGCGGTTGCTCTTCCATGATGACTTCGATGACCTCTCCCCTCTTGTTGGCCTCGTCCTGACCGAGATCCTTGATTGTCGCTCGACGGCCCAGGCTCGGCCTGCGCAAGCTGGGCCTGCGAGTATAAGATCGCGTGAGGGATCTCTTTGGCAACCCGGGCGACAAGAGGTCCTCACGCTTGATCGTGGTATCCGGCTTGAAACCCGCCCCCAAACCGCCGGTGAGGCAGCCCCTCGCCTCCTGCTCCTGCAATTTCTTCAGGAAGGCCTCATCTTGAAAGCCCATGGGCCCAAGGGTGGCAGTTACATCGAATATGGGTTCGTCGTCCAGCACCGCGTCGTCTCGCGGCGCTCGACCGATCGGCGCGGCGGAGTTCAAAAGAGATAGGTCGTGCCCCTCTTCGGGGATGGCCTTCTCGCCGCGTCGCGAGATGGCGCGGCCAACCTTCCGGCTCGCATGTGAGGACGATCCCGAAGGTGCGCTGGATCTAGGCGACAAGGGCTCGTAGCCAGATGCACCAGAGTATGGGAAGGACGGAGGCCATAAGGAGGCTGTCGCCGGTCGTCTGTCGGTCTCGTCCGAAACATGCAGCGAGGACCGGTCTGAGTAGGACTGTACCGATGCTATGGAATGCCTCGCGCGGACCGGAGGGGCGGTTGTCTCGAAAGTGAAGCTGTCAAGGTCGTTGAGCTCGGTCGAGTTGGAGGAGAGGCGATGATTGAGCCCGGGCTCGTTCGCTTCCGGGGTTCGATAGGACGCGCCAAAATCTCCGATATACGTCATTGTTTACCCAGCTTTCATGTCGCCAGGACAAAGTTGTTGATATTTGTCAGTCGTATTGCTGCTTCCCCGTGGGTTGAGAGTAAGTTCCGGAAGTGTAATGCGATCGGTCACCGAGCCGGTATAAGACTGCCGCCGAACGCAAGCGAGAGAAGTCTAAGGCAGTAGTAAAAGAGCGAGCAGCGAAAAATAAGGCGGGAGAAGGATTAAAAAAAAAATAACGAATGAACCAATTCGGTCAAGCGATAGCTGGCGTCTCCGGCGTTTCTGGCTTCTTTGTTGTCGAGCCAGCCGAAGGGAAAATTAGAGGGTGAGAGTGGGAGAAGAGAAGG